TTTTGAACTTAAAATATAGTGTAACTATTTCAGGTTTCTTCTGGTTTGTGTCAGAATATTTTTTATAATATAATCTTATGTTTTCAGGGTAGGTAAAATCTTGACTATAATATTTATTTCTGTCATCTTCATAATAGTATACTATTCTCGTTTTTTTTATTGCATTATATCTTTTATATCTATAAAAATCTAAATATAATGTTAGCTTTTGTTCATCTACATGTGGTGTTCTGACGTCATCTCCATAGTCATAATAATATGGTGCTGGAGCTGGGTCAGGCAATGTCATATCTGTCATTTCATAAACTCTTAAATATTTCTTTTGTTCGTCTCCATATAAGTTTAAGTAGCAGTTGTTGTCTAATGGAACTTTAACTTGTGTACCATCATTCTTTTTATAGCTTACATACATTTCATTGTTATTTTTCGGAATGAGTTTACACCGTGTACCATTTTCTAAGGACTGTACAAACTGCCATCTAAAATATTTATTTTCTTCATTGACAGAAAAGTCACCAACAATAGTTTCAATATTTTTTGTTCCTATCAAACTTTGGTATATTTCATTGACATATGTTTTATCTGCTTTATTTTCAAGGCTAACGTTTAAGTCTGTTATTTCAGAAGATGTATGTGTATGTCCAACGTCACTTTTCCTGTTTAAGGTTTCTTGTAAGTTTGTAATATTTGCAATGGTATGTGTATGTCCAACGGCACTTTTACTGTTTAAGGTTTCTTGTAAGTCTGTTATTTCAGAAGATGTATGTGTATGTCCAACGTCACTTTTCCTGTTTAAGGTTTCTTGTAAGTTTGTAATATTTGCAATGGTATGTGTATGTCCAACGCACTTTTACTGTTTAAGGTTTCTTGTAAGTCTGTTATTTCAGAAGATGTATGTGTATGTCCAACGTCACTTTTCCTGTTTAAGGTTTCTTGTAAGTTGTAATATTTGCAATGGTATGTGTATGTCCAACGGCACTTTTACTGTTTAAGGTTTCTTGTAAGTCTGTTATTTCAGATATAGAATGTGTATGAGTCTTTTTAGAATATTCGTTTTCAGCTCTTGTCACTTCACTTGACATTTTATTGTCAACATATGTTTTGTCTGCTAGTTCAGGATGAGTATGTTCTTTTGTTGCATAAGCATTGTTAGCTCTTTCTTCTTCTTTTGCTATTGCATCGTCTACATATTCTTTGTCAGCTTTGTTGTCAACATCCGTTTTCAAAAGAAGTTCATTTATAGGTTTCTCGTTTAAAGTTCCTTTTGTTGGATTTATACAAACAGTATGGTTCTTATTGTCTTGAAATAGAAACTCGTCTGTCATTGGGTTTATCGTCAGTTTTAAGTTTCCTTCTTTCAATGACTCAGATATCTTAGAATAGTTTGAAAAGTTTGTTGTGTTCTTATTTAGAGCTTGCAAAATGAGTTGTCGGTTGTGTTGTATTTCTCTCATAGACGCTGTTTCTTTCGACATTTTTATTCTAGATAAAATATGCTTCCAATAGAAAAAGAAAATTCTAGAGTTGCTACAACTAAACCATTAGATGAACTTTTTACTAATGTCGGTCAAAAGTTTGAGACAGAGACCGTAAAGCATGAAGGCTATCGTTTTGACTACCCATTAAGATGGCTAAGAGACCCATCTGTCACAAAAGCTATTGGCTTTCGTAGAATGAAGTTTGTGTCTGTAGAAGATAAAAGTTTTCCATTTATTGTAAGGTTTCATATAGATTATATATCTGAAGGGAAACGAAAAATGTGGGAAGAAATTGAGCTAATACAAGTTGACCTTTCATCTTCTCTACAGACTGCGTTAAAAAATATAGAAGATAAAATAAATTCATGTTATGCAAAATATGCTGATGAATATGCAAATACCGAGAGCACACTTTATGTGAGAATTGTATATGACAAACAAAATTCACAAGTGTCATTTCAAATCTACGAAGACAATCCAAAGAAAGACGAACAAATATATACAGAATTCACTGCAATGTCATGGTATTATTTGCAAAGAATGTTAAATCAGAAAGTCGAACTTCCTTTAGCAAATATTTACAGTCGATATGCAAGAGATGAACTATATTTATTTAAAGATGTTTTCGACCCAGCTGCTATTATTGTTCATGCTTCATTTTCTGGCGCCCAAAACTCTTTCTTATGCTTGGCAAATGACTTTTACGAAAAACCTACAAAGTTATACGAACCACCAAGTGGAAGTATTTCAGACTTTCAAGTATGGTTTACAACAGATGGAAGAAAAAGAATAATTCCATTATACCATGCGTTTTACTTAGAACTTAGTTTCATATACAACTACTATCGAACGGTAAAAATATAATTTTTTAATACGGTTGAGGTGTTGGATTTGGTTGCCAACTAGACTGTGGTGCAGGTTCAGGCTGTTGTATAACAGGAGCTTGTTCTTCTGGTTCAGGGTCTTTAGGTATAATATCAACGAACTGACCTACTCTTTTACCAATATTTTTGACTCCGTTCCAAATTCCTCTTCCTACGGTTTTTATTCCATTCCATATACCTCTTCCAACATTTCGAAAAGAAGTTTCCTATCTTACTGAAGAAACCCATTTTACTATATGTAAAAATCTAATGTCCGCCTAGTCTCTTACGTTTCTGTTGAGTTCCATAGCAATTCTTTAACTGGAGCTCATACATTCTGTTTTCCTCTGGTAGAAAACATATTCTGGTCAACTCCTGTGTTTGCGTCATCTGCATAAAGTTGTTTTATATCCCACTTCAGGGTTTGTATAAAACTCTTTCCATCTCATATTTGCATACCATGGTGGTAAGCCTAACGCAGCGTCATTTGACATGGCAGTTTGCATTTGTACATCTGTTGGCACTTGACCATAGTTTGCCATTGCAGTTTGTATTCTAACTTCATTTGGAATATTCTCTGGTTTGGTTGTCCAGGTTGCTGTGCATTCGCTAAGTTCTGTGCGTCCATTTAATATTAGATAAAAATATCTCTTACGAGTACATTATACTGAACATTTGCAGGCATTGGTTCATCTTCATATTCTCTATATCTTTCTGCCACGTCAAATAAGTAAATGACACAATGGAAAAAACCTAAAACAAGTAGTCCTATTTCAAACCACATTTACTTACTAGTAAAATTTCTTTGTTATGACACTTTCTCCAGTTTATAGGACCTCTCTCATATTCTATCTTATCGTATCTAAACTCATAGTCATGTATGTCCTCTAACCATCTCATGACACTTTCCAAACCACTTTTATCGGATGTAAAGTAAAAGCATGGATGGTTATGTAAAACGTCTAAAGTTTCTAAAGAGTCTCTCAAAGTCCAGTCTACTTGGTATTGAAAATCCCATGTGTTATAGAACGGCGGGTCCACTATAAAGAAAACATTTTCCTTGTCTTTATATTTTTCATACAACTCTGTCCAATGACATCTCACAAACTCTATACCCTCAATATATTTTTCTATGTTCTCTTTGAAAACATTTGTATAGTTAAGATATAAAACTTTTGACATAAGTGTTTCAATGTCATGAACTCTTATAGCACCACTATATAATAGTCTAGCAGATATACTATCCCAGTCTATATATATTCTGCTTTTTTCAAAACCTCTCTCACAATATTTTTTCTTATCTAATGGTATACGTTCCATCTTACCTATAGGTATCTTTTCTTTTAACTCTTTCAATATTTTGTTTGTGTCTGGAATATGTTTGAGACGGTCCATATAGTTGTCGAAGTCATTGCATATAATCTTTGAGTCAGGAAATATTGTATGGCACAAATGGGATATATAGAAACTTCCACCGAACAAATCTACAAATGTTAGACCATTCGGTAGTTTCTTAAGTTCTCTCAATATAATATCTTTACATTTACTCTTATTTCCAAAGAAGGGTAACGGTGGTTTTGTAAAATTCATTTTATATATATAATAAAAATGTTTTTTCCTGAAAAGTGACAGATGTTTATATGGCACTTCTTCGTAAAGACTTTGTTGAGATTTCTTCGTAAATGAGTGTAAATGACCCAAAAATATATTTTAGGGTAGAAGGGTATATCTACCCCGTTTTCTACCCTCTTTTCTACCCTCTTGAATTTTCATGAATTTCTTCGTAAAGACTTTGTCAAGACTTCTTCGTAAAGAACTTTGTTAAGACTTCTTCGTAAAGACTTTGTTGAGACTTCTTCGTAAAGACTTTGTTGAGACTTCTTCGTAAAGACTTTGTCAAGACTTCATCGTAAAGACTTTGTTGAGACTTCTTCGTAAATGACCCTAGTAGTATATTTTTGGTGTAAATTTTCATGAAAATTCAAGAGGGTAGAAAAGAGGGGTAGAAAACGGGGTAGATATACCCTTCTACCCTAAAATATATTTTTGGTGTAAATTTCATGAAAATTCAAGAGGGAGAAATGAGGGTAGAAAACGGGGTAGATATACCCTTCTACCCTAAAATATATTTTTGGTGTAAATTTCATGAAAATTCAAGAGGGTAGAAATGAGGGTAGAAAAACGGGGTAGATATACCCTTCTACCCTAAAATATATTTTTATTGAATTCTGTATAAAATTCTGAGTAAAATGACAGATGTTTATATGACCCTTACTTGTCCGGTTTATAGGACCTCTCTCATATTCTATCTTGTCGTAAATAAAACTCACAGTCATGTATGTCCTCTAAACTTCATTTATACTAAACATCTTCGGGGCTAGAAGGCACGAAGTGCCTGGAAGCCCCACTACCTTTTTTTTTTTTTTTTTTTTTTTTTTTATTTAATTAAAAATGTATTTAAAAAGGAGTAAATCTATATATTTTATGTAAAAATCAAATAAGTAAATCGAACAATTTGTAATAGGAAAATCACTTGGTGAGATAAATATTAATTATAAAAAAATATAGAAAATAATATGAGCGCTTGAAACTATTTTGTGTAAATGGTTTTTGCTGATCAGCTGATAGAAAATGAAGATAATAATTTTATATAATTTTTCTATTGAGATTCTACATTAAGTTGGCTCTGCTCTTTATTATGAAACTCTGATGTAAGGATTTTGCGGACATTTTCGACTTGAGAAATAATATCCAATTCTGGTAAGAAATTAGAATTCGGATTTGCATGACATGACATTAAATGTGAATTCATCTGCTTATCGTAATTTGATTGGTTGAAAGAATCTATCGCATCAAGGCTTTGATTGGTTTCTTCAATATTATCAATTGGATCCATGTTTATTGGTGTATCTTCATCTGTACTATTGTTATAAATTTGAGGGCTTGTAGGAAAATAAAGATCATTGTCATCCATGAAAATGTATGAGAAATACAAATAAAAAAAATGAACTAATTTCCAACTTGGTTTTATATTATTCGTTAAAAACGATGTTTATCACTTGTACATAGTTAACAGTCACAAATATGATGTTTATTTAAAAATTAATAATTGTTCCGTCTGCTCTTTTCAATTGAATATAATTGAGAGACATTACGGGTAATATACTAAATTGAGAGACATTACGGGTAATATACTTTTGAAATAATGATTTTGCTAGATGATTCAAAATAGTGTGAATCTCTTTACTGTTCTTTAAATAGAATATTTTCCAATTAATGAACATAACAAGAAGACTTTTGACAAAAATTGTCGATATATCGATTTTTTAATTTATATATAAGCAGTTGTTACGGTACTCACAAATTATAACACATAGGCTATTTGTGCTATATCATATACAGACGCATAGATATTAGTTTAGCAACAATAATTAAAAATCATTCATATTAAAAGATATAAACATAATGTGAGAGGTATTTCTGATATTATTGTATGCCTGCATTCGTTTGGTCATGACCATTATGGTGAAGCATCACAGAATTTATTATCATAGATCTATTTTATAATAAATTTGTATATTTCTACGAAGGAAATTCTTATATTACTTGTGTACTCTCAAATATATTGTGGCATTACAGTTACAAAACCCAAACTTGAAATGAGAATGAAAAAATATTTCTGGAAAGCTTGGTTCGTTGGACTTATAAGCTCCTTTTAATGTCAAATTATGTGTGTTGTGCTTTCTGTAACTTACAAAGCATCTGCTCATTTATTTGGTTAACATTCCATTCAATAAAATTTGAATTGTTAGTAACGTCAAATTTTAAAAATGTAAGAAATTTATTTCTCAAATATGTATCCCTTGAATAATGATTTGGAAATTTTTGACCTTTTAAATTTTTACAAAAGTCAACTTGGATCTAAAACTTTAAATTATTAGTTAATTCCGATATTATATTGCACTTGGGAAATATGACCCCCGAAAATTGAGAGAGCTGCTCAATTTTTTTATTCAAAATTTTCTGTCAATCATAATGGCAAAGGTAAGCCTAGAGCTCCTAAAATATATTTCCGCTGGTATTATATGGATTACCACGCTTTTAGGCAATGCAATGCCAATGTGCATCAGAGCTATCAAGTGGCAATCGCGACTTGAAGCTCTGGCAGGCGGAGTTTTTCTTGGTGCCGGTTTAGCGCATTTGCTTGCAGATTCATTCGAAGAACTTGGAGACAAAATCAATTATCCTCTTGCACCTGCCGTTGCTATATCTACATTCGTTTTATTGACTGCAGTTGAATTATTTTCATACGGTGAACATGATGAAGAATTTCAGATAGGAGAAGGTCACCACCATCATCAACATTTCCATGATAAAAATGTTCCTCCAAGTTCACTTGAAGATAATCTTTTAGTTTCAAATCCAATCGAAGAGAAAGTCCCAGAAATGTTTGGTGAAACGAACTCAAATCTTACAGTCCCAATGATCTCACTTTACATCATTATGGACATTCATTCTGTTATTGAAGGCCTCGCATTAGGAATCATGAAAACAATGGATGGTGTCATTGCCATCTTTTGCCCAATTGTTGGTCACAAGCCAGTCGAAGCATTTGCGCTATCTTTGATCATTTTGAAAGATAGACCAAAGAAATGGCTATTTTGGTTCTTTGTTATTGTTTATACATTAATGACTCCGGCAGGATTAATCACAGGTATCATTATTACAAAACTTGTAGAAAATCAAATCGTTATGGGCGTTATCGCTGCGTTTTCCGCTGGAACTTTCTTATTCGTTGGCTGCCACGAATGGGCTGAGATGTTTGAGCACAAGACAGAATGGAACTGTGCTGAAAAGACATGGCATTTCATGATGTTCTTAATCGGAGTTTTATGTATGCTTTCGATTGCCATTGTTGAAACTCTCAATCCAGAAGATAAATAAGCATAACTGTAATATAGATAACTAGCAGAACGTATATTAGTGTATGATAAAATACAATTCTTTACTTAGAAAATTGATAAAATTATAAAACTTTGATTTTCTATTCCAAATCTTTCGAATTTACTTTGATCTACAACGGCGAATACTAAATTAATCATATTAAAAGTTTATATCAATAAATATCTTTGATGAAAATTATTTGCTTAAATCAAACCTTCTCATTATGTTTTATTTCAATATTTTTGGCTGTATTGGTATTTCTTCATATTGATATGAGCAATCTTTATAAATCATTTTATTCAAGAGATATTTGAAGGTTAATAGCTGATCAAAATAGTATAATTATTAATTCTTCCGAGAAAAACCTATGAATTTTTCTGATAAAAAGATAGTTCTTGAATTAATATAAATTTATTTGAAAATTAAGTTATTTGATGAGTGAATTCGTAATAAGATAATCAATGATGGAAGAATTTTAACTTTATGAAACTAAAGAACGATATGCTAATTAAAATACAATAAAATTCAAACTCTTTAGAAGTCAGCGAACTCTTCCTGAGCAGAGAGTTGCTTTGCGAGGTCGATCAGCGGTGGAATGTACTTCTGTTCGCAGGCCATCTTGATGAACGGGTGTTCGAGGAGTTCTGCAGCTGAAGGACGCATTGCTGGGTTTCTTTGCAAGCAGCGGTTGAGGAAGTCGATGAATTCCGGTGAACGGACTTCCTTGTTCGAGATTTCTGGGATACCACGTGAAACAATGAGGAAAAGTGCACGCATTGGAGGTTCTGTAACGTACGGTGGTTCACCTTCAGCGAGTTCACGGCAGAGGATACCGAGAGACCAGATATCAACGGCGAAACCATAAGGGAAAGCTTGAATTAATTCAGGAGCCATCCAATAAGGTGTTCCGACAATAGATTTACGCTTATCGGCAGTTGCTGTCAATTGTGCAGTATAACCGAAGTCGGCAAGTTTGACTTTTCCTGTTTCTGAAAGGAGAACGTTATCAGTCTTGATATCACGGTGAATCTTGTTCTGTGCGTGCATGTATTTGAGGGCGAGAAGGATATCGCGTGCGAAATAGGCAATATGTGGCTCTTGGCAGTCGCAAAATGTGGCAACATTTGTTAATGCGCCTCCATCCATGTATTCCATGATGATCCAGAGTGTGTTGCCTACTCTGTATGCATCGTAGAATTTAACGATATGGTCATCTTGCATAGAATACATTAATCTTGTTTCATCGAGCAAATTCTTTTCATTCTTTTCATTAAGAAGCATTTCTTTGACAGCAACCTTTCTGCCATGATACATAGCTGTGTATACTGTGCAGGTACTGCCTTCATCAAGTTTTTGCATGTCAATGAGCAAAAATCTTGGATCTGTATTCTTAACGACAGTTTCAAGCGGTGGAAGTACTGTAGGTGTTGCTGGAACAGATGGCTGTTGGTCCAAAACTGCTTGATTGTTGTTGAAGAAATTAAGAACATTGACAGTGTTTTCTGGATGTGCAACGGCTTCTTCCTTTGTGATACCACTGCCCTTAAGCAATTTTTCGAATTCAGGTGGGAGACCAACGAATCCATTTTCACTATCCATTGTAACATGAATTTTATGTTCAACATCTGTTGGCTTTGAAATCCTTAACTTGTTCTTGGATATTTGCTCTGGAAGCATGCTGGAATCATAACTGTTATCATCTAATATAGTTCCTGTCGAAGCAATAGGAATGGCAGATAACATAGAACGTGGGATATTTTGATAAGTTCCTGTTGAATCTAATGTAACATGAACATGCTTTTTCACATCGAATGGATCAGAGATCTCTACTTCTTTGGCTACACGACCTTTCTGACCGCTCATGTAGATTTATTGAAAATTATTTGAGAGGATGGGCTATCATCCTCACATTGAATTCACTTCATAAATAATTTTGGTTATGTAGATAATTTATTTCCAAACAAAAATATCAAAAATAATCATTCCGATTGGATTTTAGAGTAAGAGATTTGGATCCCTGGAGAACGGCATTAAAAATGATAAGTGTTATATATTCCAAAAATTTCTACTAAATAATATACTTTTGGATTTATTGTTTTTGTTATCAGGCGTTATTGGATAAACTCGTAGCTGAACTGTGATTATATATCGAATAGACGGCTAGAAATAGGTTTCCAGAAAGCTCGATATATGAGTATTGAATCGGATGAATCTAATAAAAGGTTGAATGATATTGAATACAATGAAAATATACATACCTATGAGTATAATAAAAAAATTGGGAGGTGGAAATTATACATCTCAATAAAACATTATATTTCGTATCTTAAATATTTTTAAAATCTTTTATTATATAAAAACAATTTTATAACTTTATACATCAAGCCATTGGGCAATAGGAGTTCTTCTATCTGAGTTTTGGTCAACTAAAATTTCAGCAAATATGCATTCTTCTGGATCTCCTTGCTTAATTACTGAGCATGGCAAATAGCAACGTGATATATTGTTGCAATTATTAACTTCTTCAACCAATTGTCTGCTTTCTTCAGTTTGCAATTGAGGTAATTCTTTTGGAATGTTTTCAAATGAATCAACACCAAATGCATTAACAATGTAATCCCTATCTGTTGCAGGAGATACCCAAATGACAACTCTATCGTACATGTGTGCCAAGAAAACCGTTCCTTTTTCAAAAGCACTGTTATCTAATTTGAGTTCATCGGTTTTTGATGGATACATTGCAAGAAGCCTTGGATAGTGCTTCAAAACGAAATTAACGATATTAATTGATCTATAGAATATTGCATCGCATATTCTATTATCACTCTTCATAATGATGGCCAGCATTTTTGAGTAACAGAAAGAATGCATGAGATAATTAACTGATGGATATAAAATGTTTCTGTTTCTCATTTTCTTCATTCTTTCTTTAAGATCTTTAATGGCTTCTGTTTGTGCTTCAACAATCATCTTGAAGACAGTAGATTTGGCGATGAGAAGTGATAACGACATCTGATCAACGTTCTTTATAACAGCTGCTGCATTTTGTGTGGTAGGTATGGCAAAAGTGAAAACTCTGACCATTCTCATTTTATCTTTCGTTGTATACAAAAGAGCGGCTTGGAAAATGGCATTCCTTACACATAAGGACTCTTCAACTTCTATCTCATAAGTGACAGCATGTTGTGGATTCAAAATAGGGAACCATATTAATTCTCCACTTTGAATTGAAAAATTTCCATGTTGACGAGTAATTTTCACTCCTTTTTGGGCTCTTAATTTCAAAGAACATGAATAAAGATAATCATTATTAATAGTTTTGTAAATATCAATATACATCATCTTGCTGTAATCGTCTTCGTCAATTTTGTAAAAGTGAACTTCCCCGCCCGTTAGACCAGATGGAACTCCTATAGTAGCAAGATCGAGATTGAAGTCTTTCCAAACACAACAGAACAGATAGACACTGATATTGCATCTACTGAGCTGGAATCCGATATCTCTGTAGAAACTTGAGTCTTTTCCTGGATTTAATTTCAGTATTTCGATTTCTTTCGTCTTTGTCGTGATATATCTTGGTTCAAGTTTATGCGGACCTTCAAGAGGACGACAACACATGCCAGCTATAATGATTCCACCTGTCAGTTTCATGATTCTCGTGCATACTTCTAATGCTGAACCATAACTATTGCCAACAGAAGTTGGTTTCCTAGTAAGGATAGAATCCAATGCATTATTAAATGAATCTCTGCATTCTGCAAGCATGGTTGGCATTGGAAGAGGAAAATCTAAGTCTGATAAATCTGGAAGTGTTAATTCTTCTTTTTTATCGAAATCAAAGATTGATATTGTGTTTGTTGAAACAATTAATGTAACTCTTGTGCTATCATCGAGCTGAGAAATCGATGTTTTGACACTTTCAACGAAATTATAAATAAAACCTGAGTCAAATGCGTACATTCCAGCATCAACTATGATGCAAAATGTTGGAGTAAAGTATGGATTACTTATATAATTCCTTGGCGCTAACATTTCGTAAACTTGATTTGCTATCTCAGGAAAATTATTTAATGAGCCATGAGATCTGATTATATCTTCGTTTACATGAACAATTTCGTCGCAAATTGGGCATTTGTATGATTTTCCGTCGGTAAGTAATTTAATATAAGGAGAAAGATATGCTGCACATTTAGAACATCGATGTATGCTAGATTTTGAGTAATCTATAACTGAAATGTCTGAAACCAATGCTGGATTTATTGTAATTCCAAGTGGAATTTCAACTTTATCGTATGTTTCTTTGTCAATAGGTATTGCCATAGAGACAGGTCTGAAATAAGGAGGATAAAAACAAGAAAATTCTTCATTTCTCGGCATTTCTAAAACTGTTTTTGTTTCCCAAGGCATTAAATCCTGATTTTGAGATTGTTGTTGTGGCTGATTTGTTTGGACAGCATAAAAAGCTCTTCTGTTCTGAAATGGTTGTTGCTGCTGACCACCCTCATTATTCATCAAATTTGGAAATAAAAATTTTGATAGTGTTTAATATAAATATTATTGCAAAAGAGATGACAATTATTATTTATTCATAAGATTGATATTTTCAAGGGATTTTTATGTGAATCGAATCCATTTGATGAAAAAAAGAATGTTTTGAGTTTAAATGAGCAATCAAATGAAACTTTTGATCATTTAATATCAGGCAACGTTATAGGCGAGCATCTTAAAACCAAATTAAAAGATATGGGAATTAAAAAGCAAATATAGGCTTTGGAAATTAGGAACCTAATCTCAAAACTCTCAAACAGCACCATCCCTCATTATACAATATGAAGCTCCATTACTTTTCGGAATTCAGATTCTCATTCCGATCAAAATTACCAATTGTGCGGTTAGATGTAAAATATACGAGATGATCTTTCTATTTTTCTATGCAAAGTGATATGAAATTTTATGAAAAACAATGAAAATCGATCAAGATTTGACACAACCGTCAAAAATGAATGTAAGCACATGCAACCGCAAGATTGTTGTCATTGGCGAGCAAAATGTAGGAAAGACATGCATTTTGCAGAGACTCATTGATAACACATTCAATCCAAACACACCACCAACAATTTCTAATAGCACATCGAAATTCTCTTGCACTCTTTCGAATGGCAAAGAAGTTACCCTTACAATTTGGGATACAGCTGGTCAAGAAAAGTATAGATCACTTACTAATGTTTATTTCCGTGATTCTCAAGCTGCCGTCATCGTTTTTGACGCTTCTAATAAAAATCCAAAGCCAGAAATCCAGCAATGGGTTGACAGTTACAGAAATGTTGTCGGACCTAAATGTTATATTATTGTTGCGGCAAATAAATCAGATCTTATTCCTGACAAACAAGGTTTTCGCTCACGTTTACATGACTTAGAAGAAGAGCTCAAAGATATTCCTGTTAATATCGTTTCTGCTAAAGATGGTGAAGGTATTCAGGAATTATTTGAACATGTTGCCTATAAAGTTAGCGAAATCGTACAAGAAGCACCTGTAATCGAATTTTCAGAACAAAAGAAGGGATGCTGCTAAGCGTCTTTTTCTTTCAAAGAGCGAAATTAAAATTTATATTTTTTACTTTTTAAAATAATGGTATAAACTTGAGAATTTTACACCCTCTGGTATACTGGAATTGATTGTGTTATGTTTCTATTTGAATCTTATTTTGTTTAGATAATCTTTCGTTCAGTAGCCAAAATTTTGTAATCAAAACTCTAGACTTGTTGAACTTTATAAAAACGCTCATGTATTCTAAAAAGGAAATTTATATTATATGAAATTAAGTAATAACATTTATTTTTAGTCTGTAAGTCGCCATTATTAACACAACAAAGTACATATATATATCAAGTCATGATTTTAAAACTTCTTTTTGTATTTAACAATAATTTTCATGATTAATCTTGCTGCTTTACTAATTCATCAAAAATTGCATCATTACCGTTTGTAGCATCATCGTCACTTGAAAAATTTTCTAGGAATTGTTTAATTGCTGGATCTACAATAAAATCATCGCTTGGATCTTTTGTTGAAAAATTTGGAATGATAATCCCGCCATTTCCACCTTTATTAGTTTTTAGAGGAACTCTCTCGTCTGGATCTTCATGACTAGTTTTGCAACAGGAAGTTACGAGTCCCATTTTTTGTCACGTTTATTATAAATTATCTCTCAGTTTAATATTTCTGTCACTTTTATGCAATCAAAAAATTCCCTATTATTTTTCGGTCGCTTTAATGGAATTCTGATAAACTTCTAGAGACACCCATGAAATGCATAGAAAAATTATATATTTCAAGAAATATTCGGCTTATTTTCTATTTTGGAGTGTTTAATCATTATGTTTTGCAAAAAATCATGTAGTGTTTCAATTTCCCTATCACGGGAAAGTCTAAAACGCTGAGCACATTCCAAAATGGCAAAATCATTTTTTCTTTCGTGTATTTACATTAGAAATACAGAATATAAAAGATGACATCATCAGCAGAAATTTCAATATACGATTCAATCTTTACGATTATTAAAGAAGATCGTGTTTCTGAGTTAGAATCATCTATTCATCAATTATCAGATGTTAACTTCTCCATTAAAAACTATCCCGATAGAGAAGAATTTTGTGTAAATAGTCCACCAATCATATCTGTTGCTTGTTATTTTGGATCAATTAACTGTTTCAGATATTTATTTAACCATGGAGCAGTTTTAAGTATTGCTGATACGATTGGGCGACTTCCAGTTCATTACGCAGCTGCTGGTGGTTCAATGCCAATATGTGATGAACTTGATAATTTAGGAGCAGATTTTCAAGCGCTAGATACATCAGGCCAATCAGTAATTCACTATGCTTGTAAATTTGGACATACGAGTTTAGTGCAAAAGTTTTATCTTCGTGGTTTTGATTTAGAATCACCAGATATCAAAGAAATTAGACCAATTCACTTAGCATGTTATAATAACAATACTGAGCTTCTATCATTTTTATGTGAACAATCAGTTGACATAGAATGCAGCACTCGCTTTGGAGATACTCCTCTAAAAATTATTCTAAAGCTAAATGAGCTTGAAATGCTCAAGGTATTAATTTCATACCATGTGAACACTAATATTCAAGACCCAATAGAGAAAATGACACCAATAATGACTTCAATTAGAAATAATAGTATTGACTTAGCTGAAATCTTGATATCCAGTCCTGAGACTAATGTTCAAATTGAGGATTCAATGGGTTGGACTGCCCTTCACTATGCTGCAGAAGCTGGTTTAACTGATATTTGTCCCAAACTTATCAAGAAAGGAGCAAACATAAACTCTGTTACCATGAATAACATGACACCTCTTCATCTTGCTCTTAACCGACAAAAAAGTGAAACAGCAAAATATCTTGAATCAGAAGGTGGGCTTGTATGGGTATAAGCTCTCTATTATAGTTACCTTCCCTTGTAATAAAAATGTTCAAATTACTCATGATTTTGATAGAATTTTAAAATTTTATATCTCAAAAAAAAGTTAAAAGGATAACCAAACAAAAACAAAACATTTTATATAAAAACAAATAAACAGTACGAACAAAGAAATTAGTTAATTCGAATTCACATGATAAATTTTGTGAAAAATAATATAAATAACCATCTCAAGAAGTTTCTGGCGCGTTGGTTCGCATTTCTCTCCGAAGTCATCAACGGCATTCTGTAATTGTTCTGCGTTAGCGTTAATAATCTGTTGATAAAAACAATCTGTTAAAGCGCAAAAGATAATAAATCTGTCTGGACTTTTCTGTGAAATCTGAAGCCATTTGTAGAAGTCATCTTTTGCTTCTGAGTCCCATTTTTTGAAGATTGAGCATTTTTTGACTGCTGCAGCTGAATCCACTCCAAGTTTTCTCAAGAGTGGATCGAGAGTCTGTATTTCGACTTCCTTTCCACGGTGAACAATCTCTGCAAAGCCGAGATTATCTGTCGGTACAGGATTTCTGCAAACAGGGCAAATGACTGGTTTATGGTCAGATTGGCATTTCTTTGACCATACGCGAATGCACTTCTGGCAGAATGTATGGTGGCAGCTAAGAGGAACTCTTTTCAAAGCTGGTTCGTAGCAAATCGGGCATGGTTCGGCTTTATCTGGCGGCATTAATGTTTCATCAATATCAATTAATGGTGAAAGTAATATTGAAGGCAAAGGTGAAAGAAAAATGTATCGACAATCTGATTTTGAAGTAGACGTAAGTTTTGTTCCTATTTCGAAATCTGGACCACCGCCAAATACGATTTCATCTGAATTAACAAGGTAATGACGATGAATTTTTCTATGATTAACAAAAGTTCCATTTAAGGTCTGTTTATCTTCTAATACCCATTCAACTTTATCAAAACCTGCGGTTTTTGAAATTGTTGCATGAAGTTTCGAAATTTCTTTGCCTTGAGCTGTATCAAGTTTTATTGCCGAATGTCTTCCGATTTCGTTGAATTTGGAAGAAAGAACAATAGCCTTTGGGGCATTTGGATTCTGTGGAATGGAATTATATACAAGTAAAGCGTGTTTCTGTGGTGGGACTAGTATGTTATTCAATTTAAATTATAAAAAAAAACGTAGTTTGAAAACGATACTCAAAACAAATTAAAAATGCAATAAAGCGTATTCCTTTAATGATACGGATTGCTATCTATGTGACAAAATCCAAATATTTTTCTGAAAGAAAGACTCTTTACACTTGAGTTGCCATTTTGATTCCTTAGTAGTATGTGAAGTGTGATTTATAGAGTGAACGAAAAAGCATTGACTTGAGACCCATTCTCTCCGCTCCTGTGCTCTCATCATTTCTGTTTTCCACATTCACGTCAATAAATCACACCTCACGCATATGACATCACCAATGAAAAATTTTTTAAAACACAAATGAAAACTTTAAACACGTCATTAACTTCATTAGGATTTTTTACGATAATGTGAAAAATTAAGGGTAGCGAAAGACCACAAAGCGTGAGAGTGTGGGCGAGAGTGACAAAAATAATTTTAAAAATTAATGATGAAATGAATGTTATTAAAGGAAATGATGAAAATTTATAAATAAAATCAATTGAGAAAATGAAAAAAATCATAAGCGAAAAAATGAAATTTTAAATAAAATGATAATAAATATTTTATGAATTAATGAAAAATTCATGATAAAAATTATTAAAGTCATGAATGAAACATTAACGATTTCATAAATGAACCAATGAAATTTATAATGAGTGATAAAGCAAATGATGAAAATTTCATGAAAATTAGAGTTTGGAAAATTAGAGCTAAAATTAATTTAATTTTTATTTTTTTATTTTTTATATAAAATGAGTGTTAAGACAAACGACATGAAGAAGTTAGGATTCACTAACGAGGAAATAAACGAAATATTGGATGAGGCAGGAATTGAAGTTAGCAGATATTATTTAAGAAATTGCCAAAAATTCGCGGAGTTATTAAATGATTTAGATTATGAGGGTGAGATGAATAAAGATGATGTTATAAATTTCTTATATCCTACATCTGACAACAACGAAGAAAACGAAAAACCTAAAGAAGTGCAAGAAATAGATAATAACGTTTATGAAGAACGTAGAGGAGAAGATGAATATTATGAACAAGATGAAAAGAAAGCGGAAGAAGTAAGAAATGAAATTGATGAGGAAATAAAGAATGAAAAAGAAGTGGAGGAATACATGAATGAAATAAATAAAGGGAATTTAGAGATGGACGAAGAATACGAGCGTGAATTAAACGCAGAAGCTATGAGGATTTATGAAGATGTGAAGAGTTACAACGATGATGTAAAAGAAAGAATCGAAGGTACATTTGAAAGATTAGATAAAAAACCATTCGGGGAAAAGTTAGACTTGAGAATTTACGGAAAAGATGAACGGGGTTGTGCCATGTGAGGTGAAAATCACCATACACCGATTGGACCTTTTTAAAAAAAGATATGGTGAGTATTTGATTTGTTCCTTGGTATTTTGCACACAGATAGACTAGGGTAATGCCGATCATTTCGTGTAGGAATTATGACCCAAGTTATTCACATTATAAAATTATATAAAGTGTGTCTAATTTCAATAATATTCATATGACCTTATAGTATGGTACCTATATAATAATACATATAGTTTATAGTAATATCTCAGTTTTTATAGTTTGATATCTTATTAATTATGATCAATATGTGTGTATTAGTGTATATTTTACATGGCGCATATAGACTTGTGTTAGACACACACAGTTATATATATTAAAATGAAAAATACGCAGATAATAAGGATCTCAAGATGTGATGCCGAGCATCTGCTACATATTTGGGGGTAAGCAGCAGATGCTGGCATATATGTGTCATAGCAAGTGTATCTATGCTAATAGATTACACTTGCTATGACTTTCCCGGAATCTCAAGATGATTCCGGGAAAAACAGTAATAACCTCTCAAAATGTTCGTTTCAATATCATAAAGCTGAGAAATGGGCTTTGACCTTGAGAAAAGGCCCATTTCCCAGCTTTATGATAAATTTTAGTTATCATTGCGAGTGTCTGCTGCAAATCTCGGTTGAAGCAGCAGGCACTCGCAACCGTATTCCACGGCAAGTGTATTTATGGTGTTGGAATGCACTTGCCGTGGCTTTTGTACAATCTCGTGATCTTACTGGAGTGAGCGGCAATGGAAGCCAAAACCACTCCACTCAGTACCAGAAAGCTATGAAGGAAGTCCTAACCTAGAGAAAGGGCTTCCTTCATAGCTTTCTGGGTGACATGAGATTTGTAATTGTTGAACATTGAGTATTTTGCAGACTCTGGCCTTTGCTTGGGCCAGAGCTTCGTATTTGGATGTCCCCAGGGCCGGATTCCTCTCCTGCCGCCCTAGATCAGGACGGCATTTGAGAAAGCCGGCCCTGAGGACAGTAAGCGAAGCCCTGGCCTTTGCTAGGGCCAGACCTGTGTATTTCTTTCTTTCAGGGCCGAAATGAGAGGAGATCGCAAGTGAATGTGGACGACCTCCCTCAAAATCGGCCCTGAGGATTGTATTTGCAGGCTCTGGCCTTTGCTTGGCCAGAGCTTCGTATTTGGATGTTCCAGGCCGGATTCCTCTCCTGCCGCCCTAGATCAGGACGGCATTTGAGAAAGCCGGCCCTGAGACAGTAAGCGAAGCCCTGGCCTTTGCTAGGGCCAGAGCCTGTATTTGTATGTCTTTCAGGCCGAGTTCTTGCGAGACCGTCGACATGATCGACGATCATCACAAAAAACTCGGCCCTGAGGATTGTATTTGCAGGATCTGGCCTTTGCTTGGGCCAGAACTTCGTATGGGAACTCTCTCGGGGCTGGTTTCCTCTCCGGCCGCCCCGAATCAGGGCGGCTTTGAGGAAACCGGCCCCGAGGATGGTTTGCGAAGCTCTGGCCTTAGCAATGGCCAGAGCTTGTGATTTTAATGAAGAGCCAAGTTCCTCTCGGATCGGGCCTAATGAGGACGACCGTCGAGGAACTTGGCTCTGAGCTGATGAATTGTAAACCCTGGCCTCGATGAAGGCCAGAGTTTTTAAGGGAATGTTTTGATGGGATGAGCCTATGCTCAGTAAGCTCATCCCATCAAAATATAGATCCAAGGTGATGTGATTTTTGCATCCCTGGGATGGACGATACACCCAAAGTGTCACCTTTTTGGGATAACATGAATTTTAAATATCATGAGAGTTCTGCAAACCATATGCACAATATCTATTCAGCCTGACTTCTTGTATATATGAGTTAGACTTCTTAAATATTGTGCTTGGGGCGATATAAGCATTTCCGAGATTACCATCGTGCTCTATAGTATGCTACTTCTCCCTGGTTCTAGCTCAGTTCCAAGGATATTGGCGTTCAAGGATTTGGCAAGGTCCTTCCGAAGTCTCTCATTCGATGAGAGATTTCGGAAGAATCTTGCCTTAAAGTACTCCAACTCTTGTTCTTTTGTTCCTAAATAGTGAGAAAAGTTATTTGACTACTTAAGGTAGAGATTATCCGAGGTCCCTCATTTGATGAGAGGCCTCAGATAATCTCTGCCTTAAAATTGTACACTTGTAGTCCATGAGAGTGTAAGTATACATTGATAGGACAGCTTTCTTCTGAAGTCTTAGATTTGATGAGAACCTCAGAAGAAAACTGTCCTATTTTATAGTAAAAGGAGTTTCAGGAGCTCCAAAGCTCCCTTTCGTAAGGATTAGGAGCTTTGGAGCTCCTGGTTCGTAGATGTGTTTCGCATCTTTCATCAGCAAAGGACATTTACCATCTGGGACTCAGTTGATGGAGACTCAGGAGCTCCCTTTAGTAAGGATTAGAAGCTTTGAAGCTCCTGGTTCGTAGACGTGTTTCGCATCTTTCATCAGAAGAGGCCCAAATGGTAAATAGCCTCTGCTGATGAGCTTCAGGAGCTCCAAGGCTCCCTCTCGTAACGATTAGGAGCTTTGTAGCTCCTGAAGGTAAGGTAGGATTGCTCTGATCTCTAATCAGTAGATGCCATGCCTCATTATGAACTCTACTGACAAGAGATCAAGAGCTCCAAGGACTCCCTTTTTAGTTAGTGGCGTTCTCACCATTTAGTAGGATTGCTGATCCTACTAATGAAGTGATCACTTAGTAGAGTAGGTGACAAAAGTGCATACTCTTAAACAACCGTCGGATTTCCGGGTGAAATCGTGACACACTTTCGTCTTTCGTAGGCAGTGGTGGTTGTTACAAAAGGTAACTTCGAATGTAGCGTGAAATCTGCAAAAAAAATTCTGAAATTTGAATGGAGAACACAAAAATTGAATAGTTTACGTCAATAAAAAAGAGAAAAATGAAGCCAATGTGTCTCAAACCTAGGACTTAGAGCAGCAATCCCACTGTTTATAACATTACACTACATGCATCTCTCACCTCAGTGAATGAGATCAACTATATGATAACTTTTTCCCCATTATATTCTTGTGGAAAAGTGACAAATAGCAACTTTGACCCTCTCTCATCACTTAGTATACGTTTTGAATAAATTGAATTTTTTTTAGAATTTAGTATTTTTTATAGACATCACATGTATATTATAAATACATAAATATATTCTTTAATTCAAAAAATTCAATTCGGTTTTGGGATGGGTATCCCAGCCCCAAGTATTCAATTTTATTCAATTTTTAAAGAATTTTGGGTTGGGATGCCCAGACCAAAACAAGCTTTATATTTTGATGTGTAGATACGTATGTGTGCATCATTGTTGTGTTATATATTATGTTTTTAATGAAAAAAAATCTGATTCAAAAAAAATTATCACTAATTAGTTGATAATATAAAGAAAAAATAGATAAATTGTATGTTTTGAGAGTATTTATCCACATTCACTCATATGAATTTCATTAAATAGTGTCTTTTTACTCCCAAATTTATTTTGAATTATTGAAATCAAAGAAAAAAAATCAGAAAAATTTCTCGAAATTTTTATTTTCAAAAAAAATTTGGATTTTATATTGAAAACTGACACTGGGAGGACGATAGGGCTGGGATTGGAGATACCCCGCTCAGTTGGGAAAAATACGGATCTATAATCAAAACATTCGTTTAAAAATTGAATTAAAAATTATCGTATGCATTGAAAAATTAAAAAAATAAAAATGAACAATATTATTATATAATGAGATATACATGGCACGGCGGGCGCAAAAAGTGACAAAATAGAATACCTATGGTGGCAAGACAAAGGAAACATTTTTGTAAGGCAAACATTATATCAAATACCTTTACTTTGTAATAAGAAATATAATTATCACGAAATTACAAATAAATATTGTTTAATATAATTAATAGCAAAATTCTTTTTTATTATTTCCCTTAAGACCTTACTTATTAAGTATACGTATAACAAGCTTGTACTGCATGTATTAGTTAATAGAACAAAAGAAAATGAGCTCAAATGAAAAAAAATTTCATGCTATTTTGGAAATATGCATATTCGAAGTATGAGAGTTGTAAACACTGAGAATTTTAAGCTTTGGTTGATGATAGTCTTTAATTTTTCTTGAAGTAGTAAATTATTTGATATGAAAATTTAATGGCCAGCATAATCAATCGTGCGTTTCGTTTCTTGATTGAGAAACGATGATTGTGTGCTAATGAATTATTGCGTCTGACAGGTTATGATTATGGATACCTGAAATTAAGCTTTTATGGGAAACATCACCGAGCGCCATTTGGCGCCCCTAATGCTGTTTCTATCGGTATGATTAAGGAGCTTTCTTATGCACTTTCATCACTTGAACTTGAACGCTACAAGATATATGCCCCCCTCCCAATGGGAGGTGGGAGCAAAAATTGAAATGTTTACATTGATTTTTGAATACTTTACAAGCGCCCCTCCCAGTGGGCGCGGGCGCAAGTGATCGGGTCAAAAAAAATCATAAAAATATTCAAAATTGCGATTTTAATAGATGTTTAAGAAGTAAATTTATTAATAACGATATTTCATAGTACAAAATGTGTTCAATCTCTTCGTAAATCATTCAAAAAAATCAAAAGAATTTCCAAAATTCAATTTTTGTAGTAAAATTTATATCTTTTTCTATCGTCTCCTCCCCACCAGTGGGAGCCACCGGAGGCGCGGGCGGCGCCGCTGGCGCCAAAAAAGTAGCGCCCATCGTGCCATGTATATAATGAGAATAGAATAAATTACCATAAAATTGAATAAAATTATCCAAAAAAAATTGAAAATTTTAAAAATTAAATAAAAAATAACAAATTTCATAAGAAAATTAAGGAATAGAGAAATATTAGATAGAAAGAGTATGTTTATTTATGATTATAAGATTGAAATAATGAGATTTTGAGAGTTTTAAGAAGAATGTGATCTTTATATTTTTTTGGAGGAAGGTTTTACAAGAAAGGAGTTAACAAATGCAGGGTATTGTCCCTTTACCCTGCATTTGTAAACTCCTTTCTCGAATTGAAATTCGATGTTTAACATTCTTTGAAAAAAGTGCAAGCTATTCGAGAAAAGAGTTTACAAATGCAGGGTAAAGGAACAATACCCTGCATTTGTAAACTCCTTTCTCGAATTGAAATTCAATGAATCACATTCAAGTGAAAAAGTGCAAGCAATTCCTGATTTGCTCATATAGGTGCAGGGTCCTAGTGATAGACCCTGCAAATATATGAGCAAATCAGGAATTATGTCCGACACATTCGCATCGAAGAACAAAAGTGCGCGCTTTTCCCATTCTGCACATATTGGTGCAGGGTGCCAGTGATAGACCCTGCATATATATGTGCAGAATGGGAAAAGTGTTTGCAACATTCGCATCGAAAGGTAAAAGTGCAAGATTTTCCCATTCTGCACATATTGGTGCAGGGTGCCAGTGATAGACCCTGCATATATATGTGCAGAATGGGAAAAGTGTTTGCAACATTCGCATCGAAAGGTAAAAGTGCAAGATTTTCCCATTCTGCACATATTGGTGCAGGGTGCCAGTGATAGACCCTGCATATATATGTGCAGAATGGGAAAAGTGTTTGCAACATTCGCATCGAAAGGTAAAAGTGCAAGATTTTCCCATTCTGCACATATTGGTGCAGGTGCCAGTGATAGACCCTGCATATATATGTGCAGAATGGGAAAAGTGTTTGCAACATTCGCATCGAAAGGTAAAAGTGCAAGATTTTCCCATTCTCACATATTGGTGCAGGGTGCCAGTGATAGACCCTGCATATATGTGCAGAATGGGAAAAGTGTTTGCAACATTCGCATCGAAAGGTAAAAGTGCAAGATTTTCCCATTCTGCACATATTGGTGCAGGGTGCCAGTGATAGACCCTGCATATATATGTGCAGAATGGGAAAAGTGTTTGCAACATTCGCATCGAAAGGTAAAAGTGCAAGATTTTCCCATTCTGCACATATAGATGCAGGGTGCCAGTGATAGACCCTGCATATATATGTGCAGAATGGGAAAAGTGTTTGCAACATTCGCATCGAAAGGTAAAAGTGCAAGATTTTCCCATTCTGCACATATTGGTGCAGGGTGCCAGTGATAGACCCTGCATATATATGTGCAGAATGGGAAAAGTGTTTGCAACATTCGCATCGAAAGGTAAAAGTGCAAGATTTTCCCATTCTGCACATATAGATGCAGGGTGCCAGTGATAGACCCTGCATATATATGTGCAGAATGGAAAAACTATCTACTTTGAATATTCTACATCGGAATCTCTTGGTCAATATACAATTAAATACAATGATCACATCGATATTTGGAGATACAAGATAAGTATCTCCAAATTCCGATGTGATCATATATGATTGTCGATAAAATTTTGAAATCTCAAATAAGATGCAGATTAAAAAATGGATATGTGACCAAAATGAGTTTACAAACACAATATAGAGTATATATATAGATACCTCATTGTATTCAAAATGAAATAAAACAAAATTTTTGAAATTCATATCTTATATAAAACACATTATTCCTCAATACTATATGAGTAAATATGGCTTGATTAGTATAGATATATGCACATATATTTGGCCCCCAATATAAATTCTATGTTTTCGGGAAAGCAAAAGGTCCAATCGGTGTATGATAAATTTCACCTCACATGGCACCGCCCCAAGATGAACTCAGGGTTGTGGGTCAGAAATTAAAAGAATTTTACGAAAAGCATATAATGACTCAACCAATAAACACTAAAATTTTGGTTCATTATATCGTAAATGGTCAGGAGAGAAGCCAACCAATTGATAAAGAAAGTTTTAGACAAAGATTCGAGCAAATGTTAAACGGTCAGTTCATTTATAAAATCGAAGAATTAAGCGGTAACATTTCAGATGATGGAACCAAATTATATTTGGAATTTTTCGACGTCATATATTTCACCATTGATGATAAGATAAAGAAGCCAGCAAATGCTAAAAACATGAAAGAGAGTAACTTTTGGGGTTATAGATTGAAGAAAGAATATAAATTATTAGAGCCATATTTAGCAAGATATCAAATATTCACGAAATTGACAAATGAAAATAATGAGTGCAGGGAGGAAATGAAATATAACTGTTTAATATATGCCTTAAGTTTTACTATTAAAGATGAAAATTTATTAGTGGAGATTTCGAACAGGTTTTTGGATTCTAAATATTGCCCCACTAATGTGTTAGCTAAAATATGTGATGAATACAAAATAAAATGTGTGTTAAGGTATGTTGACGATAAAAGCGGTAAGGTGAGAATCGCTAACGAGAACAAACCCGGCAAATGTTACGGACCCAGTGAAGGCTATAAATACTCTGTCTCATTGTTTACCTATAAAAATCATTACTTCATAAATGAAGAAGTGTCCATTAATCCATTCTTTATTAAAAATTATGATAAAGTTTGCGCTTACGGTAAGCTGAGAAATTGGACAACTGAGCAAATGATGAAAGCATATAAATGTGCCCATGGACGATTCGAAACAAGCACACAAAAAGCTCACATGTCAAGTTTAAACTTAATTTTAAATTTAGAGGAGGTCGGAGCTTTTGAGCCATTATACAGAAACGATAAAGACGTGGATAAGGCAAAAGTCATGCAATTTGTACCAAAGGAAAACGTAAAGGGAATAAAAAATATTGATAAAAGAAATTTTCGAATAATGAAGGATAGAATAGGCGAAAATGAAAATAATGATGAAAAGAAAGTGGAGAAAAGTTACTGGTTCGGTGATTTTGAGACATGCAATAAAGAAGGTCAAGAAATCCCATTTATGGTGTGCTTATCAAATGAAGACGGTAGCATAAAAAAGACATTCACGGGGTTTAATTGTGATGAGCAGTTAATGAATTATTTACCGAATAACTCAATAATATATTTTCATAATATGGGTTATGATGGCAGGCTATTAATGAAATCTGGAATAAAAAATAACATCATGAAAGGCTCAAAAATCATTAGACAGAAACACATATATAATGGAAAAGAGTGCGGGACAAATTTGCCAACCGTCACTTTTTCAATAACCTTAAATTACGCTTTTCTAATTTTTTTAAAAAATAACCTTAAATTATATTTGAAGAAATTATGTCTATGATATATGTTTTATTCTAGAATCTTGGAGTTTTCATGCACTACACAAGAGCTCCAAGGTTCCAAGAGTGAATGCTCAATAGCAATTATAGAGATGTACCTTTTCAAAATGACTTTTACTGATTAAATTTAATCAATAGAAGACATTTTGAAAAGGTACCTCTACAATTAGATATACAAGAGATTCAAAGCTTCATTTCAGATAGATTTGAAACTTTGAAACTCTTGGTAGATTTTGAGTGAATGCTGACAATCATCTTTGAGAAGGTTTTCTTAAAGAAAACCTTCTCAAAGAGGTTTCTCAGGAGCCCTGAGGCTCCCTTTCGTAATGATTGGGAGCCTTGGGGCTCCTGAGACGAAGAATGGCTTCGCCGAATCTTTGATCAGCAGAGGCCAAATGAAAAGGCCTCTGCTGATGGATTCTCAGGAGCCCGCTCCATTAATTTTTTTTAAAAAAAGTGCCGTGTGGCAAATTTGTCCTGTTCCCAATGGAAAACACATTGAATTAAGAGACTCATACAGTATATTCACAGAGAAATTAAGTAATTTTCCGGTGTGTTTCCCTGATGCATTTAAGGGAACAGATATTAAAAAGGAATTATTCCCATATAGATATTACACTTATGACAGAATTAATGAAACGGGAGGAGTGGGAATTATTGATGAAGTAGGAAACGATGAGACACCTAAATGGGGTAAAAAACAAATAGCAACTTTTAAACAAAATATTAAAATGATTAATGCAGAGAAGGAAAGAGGAACATTCGACATGTTCAAATATTGTGAATTCTATTGTGAACAAGACGTTAACGTGTTAAGGGTTGGATTCGGTGCTTTCCGTTCTGTTTGTCTTCAGGAACCCATAAACATGGACATTTACAATATAACAACTGTTCCAAGTTTAGCCAATAAGTTTTTAAATCGTGAGGTGTTTTATCCTAACGGTAATTTATACGAAATATCAGGAAGTGTGAAGGAATACATAATGGGTGCAATTTATGGTGGGTGTTGCATGACTAAAAATAATAAAAGATATGTTGTAAAGGATAAATTGAATGACTTTGACGCATGTAGTTTATACCCATCAGCAATGAATAGACTATTCACAATTGAGGGAAAGCCAGAAATTATAAATGAATGCTTGATAGATGATAAAATTTATGATGACAATAATCCCCACCCTTTATTAGTTCGTGCTTTCGATGAAGACCAAACAGAACCAACGAAAGATAAAGATTTGAGTTATTTTGTGGTGGATATTGAAATAACTAATGTTGGAAAAAGTAGAGACTTTCCGTTAATTGTTTTAAGAGATGAAAACGGATTAAACAGAAACGTGAATGAAACAGGATTTATGAGGGTGGATATGATAGCGCTTCAGGATTTGGTAAAATATCAGAATATTAGTTATAAAATATTGGGTGGCTTAATTTGGAAAGGTAACAGGGACCATAGAATACGAAACACCATTAGAAAAATTTATGATTTAAGGAGAGTATACAAAAAAGCCGAAATCCGATGGAAAAAATATTAAAGCTCATCATGAATTCAGCGTATGGAAAAACTATCCAGAAAACGATAAAGACAACAAATACGTATATAGAAGATGATAAAAAAGATTATTATTTATATAGTCACTGGCATCAAGTTGAGGAATTTTACAAAATTGATGAATCTAATTTATGGTGTTTCAAAATGTGTAAAGTTTGGGATACACAATTTAACAGCCCAGTATTCGGCGTCTCTGTTTTGTCAATGTCTAAGCGCATAATGAACGAGGTGATGACGACGGCAGAAGATTTAGGAATAAATATTTATTATCAAGATACAGACTCAATGCACATAGAAGATGAAAAAATATCTATGCTGGCTGATGAATTTAAGAAAAGATACGGGCGTGAGTTAATTGGTTCAGATATGGGTCAATTTCATAACGATTTTGACGAATTAGAAAACGCTTACTGTGTCCTTCATATATCAGCAGGAAAGAAAATTTATTATGATTTATTAAGAAATGACAAAGGACAAACAGCTGAACATTTAAGATTAAAAGGTATTCCATCAGAAACTATAATAAATCATGCTAACAAATATTTTAAAGGACGTGTTAAAAATTATATAAAGCATTATACTGGGGTGAAGAAATAAACTTTAATTTATTGGATAATAAGACAAGGTTTAAGCTTGAGAAAGACGGCAAAATAATGAGATGTTGTAAATTTGAACGAAAAGTTAAAGCAACAGTGAAGAGAGAAGATAATAAAAATAAATTAAAACATAAATGAGAAATTATTTTTACCAAACTATTTTAGCATTTACGCCTATTTCCTTTAATCTTTTCATTACTTCTGGGTAAGCATATTTAACGTTTTTGGTTTCCCCATCCTTGATAACATATATAGCATTAACCCTGCGATATTTATTTTTAGTAATGCAACCGCTACCTAAATCTTCAACGTCCAGCTGTACATCATCAGCATCAGTGAGTAAATCGACAAATCTCATTAATACCCAGTCGTCGACTAATACTAATTTATTAATAAATATTGGGTTATCTCTTATCATTTTCAACATTAAATTTAATGCCTCGATTTCATTTTGAAGCTTTTATCTGTTGTTCATAATAAATTTTATCCTTTCCGTCTTCATTAACTTCAGGATATTCAGGTGGTGGTGGTAATATTTCAATATCTCGAGATTTAACGGCTGATTCACTTAATGGTATACGGTCAGTTGAAACGTAAACTGAGGTTTTAGGCTCCACATTTACGTTTACATTTTGTGAGTTCTTCGCTTCTTCACGCTTTAAACTTATCATGGCGTTCATGTTCATTTTAGTAAAAAATAAAAATTTTAATTTATAGTTTATTATTTGTCATTTCATTTATTACCATATATAATTTACTAACTGCTTCGCTCAGTTCTTTTAATTCTTCCTCAATTTTATTTATTCGTTCATTTCCTCCTTCCTTCATTTCTTCATTTTTAATTTTTCGTGCCACATAATCAGTGATAAGTTTAACGGTCACCTTACCGTCTTTATCTTTCGGTTTCGTTATTTTATACCCTGGTATTTTATATTTGAGATTTAATATATACGTGGATAATGTCATAAATTCCTCTTCATTGAGTGCATAATATTTATTGAATTCATCAACTGTGTTAAAGGTTATGGTTTCAGGGTTGAATGATTCAACAACTTCAAGAGGTTTAATATTTTTCAAGTTCTTCAATTCACCATTTAAAAATTTAATAAGGGATAAAAAATTAAATATTAAATGACAACTTTTAACATCCATCGAGGAACTTTAACAACATCACCCGTCACTAATGATTCACAAACGAATAAACCACCCTCTTTAGATATGACTTTAAATACTCCCTCCAACAGTTTATTTTTCAGTTTATCCATACTGGACGCTTCATTGTAAATTCTCACTTTATGACCGATTACATCGAATTCAGGTTCTTCATGAGTTATGAAATTCATTTTGGCACAATATAAACAGAATTCACGCTCCATTTCGTCTGTCATCATGTTTGGTGATACAGGATGTTTGAAAAATTTAGTGAATGAAGTGTTGGGTGAGTTATTATATTCATTTATTAAATATTCCATAACTTCAGGATAAATGATAGTCCCATATCCTGCGTTATAGTTCATAGTTCGTAATGTCCGGCAGATTCTGTCCAAAATTGATAGCGTTGAATGGTTCCCTCTTGATTCTTCGTTGGTATCCACAAAATTTGAAACTTTATTTTTAACGTAAACCCTCAATGTTATGCCGTTTTCTATACACCAATAAGCCAAATCATTGCCGGTAAAAGCTGGCTCTTGGTCACAGACTAAATGTTTAATGTTTACACCATTTATTATTAATGAATTTAAAGACTGAATAGTATTTAACGCTGTCATATTCTCTTTCGTTTCTTTTGGTGCTTTCCATTCACCATTAATTTTAGTAATTAATGAACTCAATATGGCATAAGTTCTTCTAGTGTTCATCTCAACAACTAACAACCACACGAACACATCAGAAATGAAATAGTCTATAATATAAGTTCCTTTTGCTCCAACAGTTTTCATATAATATTTTTTATTTCCTTTCAAATCGAATGAATCCCTTTCTTTCTCTTCCAATTTATCCCTAACTTTATCAAATCCCCACTTCATCCTCTCACCATAATTTATGAGCTTATTTTTACTTCTCCATGGACTCGATTTAAAAACTTTTCCCTTTTCTTTATTTCTTCGTTTATCTTTTCATCTACTTCATCCTTTTTAAAATTCTCATTTTTTCCCTTCATTTCTGTTTTCTTTTTCTCTGCCTTTCCATTTTTATGATATTTATCATATAATGATTGAAAATATTTTAACCGTTCATTAGTTATTTCATTATTTGGTATTCCTAACAATTGATATTTTACATAATCCCTCAACGTCTCAACTTTTGCATATCGTTTCTTACTATATAAGGCGGTATTATTCAAAATATTTTTTATTCGTTCGTCATAATATCGCTTTAATTCACGCTCGTCATTTACTTCGGGTTCCTTTGATTTGTTGTATAAATAAAATATTATATCCTGATGATTGAAAGCAAAATTTATAACCCAATCGATAGCGTCTTCTTCCCTTCTCAACATGTCCAAAATTTTTTCGTAAATGTCAAGCAAAAACGCCCATGGTTTAAATTCATTATTTATTAAAGCCTGACTTAATTTTGGGTATAATCTATAATTCTCATTAAAATAATTCATTAACTTTTTTCTTTCCTTCTTCCTCACTTCAGGGTTTTTGTCTTCAATACTTGATATAAATTTATTTAATTTGTATTCATAACCGTTCAGTAACTCACCAATGTGTTTTTTAATTAATCCTATATCATTAATATTAGACATTTCATACTCAATAAAATATTTTTAATTTATTTTAAATGAGTTATGAATATGAAGACGTTGACAATATGTCGAGTGATGATTTGGTAAATTACGAGATGATGGAAGAACTAGAGGGCAGAAGTAATAAAGAAAGTTTGACCAAAATTAAGGGAACAAACATTTATTTAAATTCAGTGAATGTTTTAGTGGGTAGACAACGGACAGGTAAAACGTACACGATGACAAAGGAGATAATAAAAATTTCACGAAACAGTAAAGAAACACATTTGATAATTTACATTAATAAATCAGGAGACGCAGACGATGAGACATTTTATAAATGTTCTCAATTGATTGAAAAACCATTAATATATGTCAGTTATAAAGAAGCCCCAAAGTTAATAAATGAGATAATAAAATATAAAATGATTTATAATAAAATAAAAGAAAATAATTTGGAGGATGAATTACCAGAGGAAATGAGGGATGAGCTATTTAATAAATTATTTATCACTGATTTCAAAAGTAAATTTTTACACACGGTGGTAATTCTGGAGGATGCAACGAATACTAAAGAGTTAAACGATAAAACAGGATTAATAAATGACCTTCTCACTAAGTGCCGACACATTCAATTTTCATTCTTTATTTTAGTTCATTTCTGGAAAGCACTCAGCACCAACTTAAAATCTAACTTATCCACTATATTTATTTTCGCTGGTTATTCACGCCAACAGTTACAATATATCACGTATCAATTAAATATCCCTCTTACCTCTTCTGAACTATATAACATTTATAAACAAATCACTGGACATCAGAAATTATATATAGACGCAAACGAGCAAACATTTAGCGTTCTCAATTAATTTTTATCATTTATTTTTACATTAATTTTTATTTTTTATTTATCATTAAATGGATGAGAGATATGACATATCGAATTTTAACACAATTGAAGATATCAGAAAGCCAAGAGAGAAAAACGGAAAATATACGGGAGAGAAACAAGACCTTTACGATTCATTAATAAACATCATTTTAAATCATAAAAAAGAAAATTCGAAGGTTCCTTTGGCATCATCAATTAAAACGGCTCAACCGTGGGCTGAGAAACGTGGATTACGCGCTGGCGTTCAAGATTTAGACGGAGACGGAACACAAGAAGTGGTCGTTTATGATAAAGCCGGTCGTCCTATCATTATTAATGGTTATAAGTTAAGGGACTCCGACTTCGCCTTGAGGCAAGCATATTTTGACACTCACACAACAAAACAGAGCAGAATTAAAGAACCAAGCGTTAATGAATGGGGTAAACGTTACGCTTATGATTCAACGGTAGACCCGAATAATCCATGGATTACCCATACAAGACTAAAGCCAGAGGGTCAATTATTAGAACAAACAGGGTATAAAATGCCGGTGAAACCAAAGAAGACACAATCAATATTTAACATATTCACAAAATTAATTGCGCCATTAGTTAAAAAATATTGGGCAGGAGATGCTGAAGCATTTAGAAATATCATAGGCGCCAAAGGTGATGAATCCAATATTGAATTCATTAAAAAGATTATTTCTCCAATCGTTATTTATCGTATGCTTTACGTTCGATTGGTTGAGAAAAAATATTTTCAGTTCTTAAATCTGAAATTGTGTGAGGGTTCGTATCAACAATTTAAGAACTACATTAGAGATAACCCTAATAGATTCTGGGGATTCTTTAAAGAAAATTATTTAACAAAAGATTTACAACATTTAACACCCAAAATTAATATAGAAGTAATTAAACAGGCTATGTGTGCGGATGATTGCGACTGGGATGGTTCCGACATAAATGATGTCATTATATGGCTATTAGGTTTGAATAATTGTAAAAATCCTGAGTTCGTCGCTTTTTGCACTGACGGTGTCCAAGCTGCTGCATTACTTCAATTACTGAAAAGAAAAAGAAAGGCTGAAGTTGATGAAGACCCAGTCGCTGCACTTAATGAATATAGAACGTGGCGTGTAAAGATGGAAGATTTTAAAGAAGACGCCCGCAGAGGACAGAAGCAATGGTTCAACATGGTTGAAGATTATTTTAACGGTGCAGTTAAAGAAGATACTAAACGCTTCGCATATATGATGGAGAATGGACTCAATCCGTTTGCAGAAGCTAAAACAGTGGAGGAAGTTGGAAAAGCCGGCTCTTCATCTCCAATGAAAGAAGGCAAACCATCAGCACCACCAGACGACAAAGGAACTGAAGGAGCAGCACCAGAAGAAGCTCCACAAAGTGAATGAAATAAATGATGAGGAATGATGAAAAATAAATTTTAAATTTTAATGATTAAATATAATATTTTTATTTTTATGAAATGGATTTGATAATAAATGAGATAAAGAACATGAGAAATGGTGATAATTTATCCGCTAAATTAACTGGCGGAATTTATAATATACCTGATTTAAAATATGAAATACCATTGACTGAAATAAATGTTACTCAAAATAATCACGTGAGAAGTTTAATTGAAATGGTGCATAAAGACGCGGGAAGTTCTATATGGCATGATTTAAGACCTGAATTTTATAAAAAGCCGATAAACATGGTTTTATTTATTAGTGATGAAAAAGACATACTAGCTGCAGATACCGTAACTCAATTTGTTTTAATTAATTTCATGATGTCTTATGTATTCATTGGTAAAAAATATAAATGGGTTAACTCAACTGGAGGAAATGAAGCCTTAACAAAATGGGTTCCCGGAGAAACCGGATTTGATAAAACAATGATAGAAAGGGATTTATCCAATTATTTTGCTTTATATCATAAAAACCCTTCAGAATTACCAACAAGAGGAGCTAAAATTTATCTTTGGGGTTATGCATCAGAGCCAATCAATTTAAAGCTTTTGGAACATGAAAAAGATTATGATAGTGTTTCGCCTGGTCATTATATGCTGGGCTCAATGCCATTAAAAGAAGACCCCGACCCATACGCAACATGAATTTTAAATATTGATGATAAAAATAAATTATTCATAATGGGTCAAAGTCCTCACCGATATGTGCCTTAATTATTTTTATTTATTCTCCTCAATCATGCCCATTTTATCACCTATTGTCTTTATCGCTTCATAATGATTAATAAGCACCTCATTTAATTTTTTAATTTCTTCATTTATTTCATTTATTTTTTCATTTAATCTATCCTCTGTCATCTTTACCTCATTCATAACTTCAACTTTATTTTTATTCACTTCATCCCTTAAATCATTTATCCTTTCATCTTTTCCATCTCTCATTTTCTTCAGTGACTCCAAATTAAATTTCACCTCACCTGATGCTTTTAATTCTCTATTCACTACTGACATCATTTATTTATAAATAAAAATTTCAATAAATTAATAAAAAACGCGCCACAAATTTAAAAGACTGTTTTTCCTCATCACTTAAAGGCTCACCGTTCAAATGAGTGAACCATAAATTAAAACCATTTCGGCGAGAATTTATTTTATATTTCGCCGTGTCCTTGTTTGGTTGGTCATTAACGAAACACGCTGCATAATTTAAATAGTGGTCACGTTCGATAAAATCTGCGTTCATGATTAAGTCCCCAACTAATGAGCCATTTAATACCGCCCTAACTTGTTCAATAACTATATATCTTTCATTCTTGCTTGCCACAAATTCTGACGGTAAATTATTTTTCTCTTCATCTGTCCAGTAATACGTCTTCATTTATTTAAAAATAAAATTCAAAATATATTTAATTAATTATCTTGAGAACCTGGCGGAGAACCTGACGAAACATATTTAAGCCCGTCATCAACTGAAGCAATAAAATATGTGTCACGACATACCCATAACTGTGGTGGTGGTGGATGTGTTTCTTTATTGTTTGCATCTACGAAATAATAAGTATCCCTTCCTTCACCTGTGAATAATGGTTGCCCTCTGAATTGGATCGCGACGTTTTGACCGTTACTGTCTAAACCATCGAATGTATAGCCGGCGTTGTTTCTTTCCACCTGAACGTTAAACATAAAACTGGTTCCATCACTGAGAGGGTTTTTATACTTTGTACCATCTCCTGCATTCTTTTTCATTGTTATTGAGTCCTCGAATTCTTTAGTGCATCTCAAACCATTTGATAAATCACCTGCGATTAATTGATATTGAAGGAATCTTGCACCCTGAGTTGATACCACTTGGTCTGGTATGTTTTGACCGTTAAGGATACTCTTACATTGCGTAGTTAGAAAGAGAATATGATATTGTCATGATTGCTAAAGTTTTAGGCTCCAGAAATGAATATACATCAAACTGAAACAATTGATAAATTGAATGAACTTTTGAGAGGTTCTCAAATAAAAAAAATTATCTAATTTTTTACAATATTACTATTATTTTATCCACATATGTATATATAGTAATTTGAGAAAACTTTTAGGAAAAAATAAGTTTAATAAAAATCTGAATTTTACTTGTTGTGGGATTGTTATTAATTGACACTCCAGACGTATTACTAATAGTTATGCGTATGCAATTAAAGTATTTCTGATGGACAAAATGTGAGATTTATATCAGATAATTCATTTCTACTATTAAGTTATTCATTTATGAGTTTGCACTTATTCGCACTAAATAAATAACTATTAAAAATTGTTTTAATTAATTGACACCATATAATAGAGTGAATTTTGTTTGATCAAACAACAATAGATGATAGATATAAAGCCAAGAAACTTGCTATTAATATGCTCTACTTGCTATTTCAATGTAAGTATGATATTTTCTAAATGTTTCGTTCAGATAACTTAGATATATTAGTCAAAATTTGAAATTTTAATAGCACATATATTAAAAATAATTATTATTCATAAAAGATTAATGAAATAGTAAAAAAATCAATCAAATTATAAAAATACAACATTTAGAAGAATTCTTATTATCCTTCAAAAAGTCAGTATTTCTGCTGTAATTTTCTACAACATTGTAGTTATTGCACTTTGTCTATGGATTTGTATATATGTTATATATAAATTATATATCTAAACTGCCCATAAGTGCAATTTTTATATAAATTGTTTATTTCTTTAACAATTTCATATGAAATATGCTTTTTTAAGTGTATCAAAGCTGTGTTCTTAATGTGCATGGATATATCAAGAAAAATGTCGAAAAAAATGTGAATTCACAAATTCACTGAATTTTCACCGTTTTTTGAATTTTGCTACAGCACTAATATTAAATAATACTAAAATCTTCTGTCTTTGTAAAAGAATAAATTCTGACAAAAAGTGCTCGTTTAAATTTAATGATCATCTGTATGACTAAGTGGTAAAAAGTGTTTATGACCAAAAAAGGGTTACATGCTTAGTCTATTTTTCTGACAGGATACTCTAGATTTACATGATCTTTATTTCATATCTCCGTTTTTAGATTCTTCGACAGATTTTATGATAGAAAACCAAGATTAACAAATTTCCGGCATGTTAATGAAGAAATCTGCAGCTACCCTCAATATTATTTCAATAATCAGTATCGTTTCTCTTACAATTTATTTTTTTCTCAATAATTTAACAAGAAATAACAATACACACTTGGTTTTACGTATAAAAGCTAAGTGTCGAACTTAATCAACTTTACTTACTTAGCAAATGAATATTTTTGTGGTTGCGAGTTCTGAATGCTGAAGTTTTAGATTTCTCTATAAATGATATCATTGCACTTACAATGTTGTTCCAGCCTATCGCATAAATCATAGAAAATCCAAAAAAAAATAATATAAAGAAAATTCATGTCATGAAGTTCAAAAAATACCGTGTAACATTAAAATTTGTTATGCATAATACATTTTAGCTATTATTGATTTTTTTTAATTTTCGAGAAATTGAATGGTGAGTCCGATAGAGAAATTTTTAAAAATCCTAGTGCCTCATAGAAGTAATTTCCCTCGTCTCCCATACTTCCAAATGTATGCATATGACATAAACTTTTATGCATTACACAAGTGGCCAATAATATCTATAGAGTAAAAAATTAGAAATTTAATTTTTTTATATGATAGTTATATTTCAGATTTGCGAGCGTAACTTTTTTCTCCATGGCATACTTGTTTTAAGAGCAAATGATCAAAATCGTCCTTCAATTATTGAAGGAGCTGATATCTTTTGAAAATTGAATTGAAAGGGTATTCAATTTTCAAATTTCCTCTCAATTTTGGAAACATATCAACTCTATGAATTAACAATTATGTGCCTTCACAGTTTATCAGTCATATAAGATGCTTATAAAGAAAAAAGTTACGCTCGCAAAATATGTTTTTATATAGATTTCACATAAAATAATTATGTAATTTCTAAAAAGAATATTTTTGTTCTTGAATATTAAAGTGTATTGTAGTTTAAAAAGTTTTAAATATGTTGCTAAAATTTCAGGTTTATAGCTCATGTCTAGCATGACTTCTTCGTATGCGCAAAAAATCTGACACGTAAGGGTATCCTTAACGGTTAATTGACAGTTATCATAAATTGGGTTTTCAAATACTGTATAATCGTTATCATGTTTGGGGAACATTACAGAAAAGCACGTGACATTATCCAACGGAATGTTTAATGTTGATTGAATACCTGCCTGAGTTGCTGCTAATGGAAAAGCGTTATAGTTTAATTCTTGTGATGGAATGTAAACTGGCTGTTTAAATAAATTATATATTGATTGTTTTGACCTTTCACTAATTTTGAAGCCATACATGTTTGATTTAATTGATTGAGCACTTAAGCCAGTCATGATATACCTTATTTCACCGCTCTCAGGTGTGTAAATGTCAACACTTTGACCACCGATTGTTTCAGTTCTTTTGCTCACATTTGTGAAACCATAACTTGGGTTATTAACCTGTGAAAATGCATGAGTAAAACCAGATCCTGTAGTTGTTGAAAACGTAGCGTTCAAATCTTCGCCCTCTCTAATTGCTTTATAATCTCTGACTTTTTCTGGATTCAATAGAGCATAAACGAAACCCTTTTTCTTTATGTAAAATTTCAATTCAATATCACCCACACAGAAATTGGGGAACATGTCAAACGCTTGAAGGGCTAAAATGTCATCGAATGGAATATTTATTTCATATTCTTCGATATGTTCTTTTCCGTCTGCATAATCTGCAAGATTAACGAAAACACCAGCGGCTGACTCTGAATAATTTTCAACGTTCTCATATAATGAGTGTGTATATTTCTTCGTTTTCTTTTCATTGTGTGGTTTTAGTGTTGAATATGCGAACCCTTCTCTTACCATCTCGTTTTGTGTGTATCCTGTCGATTTATTACGGTTATTTATAAATAACTGGTCCAATATATGAGAGGAAGATTTTAAGCCAATGAATGATTTAAATAAGTGATTGGGGTCATTATCTTTAAATGCTGGATTCAAACCAACGAAATATCCTTTCTGTCTTATCTTGAATGTTAAAAATCCGTCTGTAATTTGTGATATGTCATGGTCTGTGTGTGTTATTGAAATTGTTGTATATTGTGAATCATCGAAAGGTGCCGCTTGGTCGTGACAGTCTACAGTCCTTAAGAAAAAGCTTCGGGTGCCGTTATTTGTTTGTATTAAATTCTTTATAATATTGTGAAAATACGCGGCAACATTACCCGTTCTTTGTTCCGTATTGTTCATTCTCTTATTTTGTTCACTGTTCATTTTATATAAAATAAAAATATAAATTATAAGTGAAAATTTAATTTTTTTAATTTCTCATAAAATATGGCTTGGGGATTTTGGAATAAACTCAAAAAAGGATTCGTTAAAATAGGAAATGGAATTAAAAAGGGCTTGACATGGGTGAACGATCACATAGTAAAACCAGTAGTTAAACCATTAGTTAATACATTTGGTGGAGCTCTTGATAAAGTTAAACCAGGATTAGGCACAGCGTTAAACGCCGGCGTAAATATTGGCTCTGGTTTGGTTGATGATTGGAGTGGTTCAGGTGACGGCTCAACAACTCGAAAAGCAATGGCTGACGTTGGTGGTTGGGTTAATCGTCGACTAAATAAATAAACATTCATTTCATCATTAATTTTTAAAATTATTTTTGTCACTCTCGCCCACACTCTCACGCTTTGTGGTCTTTCGCTACCCTTAATTTTTCACATTATCGTAAAAAATCCTAATGAAGTTAATGACGTGTTTAAAGTTTTCATTTGTGTTTTAAAAAATTTTTCATTGGTGATGTCATATGCGTGAGGTGTGATTTATTGACGTGAATGTGGAAAACAGAAATGATGAGAGCACAGGAGCGGAGAGAATGGGTCTCAAGTCAATGTTTTTTCGTTCACTCTATAAATCACACTTCACATACTACTTCCTTTGATCATTATAGCATTACCTAACTCTATTCCATGATCGAACCCCTTCGATATCGAAAAAATATGATTCTGCATAATAATATAAAGGAACTGATATCAAATTCATATAAAGTCATTGTCTAATCGGTAATTGTAACATTGGAGATCAATGTTTGAAATAATTAAATCATATTTTTACCAAATTTGTATGATTCTAAAGCAAAAGGAACATTGAGACTTATAATTTCTTACAAATACTGCCATTTGGATTGAGCAAATTAATGATGGTTCTGAAAGCAGCAATGGCTGATGTGATTTTAAGACTAATATTTCAAAAATTTGAGAAAGGGCGCTGCCCTATGATACCTTAATCTATCAGATATCTCATTTTGACATTCATACATAATAAATGTAAAATCTTATATAAATACATGTTCTGCAACTGCTAGTTACAAAGAAGTTTAGACTTTTGAGAAATGATTGAAATGAAGAAATGCTTTATGCTGAACTCCAGAACGACTCAGCTTTTCTCTTCGAAATGAACGTCAATATTCAAATTTATGGCAAAATAATTACACAGAAATGATATCTATTGTATAGAGATAATATATTTCGATGTCAAACAAGGAAATTAAAGTTCAAAATTTTAACAATTTCGAAAAAGTGACGATGGCCTTTTTAGCGTATGTCTGCACCAGTTGTAATCGATGCTAAGGGCCATATTCAAGGCCGTCTTGCAGCTGCAGTTGCCAAACAACTCCTTAAAGGTCGTAAGGTTGTTGTTGTCCGCTGCGAAGAGATCGAATTAAATGGTCAACACAAATTCGCTGTTCATGGTTACGAACGCTTCCTTAACAAGACAACAAACTCAAATCCACGTGATGGTCCATTCCACCAACGTGCTCCACACGAAATTTTCGCTCGTGCTGTTCGTGGAATGATTCCATACAAATCACATCGCGGTGCTGATGCTTTCTCTAATCTCCAATGCTTCGAAGGCATTCCATCAAAGTATGTTTCATGCAAACGCCTTGTTATTCCACAAGCTCTTCGCTGCGTCTCAATTCATACTGACAGGCCAACAACAAAGCTTGGTCAACTTTCAACAACAATGGGATGGAAGTACGGAAAGGTTGTTGCTGATCTCGAAGAAAAGAGAAAGGCCGAATCTGCAAAATATTACGATGAAAAGAAGGCTCAACAAGAAAAGAGAGCATTAGCCCTTGAAAAGGTCAACAAGCAACTTGGTGCTCAGGCTGTCAAGTTCCTTGAAACTTTTTCTGAATAAATTCTTTAAATATACATTGATATAGAGTAATTGAAACCGCTTTTTAATAAGAATTTGCCTTCTTGACTCAGTTATTTAGTATGAGGTAGAATATTTTAAATATAAATGATAAAATTTGATTTTGTTAAGATTGAGAACAAATCTCATGAAATCTTTGCTAAATTTTGATAAAGATTAAATAAACATTAATATTTTAACTTAATAACAGATATAAAATGAATAATTTCGAAAATTTCTACTATTATGGTAAATAAACTAGATAAAAATTGTTGGAGGATCATTATCGTATCCAGTCATTTCGGAATTCCTGTAAGGCTTCATCATTTCTGACTTATAATATAAATTCCAAGCAAAATTCCAAAAAGCTTGGCCAGCATTCGGTGGATTTTTGTAATCCCATATAAACATTTCTCTTACTATCTCCAGTTTCTTTCTCATTTCCTTTATTTTGTTTTTATCAAAATTATTAACGAGATCTGGAATTTTTTCAATATCTTTTGACGGAATTTGAATCACACACTCAGTATAATTAATTGAAGTTCCGTCAAATGGTAATGTCATATAATCTGCTACAATTATTGGAATACAAAGATGGGAAATCGCATCATATAATCTTTTTGATGTTGGAGCATCTCCTGGAGGAATGATGCAGAAATCAGAGGATCCCATCTTAGTGGGCAGTACAGCTAATATGTCTCTAACTGATTTTGGTGATGTTCTCGAGATTTTGATGAATTCTGAGTTTTTAATCTTCTTGAAAATTTCTGTTAGATTTTTTCTAAGATTGGCTGAGTTCTTTGCTAAGTGATTAGTTGACATCGCCACAAAAACCGGAATTTTGCGCTTAGCTTTTGGATTTATTTTAGATTTTAAAGTTATAAAAGGTAAAATCTGACTTTTTGCGTGAGTCCATGGACTTTTGATCATTTCAGACCATTTAAAATCCAATACACCTATTATTGGCTGTCTGCTATCATCAATTGCTATATCAGCGGGTTTATCTCCATAATTTGGTACGGAATGCATCATAAAATGATCTACAGTACTGTATCTAGTGAAGTAATGACCATATTTTTCTAAGTAATCTGGCAGTTCTTCCCACCTTTCTTCAGGAGGAGTAAATCCGCTGCACATTCGGCTGTAATGAGGGATATAAAATAAGTCAGCATCATTTGTATTATTTGTTAATATTGGAGATGCAAGTAATTGTTCATGAACTGTTGGTTCTAGCATTCTTTGAAACCAAAATCCGTTTTCTGTAATATAACGTGTAGGAAAATCCGATGGATATAAGCATTCTGATGTATGCCGACTATTATTTGGATATGCATAAACTTTTAATGGAGGCCAATCCAAATATGATTTTGGAATATGGGGAATTTTCGAATGATTTCTATTGTTTTCTACAATAGTATATGCTAGTAAAGATGTTAGTAGTATACATATGAAAAATTGAAGCAAACGAAAAAATCTAATTCGATTATTTTTTACATTTAACATTAATGACAAAAGTATTTCAATTAAAAAGTTTAAAGGTAACCATTACTGCATTAGGAAATGTTTACAATTAAAGTTTTAGCCTGTTAATAAAAGACTTAACGCCAATTCTTCATTCTTATCACAAGCTACGAACATCTCAACGCACTGGGAGAAAGAGAAGCCATTAGACTTAAGTCTTTCGATGGCATCCTTTTCTGCCTGAGTAAATTGATTAAATTGCTCTTGAACAGCGTTAGAATATTGTGATGTCTGTGTAACAACATTCGTTTGTGATCTTTCATCCAATATAGCGTTAACAACAGCTTCGACAGATTCATTATTCTGTCGTAATAAGGCTTCAATTTTGGAATGATCAGTTTCGCCTGTAACTTGGCTGATTTGTTGTATTTGGTCACTAAGATCGGATCTGGCCGGCTGTGGTGCTGGTTGTGGAGCTGGTCTGGCTGGAGCTGGCTGTGGAACTGGTTGTGGAGCTGGAGCTGGTTGGGCCGGTTTAATTGGTTGTGCTTTGACTGGCTCTGTTTTCTGAGGAGCTGGTTGAGCTGGTGCTGGTTTAGCAGAAACTGATTTTGTTCGGGTTGGAGCCGAAGCAGAGTTTGTAATAGTAAGTGTTGACATTTCTGTTATGCCTGCATCCTTAAATGTTTGAGTCATATCTTCATACTTATCATCTCCGCCTTGTTTGATAAATGCAATGTTTTCAGGAAGTCTTGTTCCTATTTTATTCTCAACAATTTGCTTGAACTTTCCAAATGTATCGTTTATATCAACTTCGATGAAATACTTTTTGCTCGCATATTCGAAGAGAAGCCAATTTCTTTGCCCCATTTGATTTGTCACTTTTACGACATTATTTTGCCACAATTTGTTGATTTTAGTTGATTTAATGTTCACAAAATGCTTTAGTTTCATATAAAATTAAAAATATGTATTAATATTTCAAATTTCATATAAAATATGAAATTTCATTTTGGAAATTAATTGAAGAATAACAGCTTATTAATTTACATTATGCTTTTAGCTACTTGTGTGTTTTAGGTTTCATTATTTGTTGAGTTCATTAGTCAACAATTGAACAACAGCCTTTATAATTTGTTGTGTGTTGTTGAGTTCAATACATTCTCATTTCTTTTAAAACAATTGAACAACAGCCTTCATTAGTAAACAAGTCCCAATTGCCAAAAGGTGGGAAAAAATTGAAAATATATCAGATAATATAAAAAATTACTTTTATAATTTAGAAGATATGGCCAAAGCCTTAAGTAATATAATGGAAAGAAGCTTCATAATCTTTTTAATCCCAAAAAAGGGAATGCTCATAATAACTTAAGTAAACGCGTATTGCATAGCGAAGTATATAAATCACACCAACACCCACAAGTATCAACCGAAATGCTTTCAAAAGCAGCTTCATAAAATTATTTGTAAATGCTTGTATCTGTCTTCCTACATATAAGGTAATATTAATTAAAATGAAGAAATTCCAAAATTGGAATTTTGGACGGTTACGTCTATCCCAGAAATAATCAAACATCATATGTGTGATATCCTTGTTTTTTATCTCTCTGTTAGAATTAGAAATTCCACCATTCAGTCTTAAGAGAGCTACCATTTCGCTCTTTTTCTCCAATAAATCAAGAAAATCTTTGCTATTTCTTGTACCAGAATCAAGAAAATCTTCTTTATCAAAATCAACAAACTCTTTGTTATCTTCTTGGTCAGAATCAAGAGAATCTTGGTTATGATCTCTCTTATAACGCATAACTGCCATATCAAGGGGAGTCTGATCAAACTTATTGAATGAATTTACTTCAACACCTTGAGAAATCAATATTTCGGCATTCTTTGGATTTGACATTAATGCTGCAATATGAAGAAGTGAATTTCCATGAGTATTTTGTCCTCTGATATTTACATGATATGAAATTAGAAGTTTGATCAAGTCTTTGTTATTTCTTTCCAAATCAAATGTTTTATAATTTATAGAATCTATCTCTTGATGAAAACGGTTAAGCGCAGTTTCCATGAATTCCTTATTGTTATACAATAATGCATAAGCAATTGCATTATTTCCATATTTATCTGTCGTGTCGACTTCTGCACCACGTGAAATCAGATATTGAACGATTTCTTTATAATTCAAAAGTGATGCCAATAAAAGAGGAGTGAGACCAAACTTGTTCGAATTATCATTCACTCTTACACCATATTTAATTAGAATATCAATAATTTTTCTATTTTTAACTATGGTTGCAACATGTAGTAATGAAAAACCATGATCTGAATCATTGATGGTGGTTTCGGCACCATTTGAAATAAGGATTTCCACCATTTTAGTATAGTTCATTGTTACTGCAAGATTTATGGGGCGTCCATATGCTTTATCAAATGCTTCAATATTAGATCCTAAATTAATTAAATCTTTTGCAATTTCTGTTTGATTTACATAAATTGCAACATGAAGAGCTGTTGTTCCACCTGCATTAGAAAAAGTTATATCTCCCCCATTCTCATACAAATATTGACAAAGATCACGGATATGAAAAGCTGGAGAAAATAGTAAACATGAGTTGATATTATTCGTTTGAAGTTAAATATTAAGAAATAACCTAAGATCATGGCATTTACAACTAAAAAGAAGAAGTTGTGGATTGAGTAATTTAAATTGTGTTTTGTATTTCAAATTCAAATAAGTAAAAAGGTTTGCATCATGAGTTGTTATTACAGCCTTAAATGCATCTTCTTCAATTTCTTGTTCATCCAAACATTCTTGTATGATATCTATATTGCTTCCAAGAAATGAATTGTGAAGACATTTTTTGGTGATTGGCACATTAAATTCACTTCGTAATAAATTGAAACATTTGACTGCTCCATTTAAACAACAACTTTCAAGTAATTCACTGACATTAAGATCTTCACTATCTAAGAATTGCAATAATGTTCTTTCATCATCTTCTAAAATTGCCTCTTGATATGTGTTTTTAATGGTGTTATCATATTCCAAAAGATCTGAGATATCCAAACTATCTTTGCAATGATAATCTTCAGATATGTAATTTATTAAATCTAAGTATGCATGACGATAACGTAAACGATTTTTACAAATTTTTTTTAACTCTCTAATCATCTCTTGTGGAGTAAAATATCCGGTATCAATCAAGTTAAACTTGATGTCGTCTAATATTCCGTAAACTATGCTATTTTTATTTGAATGAATTTTGTATATTTCATCCCATGTTTCAATATATTCATGATACTTTGTGATAAGTTTTGAATAATGTTCAAATCCTGGAGAGTCATCCAATATTGACTCTTTGAAATCCATTTGAATTGCTAATACGAAAAACATGAACATGATCGATTAACAATATATATGTCAAAAAAATTAAAAATCCAAATACATGAGTAAAAAATTGTGAGCTTTTCAAAATTTGCAATATAAATTTTGCTGCGCTCACAATTGGACTCTTGGGTTTCATATTATTGACCAAATTGAAAAACCGTTTCAATCATTCAATTTGTCTCATAAAATTCTAAATTTTGGAATTCTTTATTTAAATTTTGAATAGAACTTGAAAATAGTTGTAAACTTTGTTTAAGATTTAATTTTAATTGCTTTCATCAAATAGAGTAGATAATATTAAAAAGCACATTTATGATAATGGACGATAACAATGATTTTTTAATGGTGCACTTATCACTTTCTGGCATTTTCTCAATTTTTTGACATCTAAACTTTATATCCTAATTTTCTATGATAAAGAGTTAATATTTTTAGTCGGGAGAAAGTAAATATAAATCATTATATAGTACCTAATATGGCTGTTATACTTTTTGTTATTAAAATAAAGATATATTGATATTAATAGAGCATGTCAGAAAGTGGTAAATGCACCACTAAGATGTTTAATGTTAATTTTCAATGACACTTTGCGCCTGTTATCAGAAATTTGAATTAAAGTCAGATGGGCGTGAGTGTGGCCTTAAAGGTGCACTTACTACTTTCTGACACACTCTCAAATTTCCTTTTTAAGTTTACACTTTTCCGACGTTTTGTCAGGGGCGCGAAGCTACCCAAAATTGTCGGAAAAGTGTAATTCTCTGGTATATGATTATTTTTGCTTTTAATGCCGAACAGCATTTGAATCAAAAATAATTGTATGTCTGAGAATTTTTATTTTCTGATATTATTCACGCCTGTATTCCGATTTTTGAGCGAATGTCCGAAATGTTTCAATTCAAAAAAAAATTCAAAAAAGTATATATTTATTACAATTCTTGACTTGAACGAACATTCTTCTCTTCGTTTTCTACAACAACCTTGTTAATCCACTTTCTGAGTGAGTTTACATCGCGAGTTCCGTCGTATTTTACAGATTCTGTGAGATGATGGCTTGGGAAGAAAACAACAGATGGGGCATCACAGTTTATCCTGTTCATAAACGAAACTTTGTTGTTTTCTGCGATTGGCCACATAGTAAATCTGACATTATTTGGAACTGCGTCTCTGGCTTGGTAGAAAGCTTCTTGGAAGTAGTATTCGTATTCTGGACATAATCTGCAGTTGAATTTCGAAGTAAATAATACAATTAGAGGTCCATGATCAATGAAATCGGACCAAGATGTTTCTGTGATCATTGCGATCTCTCCGTAAATCTGTGGTGGTGTTTCAAGGAATTCTGGCATTCTGTCGAAGACTTGGCCTTCACTGCAATCGTAAATTCCAAGTTTTGTGTAATTTGACAATACGCAAATCCTTTTAGCATCTTCGCTGATGTTGAAAAGGCGTAGTAATGGACGCATCTCTGTTGGATCACCATATCTGAGAACATTCGGTGTTCCGATGTAATATAAGGAATTTAAGTCATCAAACATCGTAGAATTACCGATTCTGTCTTCGCGAGGTACTAACTTGATAACTGTGTGTATTGTTAAGCCACTGATATCGAATAATTCGTATTGATTGAATTCTTTGATATTAATCGAAGAAGTAACCTCAGATTTATACCATTTCTCGATGACTTCGAGTTTAGGTTCTCCGAAGAAGTTAAATATCTTATGATCTTCAATCCTGAAGATAGAAATACTTGGGAAGTGAACTCCGATGTTGTGAGCGACATCTGGGTTTGTAATTTCCAAGAATCGTATGTCTGTTGAATGAGTTTTAGCAAATTGTTCGCAAATTCTTCCGAAACGCGATTCATTATTTCCGAAAATGAAACCAGTGGAGATTGATTCGAATTCATCTCTGAAAGCCATTCTAATAAGATCCTGCATACCCATAGAAGATGAAACATTGACCTCGACAAATCCTGGCCATGTATATTTGTGAACAAAATTGTCTAAATTGGCAATTGACATCGGGCCATGGAATTGTTCAACGATAGGTGATATCTTATCATTCTTGAAATATACTAATGATGGCCATCCTGGGATTTTGAATTCACGAGGGACTTTATCTGCAAACATTCCATTTACGACATAAAATCTATCATCTTTCTCTTTAGCATATTGTCTGCAGACATGTACGTAACGCAAATATCCTGTATCTGAGGCCCTTTGATGCGGAGCATGAAAGAAAATAACGCCTTCCTTCATTTTCTTCTTAACATCATTCCAATTCGCGTCATTAACGATTTTGATAAAACTGTCGTTGACAGCTGGGTCGAATGTAAGTCTTGATAATGAAAATTGGGCAAAGAATAACATTATGAAATCTGTAAAAAAATTATCCTTTGTCACTTTTTTGAAATATCTGAACTGCAACATTTTAATGGATCTAGACAGGAATTTTCAGACTGCTACCTATCTCTTTTCGATTTTCTTCTTAATAAGATATTTTTTGCATTTTATCACGAGATTTTTCTCATCATTCATTAAATTCTGCACAATAATAAAGAAACCTATTTTTCAGCATTTCGCACAACATTAAGGGTGCACTTACGCCCCTATGACACAGCCTTCAATTCAGATGTTTAATGTTAATTTTGAATGACGATTCACGCCTGTTGTCAAAAATTTGAATTCAAATTTTACACTTTTATTGTGTTTTATACAGGCGTGAAGCCTGTTAAAAATGCAACAAAAGTGTAATTAGCATACTTATGATTATTTTTGATTCTAATGTCGAACAGCATTTGAATCAAAAATAATCGTATGTTTGATAATTAACCTTTCAGGATTCCGCCCCCCAAAAAAAAATACATTTCCAAAAAGTGACTGGTCGCTTCCTTCCGAAAAAATTGAGGTTAGAAAAATTTTTCATTTACGTTAAAAATTTTAATGGAAGACTATAAAGAGATTCCCCAAGATAACACAAAAAAGCTGGCATCGCAGATCACACAAATAGAAGGAAATGATATTGTAATTGATGATGAAGCATTTAATAATTCGTTACAAGTATGGAAAGAAATCACATGTCTTTTGGATAAACCTTCATCAGATACTTTTGATAAAATCATTGACGCTATACCAGATGAAGAGAACAAAATTATTCCATCATTATTCATCGAAACCGAATTTCTTACAAAATTGGTAGATATTTTGTTGACAGATGGATCTGATTTTGAATCTCAAGTGATTTTTGTATTATTCAAACTATCAAAATGTGAAGAAGTTCTCCAACATCTAGTCGAATATCACGAATTGATTGAACATGTTTTCAAATTTATATTCAATCTTGAAAACCAAAGAAAATATGCTATTTATGCACTTACAATTATAACGCGAATGTTACATCTACTTACAGATGATGTTGTCAATACTTTTCCTGTTGAAGAATTTTCTAATGTTTCTTGGCGTTCACAGGACTATTTTCTTTCATATTTCACTGAACTATTATGCACGCATCCAAATTCCACGTCTCTTAAACCAATAATTGCTTTTCTTCAAGAGAGTATCGTTATCAATTATGGCGCAATGAATTGTGTAAATCGAATTCTGAAAAGTGTTATTTCTTACAATCCTGAAAAAATAAATGACTTTGTTGATTTCAAAAAATCAACATTTTCGCCAACATTTTTGGGGAGATTTATTGTATCGATTCCTCCTGTTGATTATGAATAATTTCCTACAATGCTTTCAACACTTCGTATTCCAATTGTTCAACAATGCAATGATAACCAGGAACTATTTGTTGAAATTAAGGACTCCAATATTATCGAAACCGCATGCAGTTTATTCCAAAATGACGAATATCCTGAAGAGTACAGAACAATCACTATTCAATTTATTGAAGGTTGTTGTATTAACAACTGTTTACGCGAGTTCACACTCAAAACAATCAAAAGAATTGGTTATTCCGAATTTATATGCATTGATGAAAATTATCCTGCTGAAATTAAAAAGTCCTTATTCGTAATCATTTCATATTATCTTGATTACTACGGTTTTCATGCAGCTGAACTTACATTTGATTGTTACATTCTTCATTTTATTGTAGATATCATCGAAGCAAATTCAGAAATTGCACTGGATGTTCTTGAAAAGATTATGCACTATTACGACGAAAAGGGACGATTGAAAGAAATCTTATTTAATGACGACTTTCCAGCAATTCTTGATAGTTTGGAGAAAGTTTATGAAACTTCGACTGATATTGAAGAAAATCGTATAGATCATTTCCTAGAGTATTATAAACAGGTTTCCACTTCTGATAAGCAAAGCGGATTATCTTCAGCTTCAATCTTAAATTTATAAACAAAACTATATAGCTTATTAATCATCTAATTAAGGTTGAGTCATTTGTCAAGATTAAAGAGTTTATATGTTAATTTAGGTGGAATAGTATATTTATTCAATTTACATATATCGAATAATGTTTTTCTCTCATTAAAGGTATTTTCAGTTATCTCTGAAATACTATTTAAATTGAAAGAACAAAGATTCATGCTATCCATTAATTCAATCTCAGTTCCACAAGAAAATAATGGGGTGGTATTCTTTTTGGTGGTCATTGTAATGTTTCCATCATCATCAATAAAAATTGTATAAGATGTCGCATTTCCTTCTAAATTAGCCGCACAAAAAAAAGAAAGTGTGGAAGTTATACTTGATTACCTTTTGCGATAATAGCTGAATAAGATCTTACCCATTCATCATTATTATCGTATGGATTATTAATCACGTTAAACATAATGGAAAAACAATAAAAATTGATAGGTTTCAATGATTTTTGAAAGAGAGAGATAGATACTACAGATTATGAAACATTTGTTTTGGAAAGAAATAGCGAGGACTTAAACAAACTTCTAATTTCATATCATGTAAATGTCAGAGGACAATATACTCAAGGGAATTCACTTCTTCATATAGCAGCATTAATATCTAATCCAAAATACTCAAGGTATCGAAGTAAATTCATTCAATAAGTTTAATCAGACTCCCCTTGATATGGCAGTTATGCGTTATAAGAAAGATCATAACCAAGATTCTCTTGATTCTGATCAAGAAGAAAACCGAAATTTCCTTGGTTCTGGGACAAGAAATAGCAAAGATTTTCTTGATTTATTGGAGAATAAAAGCGAAATGGTAGCTCTCTTAAGAAATAATTAGTGATGCGAAAAATTCCCAAACATATGGGGTTTCTCATATCCCGTCCCCTATCGTTTCCCCAATTCAATTTTTTTTTTGGAATTTTATTTTTTTTCCCGCCCATTTGAATTAAAAATGGGCGATTTTCGTTAATGTGATTGAAATATCATAAAATTAATACGTATTTTAGCTAATAATTCTATTTTTATACAATATTCTCTCATTAAATCAACATTTTTTTCTAATTTTAATTTTTAATTTTTAATTTCTTCATAATTTTAGCGATTTATGCTCATTATTAGCAAATAAATAATATATATAATATACTTATTTCATTTTATTCAGATAGGTCTTTGGGATTGGGATACCTTGTCCAAATTCAGAGGAAGTTTGAGAGGTTGGGATGGGGTAGCCCATATTCAATTATCCCAAGTGTACTCCACGAATTTAAAATTATATTATATTATTGATGACATATCTAAATTTATAGATAAAAATTTCAATGCGTACACAATTTTTTTGAGAAAATTCTTTTTTTTACTTATTTTCATTCATAAAAGCTCACGTGAACTTAATTAACAACTGAGACATTTCCTATGAAATCATTTAATGCCGTCAAAATAGACATGTCTAAGCTGTTTTGAGTGACTTTCGCTCGATGTCTGATGCAATATCAGACATCGAGCGAAAGTCTCTCATATTGGCAACACATCCATACGATCAATACTATAGCTACGAATTACAAGCCTGTTTGGGCAATTTTTGGCCGAGTTCTGATTTTTCATTAGATCTCGAGCGAAAGTCTCTCAAATTGGCTGCCAGTTCATAAGAGTGAAACTCTAGCTACGAATTAGAAGCTTGCTTGAGAGACTCTCGCTCGCGTTGGGATCTGCATCAGAACTCGACGAAAGCCTCTCAAAGTGGTAAGACCTGCTCATTGTTGAGCAGGAGCTGCGTAATGTGTTCGAGTAGAGTGAGGCTCTTCTAAGATCTTCCTTGTGATTGGAAGAAATTAGAAGAGTCTCACTCTACTATTTTGTAATTGTATGCCCTGGCCTTTGAGTGACCAGGGCTGCGTAATGTGTTCGAGTAGAGTGAGGCTCTTCTAAGATCTTCCTTGTGATTGGAAGAAATTAGAAGAGTCTCACTCTACTATTTTGTAATTGTATGCCCTGGCCTTTGAGTGACCAGGGCTGCGTAATGTGTTCGAGTAGAGTGAGGCTCTTCTAAGATCTTCCTTGTGATTGGAAGAAATTAGAAGAGTCTCACTCTACTATTTTGTAATTGTATGCCCTGGCCTTTGAGTGACCAGGGCTGCGTAATGTGTTCGAGTAGAGTGAGGCTCTTCTAAGATCTTCCTTGTGATTGGAAGAAATTAGAAGAGTCTCACTCTACTATTTTGTAATTGTATGCCCTGGCCTTTGAGTGACCAGGGCTGCGTAATGTGTTCGAGTAGAGTGAGGCTCTTCTAAGATCTTCCTTGTGATTGGAAGAAATTAGAAGAGTCTCACTCTACTATTTTGTAATTGTATGCCCTGGCCTTTGAGTGACCAGGGCTGCGTAATGAATTCGAGTAGGATTGTACAATAGCTCGGCAAACGCCGAGCAAATTGATATAAACGTACATCCCACAAAAAATTGATTGTCAAAATTTATCCCAAATTTTACAAAACCGCAGCGGTTATGACATCCCAGGGCTAAAAAAATTCGGAAACTCGCATCTCTAAAATAATGGAGGAATTTCTAATTCTAACAGGGAGCTCAAAAGCAAGGATATCACACATATGATGTTTGATTATTTCTGGGAGAAACCTCGAATGTCAGAATTCGAATATTTGATTCTTTATATCCTTTTTCATCTTTTTGTGAACATGATTTTAAAAGTATTGCATTTGATAAGTATTGGTGTTCTTTCGATTTTTGTACTTCGCTATGTATATAAATTCTTTTCCCTGATGAATCCCTTTTTTGGGTTTAAAAGTTTATGAAGTTTCTTACCATTATTCCATATGGCTTTGATTATTATTATAACAGTAATTTTTATTATTATCTTATTTTTGTAACTCTCTAAAATATTTCATATTTTGGAAAATGGAATATTCTTAGTAATTTTAAAGTTTGAAGTGCATAAAATGATTGAATTTGTTTTTGAATTCAAAATAACCGTTTAAGATATGAATAATGTATTGCAAAAATAATATATAATAGTATATAAATTTTCGATTTTCCAAAAAATTTTGGTTCACAAATTTATGAAACTTATTTTTCAACATTTCACACAACATTGAATTTAAAATAGTTTAACCACTTGCCCAAAAATTGAGGATGCTAAAATTTACACTTTTATTACGTTTTTATACAGGCGTGAAGTCTGTTAAAAATGCAATAAAAGTGTAATTATCATATTAATGATTATTTTTGATTCTAATGCCGAAGAGCATTTATCACAACGTTGAATTTAAAATAGTTTCAGCATTTGTCCAAAAAAAAAGATACATTTCCAAAAAGTGACTGGTCGCTTCCTTCCGAAAAAAATTGAGGTTAGAAAAATTTTTCATTTACGTTAAAAATTTTAATGGAAGACTATAAAGAGATTCCCCAAGATAACACAAAAAAGCTGGCATCGCAGATCACACAAATAGAAGGAAATGATATTGTAATTGATGATGAAGCATTTAATAATTCGTTACAAGTATGGAAAGAAATCACATGTCTTTTGGATAAACCTTCATCAGATACTTTTGATAAAATCATTGACGCTATACCAGATGAAGAGAACAAAATTATTCCATCATTATTCATCGAAACCGGATTTCTTACAAAATTGGTAAATATTTTGTTGATAGATGGATCTGATTTTGAATCTCAAGTGATTTTTGTATTATTCAAATTATCAAAATCCGAAGAAGTTCTCCAACATCTAGTCGAATATCAAGGATTGATTGAACAAATTTTCAAATTTATATTTAATCATGAAAATCAAGGAAAATATGACATTTATGCACTTGAAACTATAACGCAAATGTTACATCTACTTACAGATGATGTTGTCAATACTTTACCTGTTGAGGAATTTTATCATACTCTTTGGCCATCACAGGACTATTTTCTTTCATACTTCACTGAACTATTATGCACACACCCAAATACCTCGTCCATTAAACCAATAATAGCTTTTCTTCAAAAAAACATAGTTATTAATTATGAAGCAATGAATTGTTTAAATAGAATTCTGAAATGTGTTATTTCTTACAATCCTGAAAAAATAAATGACTTTGTTGATTTCAAAAAATCAACATTTTCGCCAACATTTTTGGGGAGATTTATTGTGTCGATTCCTCCTGTTGATTATGAATAATTTCCTACAATGCTTTCAACACTTCGTATTCCAATTGTTCAACAATGCAATGATAACCAGGAACTATTTGTTGAAATTAAGGACTCCAATATTATCGAAACCGCATGCAGTTTATTCCAAAATGACGAATATCCTGAAGAGTACAGAACAATCACTATTCAATTTATTGAAGGTTGTTGTATTAACAACTGTTTACGCGAGTTCACACTCAAAACAATCAAAAGAATTGGTTATTCCGAATTTATATGCATTGATGAAGACTATTCAGCTAAAATTTAAAGATCTTTATTCGTAATCATTTCATATTATCTTGATTATTATGGTTTTCATGCAGCTGAACTTACATTTGATTGTTACATTCTTCATTTTATTGTAGATGTCATCGAAGCAAATTCAGAAATTGCACTGGATGTTCTTGAAAAGATTATGCACTATTACGACGAAAAGGGACGATTGAAAGAAATCTTATTTAATGACGACTTTCCAGCAATTCTTGATAGTTTGGAGAAAGTTTATGAAACTTCGACTGATATTGAAGAAAATCGTATAGATCATTTCCTAGAGTATTATAAACAGGTTTCCACTTCTGATAAGCAAAGCGGATTATCTTCAGCTTCAATCTTAAATTTATGAACAAAAATATATTGTTTATTAATCGTCTAACTAAAGCCGATTCATTTGTCGAGATTAAAGAGGTTGTATTTTCAACTTTCATATATCAAATAATGTTTTTCTCTCATTAAAGGTATTTTCAGTTATCTCTGAAATTCTATTTAAAATGAGAACACAAAGATTCATGCTATCATTGATTTCTAAAATGAAATTTCATATTTTATATGAAAATTAAAATGTATTTACTTATTTTTAATTTTATTAGAAACCAAAGCATTTCGTGAACATTAAATCAACTAATATCATTTAATTGTGGCATAATATTGATTCAAAAACTGATCTATACGATTTTCTTCAATATCAGTCGAAGTTTCATAAACTTTCTCCAAACTATCAAGAATTGCTGGAAAGTCGTCATTAAATAAGATTTCTTTCAATCGTCCCTTTTCGTCGTAATAGTGCATAATCTTTTCAAGAACATCCAGTGCAATTTCTGAATTTGCTTCGATGATATCTACAATAAAATGAAGAATGTAACAATCAAATGTAAGTTCAGCTGCATGAAAACCATAATAATCAAGATAATATGAAATGATTACGAATAAAGATCTTTAAATTTTAGCTGAATAGTCTTCATCAATGCATATAAATTCGGAATAACCAATTCTTTTGATTGTTTTGAGTGTGAACTCGCGTAAACAGTTGTTAATACAACAACCTTCAATAAATTGAATAGTGATTGTTCTGTACTCTTCAGGATATTCGTCATTTTGGAATAAACTGCATGCGGTTTCGATAATATTGGAGTCCTTAATTTCAACAAATAGTTCCTGGTTATCATTGCATTGTTGAACAATTGGAATACGAAGTGTTGAAAGCATTGTAGGAAATTATTCATAATCAACAGGAGGAATCGACACAATAAATCTCCCCAAAAATGTTGGCGAAAATGTTGATTTTTTGAAATCAACAAAGTCATTTATTTTTTCAGGATTGTAAGAAATAACACATTTCAGAATTCTATTTAAACAATTCATTGCTTCATAATTAATAACTATGTTTTTTTGAAGAAAAGCTATTATTGGTTTAATGGACGAGGTATTTGGGTGTGTGCATAATAGTTCAGTGAAGTATGAAAGAAAATAGTCCTGTGATGGCCAAAGAGTATGATAAAATTCCTCAACAGGTAAAGTATTGACAACATCATCTGTAAGTAGATGTAACATTTGCGTTATAGTTTCAAGTGCATAAATGTCATATTTTCCTTGATTTTCATGATTAAATATAAATTTGAAAATTTGTTCAATCAATCCTTGATATTCGACTAGATGTTGGAGAACTTCTTCACATTTTGATAGTTTGAATAATACAAAAATCACTTGAGATTCAAAATCAGATCATTTATCAACAATATTCCATTTTGTAAAATCCGGTTTCGATGAATAATGATGGAATAATTTTGTTCTCTTCATCTGGTATAGCGTCAATGATTTTATCAAAAGTATCTGGTGAAGGTTTATCCAAAAGATTGGTGAGGTCTTTCCATACTTGTAATGGGGTCCATTATAAATTTCCCCATTATTATGAATACGGTACCATTATTATAAATTCCATTTAATACGCATAATGGATTAATTCGAATAAAGGGTCAATTCGAATAACCGCCAAAAATGGAATAACGGGTCTTATGGAAATTCCATTTATTTTATCGGAATTTCGAATAACCGTTTTATTCGAATTTCCATTCAAATTAGAATTTCGAATAAACGGGTGTTATTGGAATTTCTATTCCAAAAAATGCAGTATCCACTATATGTAATTGATCTAGCTAATCAAAATTTCATGCCAAATATATTTAATCTTTTGGAAACAAATGATAATCCATATTTGCTATATTTGATGTGTGAGTATTAAGCCAAAATATTACATTTTCTTGGAATGGAAATTCCAATAACACCCGTTTATTCGAAATTCTAATTTGAATGGAAATTCGAATAAAACGGTTATTCGAAATTCCGATAAAATAAATGGAATTTCCATAAGACCCGTTATTCCATTTTTGGCGGTTATTCGAATTGACCCTTTATTCGAATTAATCCATTATGCGTATTAAATGGAATTTATAATAATGGTACCGTATTCATAATAATGGGGAAATTTATAATGGACCCCAATGAATTATTAAATGCTTCATCATTAATTACAATATCATTTCCTTCTATTTGTGTGATCTGCGATGCCAGTTTTTTTTTGTATTATCTACGGGAATCTCTTTATAGTCTTCCATTAAAATTTTTAACGTAAATGAAAAATTTTTCTAACCTCAATTTTTTTCGGAAGGAAGCGACCAGACACTTTTCGTGAATGTACCTTTTTTGGGCAAATGCTGAAACTTTTTTAATAGGTAAACAATGAAAATTTTACAATTCGTTATTTCTGATTTTGCTCAAACTGTGATTGATAATAGTGTGTTATTATAGGAGAAGCTATACTGTATGTAAAAAATGAATATGCTATATTAAAATGGGTTTTTACAATGTTGGTGTGGAGATCTTGAAATCTTCTTAAAACTAGAGGTCATATGAGGTGATAGAATAATCTTTGCAATATCAAAGAACCAATGTTCTATTGGTCTCTAAATTGGGGTAACATCATAAATTTTATAAGTTGATGAAGTAATCAACGAGAGTGACATCTTAGATCTGAGAAATGCCATGATATATAGGTACAATGTTTTAAGTTAATTATAGTTGCCGCATTGGTTACACTGCTATTAGCCCTATGTTTAGAGTTATAGTGAATAAAAAGAAATTTTTGCCTGAGCATTCTTTGATGCAGATAAGTCCATGGTTGACATGAATTGCAGAAAGTTGCCATATTTACTATAACACAATGGTTTACGTAGTATAAGTATTACTAAGTTTCAGCTTGGAATTGATTTCATGGAATCTTCTAGTTACTAAAAGATGGTAGAAAATTCGAATGAATAGAAAAAAATAAATTTAATCACTTTTTCTGACATGTAAACCTAATTTTTAGGAAATCAAAAATTTATCATTCTCGAAATTAAAAGAAATCGATGAACATGTCGTAACCAATAAGGGTTTCGTTTTGCTAAAATTGTCACTTTTATAGCATATTTGTTTTTGGATGTTTTGCGAAACCAAAAAAAAAAAAAAAAAACTATGATATACAATGTGTGTGTAAAGAAAATACTTTATTTACTAGTTAAAAAATCATTTGGTATTGATCAAGTTATTTTTTCTGGATAAGATATTATATGGATAATTGGATAGAAAATACAATTATATAATCTTGTACCTGGTTTAATTAAGCTAATTGTCATCAGAAACTTGTAATTTTTATGAATTTCAGATTTTCTTTTCATTACTGCTTTTCTTAATAGGTCAAGTTCTTATTTACGTTATAAAGTATGATATTTACAAATATCAAGTTATCATGTTTTTTGAGAAATTATGAGAAACAAACAAAAATGAAAAAGATAGGAATAGCAATGAATAGTGATGTGGGTATAGAAAATGTAAGAGATATGAATGCAAAGCAATCAGTATTTAGGATATTGACCATAGATTTCGAAAAAAAATGCTGCATATTGAGCGAAAACTATGATTATATTATAAGGCTGTCATTTAAAGCATAATGAAACTATTCCCTTTTCATTTTAATCGAATAAGATAGTAAAGATTTTTGAATTAGCTAGAAACTGATGAGATGTTTTCACAAATCAGATTTTTAATCTCTATAATGCATAATTCACTCAATATCTCAATTTTGATATTGCGAGATATTTTTGCTATCGGTTTCGCAATTTTGACACAATAGCAAGAGGGTTCTATATGCATTATTATCAACGTAGAATCTGAATATCATATCAGAAAATGTCGCAAATCTGACATTTACCCGACCAAATAGCAAAAATAATTGAATACTTTTCGCAAAAACTTTAAAAATCGATAAAATATGAAATATAGATATTAAAGAGACTTTTTATATAATATTCATAAAGATTTTCCAAAAATATGATACCGCAAAATTAAAAAAGTGACGTCTTGAGTGGAGTCAAAGGTCGAAATTGCTAGCTAAATGTTTTTTTAGCGAAATTGCGTATTGTACGTTTTTTTCGCAAAACGAAACCCTTATAACCAATAAATTTATCGACTATAAAAATTCAACTATTTCAAAAATATTTTTTATTAACTTTTTCAAAATATTCAATCAAAAAAAAAACGCTTTCATGTCGGCTCCTTCAACCCCATCAAGAAATCCTGAAGATAAATCAGGAACCCAGTCACCCACCAGTCCATCTCAAACTCATCACAAAGTTGATCGCTACGGTTGGTACGTTGACGAAAATAAAGAAGTTTCTCCCCAAGAAAAGAAATTGAGAGAAAAAGATTCTAAGATTGAACAGCAGCGTGTTGATGAATGGATGAAAATGTATAATAATTGGATTTATTACTCAGGAAAAGGAAGAGAAAAACTTTGCGAATTTATTCGACATGGAATTCCCGATTCGTGCCGAGAACGTGCATGGAAGATTATATTACAGCCAGATTTCTTAAATCCTCTTGCCGATACCTCGGTTGATTTAGATTCTCTGATCAATAAAGGTGCAACATCTGTTTGGCGCACGATTGAAGCAGACCTTGATCGTACAATGCCAAATTGTCCAATGTTCTACAATGATAAATGCCTTAACTCGCTTCGCCGTATATTAAAAGCTTATAGTAACCAGGATCCTGAACTCGGTTATACACAAGGCATGTCGTTCATAGCCGCTATGCTTCTCTTGTATCTCGATGAAAATACAGCATATAACTGCTTCGCAAAATTAATGTCAGGAGAAAAGCATCTGTTAAGAAATCACTTCCTCCCTGGCTTCCCTCGTTATAAGGAGATCCTCAAGATTTGGGATGTCGTCTTTAGAGCGAAATACCCAAAGGTTCATGAACATTTATTACGTCTTAACTGCGATTCGAATTTCTACACGCCTTCATGGTTCTTAACAGGTTTCCTTAATGTGGAGTTCCCTCCAATTATTCGTTTACATATTTTCGACTGCTGGATCGAATTCGGTTCAAGAGCGCTTTTATCTTTTGCTCTTGTTATCATTTCTCGCAACAAGAAAGCATTAGTCTCTGATCCATTCGAACTTATCCTTCCGAACTTACAGAACCCTCAAAATCTCCCAACAATGCAGGATTGGAGATATCTCCTTAAGAAATACGACAAGCTTTGGATTAGCGAAAAAGATTACATCAAATATTGCAACATGGCAAAAGTTCCTGCATTTCCATAATTTCGCATCTTTATTTTGTATATTTTTGTTACCCCTCTGTATTTAAAATCTTTTAAATGTTATATTTCGATATTTACCTGTTTTTCTATTCAACTCCTCACCAAAAAGTAAATTATTCAACAAATTTCCCTTTACCATCAAAACTGTTATTTAAAAACCGTTAGAACCATGATGAAGACTTTATATGATCAATTCCCTCAGGTAAAATAAAAGCTCCAATAACAAAAAATAAAAAAAAAATTAAATAATATTGTTTATAAAAAAATTCTAACAAACACTTGTATTTTTAGTAATTAGCAATAAACATATGAGCTGATAAAGCTGCAGATAGTTCCGCAAAGTACAAAAAGATGCCAAATTGCGTGAGTATATGCGATTTTATCTCTGGCGAAGAACATTGTGCCTAAAGTATAAGAAACGCCAGCTAAGAATAAGTAGTAAATGCCAGCAGGTTCAAAGTTACGAACTAAAGTTCCCAATGTAGAAACAACGAGCCAGCCCATAACAATGTAATATAAGAGGGAAATTGTATCTACGTAATCGAACCACATGATTTTGAGGAAAATTCCGATTGCGGCATATGACCAAATCACGATTAAAAGAAGAGTTCCATTTGTATCGGCTAAAACTGTAAGACAGTATGGAGCGTAACTTCCGGCAATTAATAAATAGATTGAGCAGTGATCACCGTATCTCATAATTTTCTTGATCTTTTCTTGCTTTACACCATGATAACATGTTGAAACTGTGTATAATATAAACATTGATGCACAGAAAATTGCCATTCCTATCGTTTTATTTCTATTATAATTTTTGACTTGTTGAACAATGACTAATATAGTTGCAATGAAAGAAAATACAATTCCTATGGCATGTGTAGCAGCACTTGCAATTTCTTCACCTGGTTCCCAGGCGGGGAGCGATTTCATGGGGATCATTTTCGCAAAATTTTAACAAAAAACTTGACATGTGATATGATATTATGTAATTCTCTATCATCGGATAATTGAATGTATAACTCATAAGTGATCGATTTAAACTCAAATGTGTTTTGATTTTATAACAGGGAACGTCATCTTCTCTATTAGAAGGTTTTTCCTTTTTTACGGACCCAAAATTGCTCATAGATTTAGGGGATTCCATTTGGAATGATCATTTCATTATGTCAGAAACACATTTATCTTCAAAATATTGATATAATTCCAAGAAATGTTGGAAATATCAGAGGAACATAATGATTAATGGAATGTTTGATGTATTTGGACATGAAACAAGCTTTCTAGTTGATATTGACACATGATCATAGATATAAATAACTTTTAAAATTCCAAAAAAAATTCAAAAATCTAAAAATATATTCAAAAAATAAGAATTTTAGATTGAAAAACTCGAAATCACGAAATTTTTGGAAAATAAATGTTCTTTATTTTATGTATTCAAACGATTTTACTTATGAAAATCGGAATTATCTCCAAGAAATTGAAAAATAATAATATCTTTCTTTTAATGTAATGGATATTTGATGAAAACCTTGGAACAAATTAGCATAAAATCAACTTTTTAGATTTTCAACAGCTTTGTGAGACACAAAATTAATGAGAAGTTTCAAATTAAAAAATTATTTTAGAAAGCATTGTGGTTTTAGCATCATCTTTCAATATACATAATATTTACATTGAATTGAATTCAGAAACAGTTCATGGATTCATAAAAAATTATTAAATATAACCTAAATTTTAGTGACTTTTGTTAACAAGAGATCTAAGCTGCAAATTCAGCTGTTTCTTAAGAGCCAGATATGTATTATTCTGTCTCATTGTCTTTACATCGGAGTCTTTGGCTCCAATTTCAGCTTCTATTGGGTCGTAAGCCAATTCGGGCTTCTTTCCGAGCGCTCCGAAAGGAGGATCGATTGTTCTTTGGTGGGAAGGATCAGTTGGATCAGGGATAGGTATTAATGGCTCCATCCAAAACGCATCTTCAATAATACAAAGGTCTAACAACAATCTCTTTCTTCCTGCCTTACTAATAACAGGCAATTGCTTCAAAGAATAGAGTATTGATGACGTTATCGCAGCGATTAAGTCTTCTCTGACCTCCTCGTAAACATTTCCCCATGTTGTTCTGCAAGAAATGACTTTGTTGAGGAGATAAACAAGCCATCCATCAGCTTGGAATGGAATATCATCCTTTTGCCAGTCAATGCACGAAAGGAAGAATCCTTGGTAGATTTTTGAGCTGATGTCAGATGCAAATTGTCGGACAAGTTTGGCTCGGAGGATTTCTATGATCTCGTCCGTAATAAGGAAGATCTTACGACTCTCTTTGTCGCTGAACGGAGTCTTTGTAACGTTCTGGTATTTCTGGAAAAGATCTGTAAAAAGTTTATCTTCTAATTCGTTGAGCATAGCAAGGGTTTGGACGATGTTTCCCTTTCCATTCATGGCAATCTCTTCATGGGTAACGTCAAGAAGCATGAAAATGGGCTCCGAAACTAAAGTTGAATATTGTTCCGGAGTAAATAGCTCTCCTTCGTCCAGAACTCGGATCTGGTACTCGACAATGCCTTTCACGTATTCCTGGGACTTCAAAATCTCTTTAAATGACTGTTTAAGGAATTCTAGGTACCAATTTTGTAAATCTAGCTGTGCTTGCTTGATTGTGTCGGGCATGAACTTGGACTTGAGAGCTATGTTGTACATTTGAGAGATACGAAGGATTGTCTGATGTAATTCTTCATTAAATTTTGTAAATTCGGATTTGACGGCAATATCTTTAAGACTTTCTGTGGATTTGTCGGATATTTCTTTGACAAGTTGGGCAATTTGCGATTCAATGCTGAATCTGGCAGTTTTGTATTGATCAAAATAATTATCATGGAAAAAGTCGATAAGAGTCTTAAAGAAAGGATAGGTAGTCTCAAATACACCACAGGCGTTTGTAATAGGCTGGTTTGTAAACGCGTTGAGGATTCTTTGCTGTAATTCGATAATTAATTGAGTAATTGCATTTTTCTGTGGGTTTATACCCATAAGTAATATACAGTATTTTTCGTTGAATGTTTTAGGCGTCATCTGCATAATTTTGTTTCTCAATGCGTCTTCGACACCACGCAAAGCTTTTTCGACATCCTGAATGGCAAGTGAGAAAGGCATAACCTTCTCCAAATCAGGAAGTTTCTTCCTCTTTTCGTAAACTCTGATAATTTCATCGAATTGACCAAGAAATTGAAGTTTGACGATTTCGTCTGCCAATGTGAAGATGAAACCGTTTTGGCCGATACGGCTGAGCTCCTTGTTGGCTTCGTACGCTTTCTGGTTCTGCTCGTAGATTCCTTTGAAGAATAAATTCATATTTGCGTTGATTCTATCAAATTCTGCGTCAAGTTGAGCTAAAAGTTGTTCTCCTGGGAATGAGTTTGTGCTGAAAAGAGAGTTGGCTTTAGCTAAATCTTCAGTAGCTTCGACATAATTATGCAATTGATCGGCAATTTTTTGGATTGGAGATTTATTAAAGTCATCGATCGGATCTTCATTTGCTTTGCATGCATTTTTAAGGTGAAGGAGTGGATGCGCTGCAAATTCTGTTGTTCTAATGAAATCAAGTGGATCAAATTTTTGTTGATTTAATAAAGCGATATTTTGAGGTGTGTCGAAGCTAAGGGTTTGTTCTGTTTTAGTTCTTTGGCGTCCAATTTCGATTTTTTGCCCTGCCTTTTCTTTTGTATCAATTTCTTGGATAACAACTCCAGAAATTTGCTCAGGCTGTCCAAAATTGCTAACTGTATCAGCCCAATTAAGGCAAACTGGATCTGTTAAGTCCCTTGGTTGTCGTTTTCCTTCCATATAAAATTTGTTACGGGCGTGCAGATATATGATTTATTTGAACGATAAGTAAAGTTATAAGGAATCATTGCAAGATTTTCATTTTTTCTACTGTAAAACATGATTCAACTGCTTGGTTTTTCATACACTCATTGCTAAAAACAGCTATTTATTCACGCCATTGCAATTGTTTATCATTTTCTAAAGAAAATGATTATTTTTTTTCATATTACTTGATTCTTTTCGCCATCATCTTAAAAAAGAATTACCACACGCTTTTTATGAGTATTACATTACAAATTTCCTTACAAATCATATAAATAATTTATATGCCATATGTTGAACCTTTATTCAGCTTTTATCATACTAGTTTCCGTATTGAAAATGTAAAACTTGGATAATATATGTTTGTTGAAGCTTTATTTTGAGTTGTATCAATATTTGATATCAATTTCTTGATAAATACTAAGAGTTTAGCAATTAATATATTAGTTGCACATAGATATATCTTCACCTATATATAATAGTTAGAAACTCTAAATAAAGAAAAAAATCAAATGAAAAATTGGACCAAAAACCCATATCTTTCTAAGATTTCATTTTTGTATAATGTCCCTTTTTGATTTGAATTATAATTACCATTACCAAAACACAGGACATTAAAAAATATTTGAGAACTTTACATTTTAAAATGCTGATTCCTGTTCGTTGCTTTACTTGCGGAGCCATCATCGGACACAAATGGAAAGAGTACGTCAGACTAATCGAGGAAGAGCACATGAACTATACAGAAGCTTTAAACGCACTTAACTTAAAGAGATTTTGCTGCCGTAGAATGCTCTTAACACATGTCGATCTTCTTGATAGAATGCTTCTCTACTCTCGTCAGGATACAACACCAACCCAAAACTAATTAAATGTTAGCAGAATAAATACAATAGAAAAAAATAATAAAAATATTTTTGATTGGAATAAAAATTTACACCTAATATATATAAATAGAAACAACATGGCTCAAGTTACTGCCAAAAATAGTCGCTTGAGAAAGAATTATTAAATTTTATTTAAAAATAAATACAAATCTAAAACATAAATACAAAGAATAACAACAAGCTCTCTATACAATCTCTGAAAACTAGATTGTTTTTCGGTGATTTTAAAAAACAATTTATATTTTTTTTTCAGAGAATTGAATCAATAGCTCTATTCGATCTTTTGCCTAGAATACGGGCCAAAAACTCTTCTCTAGATTTAAGTTGTAATACTATCTCTTTGATATCTTTTCTTACGAAGTTATCGTTTTGGAATGGAATATCTATTAAATTATCGGGTTGTGGCTCTACAATTTCTGTATTTGGTTGCTGTGAATTCTGTGAAGGACGTGGAGTTTCTGCTCTCATTGGAGTAGAAGCTCTGTTTTGAACTGGAGTTTGTGCTCTGTTTTGAATTGGAGTTGAAGCTCTGTTTAAAACGGGTGTTTGAGGCCTGGAAGGAGGCTGTGCGTTCTGCTGATTAAGCATTATTGGCGGAGGCTTTGAATCTGATCTATAATCGTTAATCACTCTTTCTGAATCATGATAAGGCTCATTGTATGACTCGTGATATCCATCATGAAAAGAATCACGTGGATTATCTCTGTAAGACATTTCTCGGGGTGAATTCATGGCCATTTGTGATGAAGACATTCCATTCATATCTTGAGGCTGCTTTCTCTGTACTAAACGCTGTTTTCTTTCTCTTTCTTCTGGTGGTAATGGTTTAGCCCATTGTACTCTAATTTGATTTTCCCAAAATTTCATTCCGTTTGTTGCTGCCATAGCAGCTTCTGCTTGTTCGTGCTTTTCAAATTCAACGAATGCAATTCCACGTGATCTAACGGTTCCGCGAGTATTAACGATAAATGCTGTGAGAATTGTTCCATAGGGCTCAAAAACTTCTCGAACATGCTTTTCTAAAGCTTCGATAGGCAAGTTAGCTATAAACAAAGTCTTTTTTTCAGACTTATCTGAATCGTAATTTGACATACTAAAAAAACAGTTTACAAAATAATCGTCGAAGAAGAACTCAGAACAAAATTGTAAACTGAATGACACTTTTTAACTTTTGAAGCACAAATATTCATTAACTAATAATGATTATTATTTTTCAGAATAAAATTTTGTCAACAAAATTGACAGAGTCAGAAAAAGTTTTTTTTACCAAGAAAAACTCATAAATAACACATTAAGTAAGTGTTGTAAACAGAAATTCATCAAAAGTGACACCTCAGAAAAGCTAAAATATTGAATTTTTGGAACTTTTGATAAAGCACGTTTTTAAATATTAATTAAAGTAAATGTATATTTTGTAAAGATTCTTTTTAATAAAAAATAAAATTTTGAAGAAGAACACAAAATCTTCTGAAAAATAATATCACATAAACTCATATTATTTTCTAATATATAACTATTTTATATAAAAATCAAATTCAATGATCTTAAAAGCGAAGGATAAACCTCAAAAATTACGAATATAATGAGTGGGAATATAATGCTTATCTATCAGAAAACCATATGAAATATTAATTTTTGCTTTACGCCTAATTTTTGACGACAATTAGCAAAAAATGTTAAATGTTAACACTCAGTCCATTTGAATATGAAAAATAAAATTGACTTTGATTAAATGTTTTTATTTATCATGCAATTCTTCTTGCGACCAAAGATTTGAATAAAAGTTCAAAAAATAAGATAGCTTAAAAAATAATATACGGTAGTGTTTACTAATAGATGAATAGTATATAAATTCTATTAAAATGGATTTGATCCAAAAAAATATAAAACCAAAAATAATTGTTATAATTTAAATGAAGAAGTAATTTAAAACGATTTTATTTATGATCAAATTTTATATATTTTTTTGGATCAAATCCATTTTAATAGAATTTATATACTATTCATCTATTAGTAAACACTACCGTATATTATTTTTTAAGCTATCTTATTTTTTGAACTTTTATTCAAATCTTTGGTCGCAAGAAGAATTGCATGATAAATAAAAACATTTAATCAAAGTCAATTTTATTTTTCATATTCAAATGGACTGAGTGTTAACATTTAACATTTTTTGCTAATTGTCGTCAAAAATTAGGCGTAAAGCAAAAATTAATATTTCATATGGTTTTATGATAGATAAGCATTATATTCCCACTCATTATATTCGTAATTTTTGAGGTTTATCCTTCGCTTTTAAGATCATTGAATTTGATTTTTATATAAAATAGTTATATATTAGAAAATAATATGAGTTTATGTGATATTATTTTTCAGAAGATTTCATTCTATATGCCTATGAAAAGTACTCTCAAAACTAACTTTTTCCTAATTATAATTAAATCTAGAATATTGTATTATGCTTAGTATTATTTCATTTTTCTCATTCAATTTAGAATTTACAAATGTCAAAAAATTGAGAGCTGTCACTTTTGATGAATTTCTGTTTATTACAGTAAGTGCGTTATTATCAAATTTCCAATTTAAATTTAAATAAAAGTGGAAATTAAAAATTTTAGGACTCCTAAATTTTTTGAATTTTTTTTTCGAAATTTTTTGCATTGAAATTTTTCAGTTCATTTTTCATTATGTCAACTCAACTTAGCGAACTAATGGAAATAACTAAGATTATAATGCTGCAATTACAGCAATATACCAATTGAAAACATACAAAGAAGAAGAAATAGAGACGATTTACAAACTGATTAAAAGAAACTTGATCGAAACCAAATACTTTACACCCTCTCAGATTATCCAGATCATAGAAACTGTCTCTATTTATAACAATAAATACATGAAAGCATACCTGATCCTATTCAAAAAGATTTATGATGAATACAATCCAATCAAAATACATAATATTGGAAGAATTTTCGGCTGCTTAATTTATAGTGAGTACGGAATTATAATTGGAAAATCAGAGGAATATGGAGAACTAGGATACATTCCTACCATTCATCTAGAAGGCACAATTTGGAGGGCAATAATGGACGATGACAAACAGTCATTTGTCGCATTTACTCAGAAAGAAGGATTCAATAAAGATAAAACACTAATAAGTGAAGTATATCCCCCTACAAAAGATGGATATTCTTATCTTGAATTATGCTGTTACCATGGATCAGCATCAATCTTCAAATATTTACGAGCAGAATTCAATGCAGAGATTACAGAAAAATGCATACAATTAGCATTTTTACGTGGAAACCCAGATATCCTGTCAGAATGCGTAAAAGAAATAATCAACTTCGATCGTTGTAACTGTATGAAATTTGCGATCATTTCTCATAACATTGATTTTGTTACATATTTGATGAATGAACATGCAATGAAAATAGAGTCCACATTTGATTGTTTCTATCATTTGAACATTCTTGCATTCATTGTTTACATGGATTCCAAAGGGGATTTCAGTTCATTAAATGATTTTACTGCAGCACTTCGATTAAATCATCCAGCACTTGTCGAATATTTCCTTTCAAAAGGTGCAAAGATTGATAATGATTCAAAACATGAAACAGTTCTTCATTATGCTTCCAAATATTGCAATGGAAAAATCATCGATTTACTAATTTCACATGGAGCAGATATTTTGAGGAAGAATGAAAACAAGCAGACAGCTCTTCATCTTGCCTTAGAATATAACAATGAGGAAGCAGCGGAAGTACTTATCTCAAGAGGTGCAAATATCAAAGCAAAGGATAATTTGTCTAACCAAACAGCTCTTCACATCGCAGCCAAAAATAATTGCGCAAAAATTGTAGAACTTCTTATTTCACATGGTGCAAAAATTGACGTTCCTAATAATGAAGGCGAAACTCCTCTTCATTATGCAGCATATAATAACAGCAAAGAAGCCTTGGAAATTCTTGTTTCACATGGTGCAGATGTTAAAGCCAAAACAAAACAAGGAAAAACACCCCTTAATTTTATAAGAGCAAAATACAATAAAGAAATTGTGGATATTCTTGTTTCACATGGCGCTTAACACATATCTAACATTATATTAATATATAGGATTTTATTTACTTCATTTTGTCACACTCTCATTAAACTAAAATTTCTATTATAGAAAACAGAATATATTTTTTTTGTTCTTTTCTACAATAGTACATTACTTTCTGAAGCTATAATATGAATTTATTCTTATTATACTTAGACATTCTACAAAAGTATATTAATGCTTCCTTCGAGAGATTATGATTGAAATTGAGAAAGTCCAAATCTATTCTTCACAATTATTTATATCCCCTACTCTGTAGAATATTAAAGGGAAATAAATCCCTATATTAAGATAGGGAAAAATAACATAAATGCATGGATAAAAAGATACCGTCTCTAATGGATCATTCTTTTTATAAAAAAAGTAAAAAAGGACGATTAAAATTCACTCAATTTTTTTGACATATGACAGTGAATGACATTGTCAAAAGTTATGACAAATGATAAATCGTCTACAGAGATTATTCTAAAATATCAAGAGGAATCATTATCTCAAATCTCATGCAAAATTATCCATTGGAAGTTTATGTTAGATGATCTCAAGTTTAGAAAAAAACAAAAAGAATTATTTATTAAAATAATTTTTTTAACAAATAAAAAAATATAATAAATTATTCTTGAATAAAAACAGTTTCATGACCTTCATTATTATTCTGGTCCTTTGGCACGAATTTCGTTGGTTCAATCATCAGAGCAGTTGCACAATCCTCTTTCTTGAAAATTCCAACTAATCTGTCCGCGCATTCGAAGAAATTATTTCTGTTACTTACAACAATAAACTGTGCATCAGTTGTTTTCTCTCTCAAGTAGTTAGCAATGATCATTACGTTGTTGTTGTCGAACGCCGCATCAATTTCATCCATGACATAAAGCGGTGTCGGCTTAAACTGGTGCAAAGAGAAAACCAAAGCCAAACTACTCAAAGCTTTTTCTCCTCCACTCAAATTCGCGATGTGTTTCCATGATTTTCCAGGCGGTCTCACGGAAAACGTAATTCCTTCAGAGAAAGGATCCAAAGTATCAACTAACTCAAGTTCTGCGTCACCTCCCAAAGTGAGCATCTGATAAATTTCTTTGAGTTTCTTTGTAATTTTCTCGAAACCATCCAAAAACTTAAGAAGTCTTTCCTGCCTCAAATTCTCATATTCCCTTTGCAACTCACTTCTCTGTTTATCAATTGACTGGAAGGATTCGAGTTCTTGCTGATAGATCTCGTCTTTCCTCTTATATTCGTCAATTGCAGAGATATTCGCATTCGTACTTTTGACTTTGTCTTCGTAACTTGCGATTTCTATTTCGATCTCGTGTTCATCGCGATCTTCCCATTCGGAAAGCTTCTCTTGGTCAACATTGTATTCACCAAGTTTCTTTGTTAATCTCTCTAAAAGTTGTGTGTCATCTTCAAGTGTATCGGCGGCGGTTTTGACACGTTTTTCTGACTCTTCAATTTCTTGAGAATATTCATCCAAATTTTCTTTCATTTTTTCAATATCTTGTTTGAAAACTTCAATTTTGTCTTCTAAGAGTTGAAGTTCTTTGTTTAGTTCTGCAAGTTTTTCATTGTTTTCATTTAATTCTTGAGAACTTTCAGCCAACAAAGGAGAAATATCAGAAATCTTTTGTATTAAATCTTCGATTTCTTTTCTGTTTTCTTCAACTTTCTTTTCGTTTTTGGAAATTTGGTTTTCCAATGAACTGATTTTTTGTTTTGACTCAGCAATTGTTTTGTTTAACATACTCAAAGTATTCCTGTAACTTTGGACTTTTACTTTAATTGCTTTCAGTTCATTTCCGCCAACATCTGCAATTTTTGACTGTAACTCATCAACTTTTTGTTTGGCACTTTTTGCGTCACTTTTTGCTTGTTCTAATTTTGGTTCAATTTCGGCCATTTTTTGTTCTAGTTCGATTATTCTGTTTTTATCGTCTTCTGACATTTCCGGTTTGACCAAAGTTTGTAAACGGTTTTCTATCGTCATAACCGTTTCATTCAAAGAGTTAATTGCCATTTGACACTTTTCATAGTCAATTTTTGATTGTTCTGGATTTAGCTGTCTAATTTGAGAGGAAATTTGGTCGATTTCTCTCCTTAAATTTTGAATTTTTTCATCCAAATTATGTAAATTCTGGGAAAGATTTTTAATTTCGTTTTCATCAACCAAATCCATACCTCCTGACCTTGGTTTTGATCTTCCACCACCTGTCATTGTACCAGCAGGTTCAATCAAGTCTCCTTGCAATGTAACAACTCTTTGTCTCAAACCGTAACCGATTTCTTTGGCTTTTTCTATCGTTTCACAAACTAACGTATTTTTGAGAACGAAATAAAAAGCATTCAAAAAATCTTTTTCATGAGATTTATCTTTGACTTGTATTAAGTCGATTAATCTGAGACTTCCTTCCGGAGCTTTGAAATCATCCTGGAATTTCTTGATTTTGTTCAAACAGATGAAAGTTGTTCTTCCCAAGTTTTTCTGTCTTAATTCATTCAAACATCTTTTTGCCGTTTCATCAGTATCAACAACAATGAAATCTAATCCATTTCCTGCTGCATATGTAATTGCGACATCATACTTTTTATCAATAGTACCTAAGGAACCGACTCGACCAAATAAGCCCTCAATATTTTCTCGTTTTTTGAAATCTTCTAAACCTTCAACAAGTTTATTCTTTTGACGGTTTCTTTGTACGTTATTTTCAAGTTCTTGGTATTTCACAAATACTGTTCTTCTTTCTTGCTGCAGATTCTCGTATTCTTTCTTTTTATCTTCTAATTTTTCTTTCAAAGAATTTAACGTTTTTTCTTCTATGTCACTTTTTCCATTTAAGGTTTTTTCTTCTTCAATTTTTTGGGATAAATCCGATTTTGCTTTTTCAAGTTCCTGGTTTAATTTTTCATTTAACTTCTTGTTTTCTTCTTGTGCAAGGTTTATTGACTTCAATTCGTTCTTGTATGACATGTATTCAGTGTTTAATGTTAATTCTGCTTCATTCTTTTCTGACAAAACCGTTTGACACATTGTCAAATCCAATTGAAGTTTTGTTGTTTCATCTTTTGTGTTTTGATAGAGTTTCTCCATTTCTTCTTTAGTTCTATCGTATTCTTTTTGTTTTTCTGATAATTCTGACTCAGAATTCTCGATTGTTTTCTGGAGAACATCTATTTGGCGTTTACTTTCAACGACATCTTTAAGCATCTTGTTCTTGTCTTTTTCTAATTGATCTTTTGTAGAATTTAATGATTTGGATTTCAAATCTAATTCGGCATTTTTGTTCTTTGACCCTCTGACCTTTTTACTTTGATCATTGACACTGTTTTTCTGCCTTTCAAGTTGTTTTTCAACTAAATTTTTTTCTTGAATTTTGGCATCATACTTCGCACGGTCTTCTTTATGACTGTCAAGCATTTTGGCGTGTGCTTCATTGACTTCTTTAACTATCTTCTGGTCTTCGACAATCTTCATCCTTAATCCTTCCTTTTTGTTGTTGATTTGTGCTGCATGCAAAATTTTTATGGTATTTTGCCATTCGAGGTATTGTTCTGCTTCGTTTTTGGAGTCTTCAAGGACATCTCTCTCTTTCTTGGCATGTGTCATGCGACCAATTGCTTCATCTCTTGTTATATTGATCTGGGCAATCTCTTTCTCTTTGTTTTGGATGGGTTCGACGTATTCGCTTGTACCAATGACATCTTCAATGTAGTCTAATAAGCCTACGGAGTTCTGATTCGTTGCTTTTGGCTTCATCTGGGCAATGGAGCCAACTTCGCCTTGTAAGATTAAAAATCTGTTGTGGTCTAAGTCAATTCCAACTGACTTCAAGAACTTGGTGATTTCTGTGTATGATGAGGAACGATCATTCCAATAATAGTTGGATGCTGCGTTTGTTCTGACATCTCTACCGATAGAAAATTCACTGTTGGGAACTTCTTCTTCACCAATGTACTTTGCGAAGATAACTTTGACAGATGCTTTAGTTAAATTCGGATATTTTGTACTTTTGTGGATTAAATCTTTCAGGACGTTTTGTCTCATATGGCGTGCTTTGTAGCCGAAGACAAATAGCATTGCATCAATGACATTCGATTTACCAGACCCGTTGGGACCGACAATACTTGTAAAACTTGGATGAAAAGGGCCAATATCTTTCAGGCCGGCATAGCTCTTGAAATTTTCAACTTGAATGCTCTTGATAATTAGTCTTTCTTCCTGCCCTTCCATCAAAATCAAATTGAGTGACCGTTTAAAAATTCCCCCGAGGAAGTGCATAGTTTTGATGAAATCCCAATTTCATGATACAAATAGCATTAATTAATATAATAATATCTATTTATCATAAAATCATTGCATTTTAATTTCCCATTTTTTCGAAAAAATTTCGATGTAAACCTCACAATTTCAATGGCTTTGGAGACTTATGGGGAATAAGCACTGAATGTCAACTTCAATTGACATGTTTCGGTATTTGTTAGTCATCAAGAACTCATATACCAACAATCTCCTTTTACTTCTTGAAATTTAAATTGTAAAGAAAAATCAACCTTTTAATTATTACTTTTAAACCCTATGGAACACATCCTTACTAGACATGTATACATATACTATAGCTAATTACTATTTTTCACTTGAATCACAAAAAAATTGAACCAAAAACCCGGCATCTGACCAAGTTGTTCACGAATTACTATTCACATCTAAGAATTAGTATCATTCAAATGTACAACGAGTTGATACTCCAACAATTTTTTAATATATATTTTTTATTAAATCCGAAATTCAATATGATTATATTGCAGAATGGTTGAAAAATACCAGCTGTAATAAATGCATGATTAATACAGATCTGAAATATATTCCGATTAAATATATTTTTGGGAAAAATGAAAAAAACAAAAGAATAATGCTGTCATTTGACTCTTTGATACAATACCAACAACATGTTGATATTCTGAATTATGACGAATTTTTGATTTAATGAATTTTAAATTTAAGGATACCCTTACATTGCGTAGTTAGAAAGAGAATATGATATTGTCATGATTGCTAAAGTTTTAGGCTCCAGAAATGAATATACATCAAACTGAAACAATTGATAAATTGAATGAACTTTTGAGAGGTTCTCAAATAAAAAAAATTATCTAATTTTTTACAATATTACTATTATTTTATCCACATATGTATATATAGTAATTTGAGAAAACTTTTAGGAAAAAATAAGTTTAATAAAAATCTGAATTTTACTTGTTGTGGGATTGTTATTAATTGACACTCCAGACGTATTACTAATAGTTATGCGTATGCAATTAAAGTATTTCTGATGGACAAAATGTGAGATTTATATCAGATAATTCATTTCTACTATTAAGTTATTCATTTATGAGTTTGCACTTATTCGCACTAAATAAATAACTATTAAAAATTGTTTTAATTAATTGACACCATATAATAGAGTGAATTTTGTTTGATCAAACAACAATAGATGATAGATATAAAGCCAAGAAACTTGCTATTAATATGCTCTACTTGCTATTTCAATGTAAGTATGATATTTTCTAAATGTTTCGTTCAGATAACTTAGATATATTAGTCAAAATTTGAAATTTTAATAGCACATATATTAAAAATAATTATTATTCATAAAAGATTAATGAAATAGTAAAAAAATCAATCAAATTATAAAAATACAACATTTAGAAGAATTCTTATTATCCTTCAAAAAGTCAGTATTTCTGCTGTAATTTTCTACAACATTGTAGTTATTGCACTTTGTCTATGGATTTGTATATATGTTATATATAAATTATATATCTAAACTGCCCATAAGTGCAATTTTTATATAAATTGTTTATTTCTTTAACAATTTCATATGAAATATGCTTTTTTAAGCGTATCAAAGCTGTGTTCTTAATGTGTATGGATATATCAAGAAAAATGTCGAAAAAAAATGTGAATTCACAAATTCACTGAATTTTCACCGTTTTTTGAATTTTGCTACAGCACTAATATTAAATAATACTAAAATCTTCTGTCTTTGTAAAAGAATAAATTCTGACAAAAAGTGCTCGTTTAAATTTAATGATCATCTGTATGACTAAGTGGTAAAAAGTGTTTATGACCAAAAAAGGGTTACATGCTTAGTCTATTTTTCTGACAGGATACTCTAGATTTACATGATCTCTATTTCATATCTCCGTTTTTAGATTCTTCGACAGATTTTATGATAGAAAACCAAGATTAACAAATTTCCGGCATGTTAATGAAGAAATCTGCAGCTACCCTCAATATTATTTCAATAATCAGTATCGTTTCTCTTACAATTTATTTTTTTCTCAATAATTTAACAAGAAATAACAATACACACTTGGTTTTACGTATAAAAGCTAAGTGTCGAACTTAATCAACTTTACTTACTTAGCAAATGAATATTTTTGTGGTTGCGAGTTCTGAATGCTGAAGTTTTAGATTTCTCTATAAATGATATCATTGCACTTACAATGTTGTTCCAGCCTATCGCATAAATCATAGAAAATCCAAAAAAAAAAATAATATAAAGAAAATTCATGTCATGAAGTTCAAAAAATACCGTGTAACATTAAAATTTGTTATGCATAATACATTTTAGCTATTATTGATTTTTTTTAATTTTCGAGAAATTGAATGGTGAGTCCGATAGAGAAATTTTTAAAAATCCTAGTCCCTCATAGAAGTAATTTCCCTCGTCTCCCATACTTCCAAATGTATGCATATGACATAAACTTTTATGCATTACACAAGTGGCCAATAATATCTATAGAGTAAAAAATTAGAAATTTAATTTTTTTATATGATAGTTATATTTCAGATTTGCGAGCGTAACTTTTTTCTCCATGGCATACTTGTTTTAAGAGCAAATGATCAAAATCGTCCTTCAATTATTGAAGGAGCTGATATCTTTTGAAAATTGAATTGAAAGGGTATTCAATTTTCAAATTTCCTCTCAATTTTGGAAACATATCAACTCTATGAATTAACAATTATGTGCCTTCACAGTTTATCAGTCATATAAGGTGCTTATAAAGAAAAAAGTTACGCTCGCAAAATATGTTTTTATATAGATTTCACATAAAATAATTATGTAATTTCTAAAAAGAATATTTTTGTTCTTGAATATTAAAGTCTATTGTAGTTTAAAAAGTTTTAAATATGTTGCTAAAATTTCAGGTTTATAGCTCATGTCTAGCATGACTTCTTCGTATGCGCAAAAAATCTGACACGTAAGGGTATCCTTAATGAATTAATTCAGGAATATGACAAGAATGCTAGTATAAAATAGTAAACATATTGTAAATTCGAAGTTTACTGTCCTTCGACCTTTTTCAATAGCGTTTCAATTGAATTGTTAACTTTTTTTTGAATGCTTTTTATCAAATACAATTGAAAGGATGCGGTGTTATTCCTTTGAAAACAAATTTTAATGACATTGTACTCCAACCTACCACAACAATATAGTCCTTGATGAATTTTTGTTAATAAACAAAGTAACTCGCGAATCAAACGATAATCCTTTGAAATGTATTTAATCTCCAATCACATATACTCCATCTATTAATTTAGAATTCATCGGAAAAAATGTTAAATCAAGTTTTTCCCGGTAGAACTTTTCAAATCTTACAATTGAATTCTTTTCAAATTCCTTTAACATTAGCCAAATTAATTTTTCACTACCTCATGATGTGTAAGCTAATTCATATATTAAAATTGTAAATTGGATCAAAAGCTTTTCTGAACCATATTCAATTTTTTTCATATGATGTAAAAATTGAAAGGGCATTCAAACCCAGTACAGGTTCATTATGTTTAGCTATCTAATCGTCTTCCTTAAAGCCGATTATACAGATAGTAACAGAGAAATAACACAATCCACACTAAATGGAAATCCATATAATGCGAATACTCAGCATTATCTTTTCCAATACGTCACCTTTAGTAACATTAATCATTATGGAAAATATATTATTAATTCAGCGAAGTATATGCTGAAAATGGAACATTGTTCAATGTACAATTGCCAAACATCAAGTGAAGGTGTTATTTATGCTAATAATGCTCAAAGAATTGAGTTATCAAATTTTTGCTTCAAAAATTGTGTTGCAACTGCAACTAATGGAGCAGTTCTCCACGTAATAACAAACCCATCCGAGATAACCAAAATCGATAACGTTGCAATTAGTGGAGTTAATAATGGATATTTTGGTATTGATGGACGAAGATGCGAGATCAGATTTTTAAACTCATCATATAGTTCACCATCCCTACAAATGCTAAACATTGTTAGCTTAAATGCAAATGTATTTGCAAATTGTTATTGCATTGACAGTACATCTTATTACTCCGGAGCTTTATACCTAGAGAACATGAATGGAAATATTCTAAGAGATGCTCTTTTCTACAAAAACAAAAATAATGCTTTGGTATTAAGAGGATGCTCAGCTTCTATTTCAAATTGTGGTTTCGCTTATAATGAAATGGACATTTCATTACAGTCATCATCTGTTACAGTCTATTCATCCTTATTTACAGATTTTACTTCAAATAACAAGTACAATGTCAATTTTGGTGATTCCTATTCAAAGACAAAAGGTGAAGGCATTCCGCAGATAGATTTTAATATTCATAACCCTCTTGGTGATTCCAATCGTCAATACAGATACCAACAAATACCATTAGATGGACCTCCATATGCTGAATATATTCCAACACCAATATATAGAACAATTATAGTCACACATTATGTAACAGCATATGAAACACCATTTTCTACTGCAGTTTCAACAGCATATGAGACACCATTTTCTACTGCAGTTTCAACAGCATATGAGACACCATATACAACAGCTCATTCAACAGCTGCTGAAACAGTTTTTGAAACTCCATTCTCAACAGCATCAACAACAGCATATGAGACACCATATACAACAGTTCATTCAACTGCTGCTGAAACTGCATTTGACACTCCAAGTTCAACCGCCTCAAGTACAGCATATGAGACACCATACACCACTGTATTTGAGACGCCTTATCAAACTGTCTATGAAACTCCATATACAACAGTTTATCAAACAGTTTTTGATACTCCATATTCAACTGCATTTTCAACAGTTTATCAAACTGCTTCTATGACACCATTTTCAACAGCTTATCAAACTGCATGTGAGACACCATTTACTTCAGCATTTGAAACAGCTCATCAAACAGTAGCTGAGACACCTTTTTCAACAGCTTATAATACTGCCAAAGAAACACCAGGAAATACTCCAAACATCACACCAGAACTCTCTGCTAAAGAAACACCAATGAATACCCCATATATAACTATGGCCATAACCCCTAATGATACACCTTATATAACTCCAAGCATTACAAATATAAAAACTCCTCATGAGACAGCAGCATACACACCAGATGAAACATTTTTTCGAACTCCTTATCTTACAGTGCTTTCAACTGTACACATGACAGCTCACGAAACACCCGTAATTACGTTTGCGCAAACTCCTGAAATAACCCCTGTGGGTACTGTTAATGAAACACCATTTATCACGGCTAATGAAACACCTGAATATACACCAGTTCTCACTCCATTAGAAACTCCAAGTAAAACACGTAATCCAAATTGCGTATTGGATGAGGAGAAAATAGAACACAGAAAGCGATATAAAAGAATCAAAGTTATTTTTGCCTTTGGTCAAGGCATAAATAACATCTAAACATCGAACTGGATATCATTCTTTTATCACCTCTGTTCGTCTTAGTAAACATTTTACATTTTTAAAACGCTATGATTTAATATTGCATCAAGAAGTAATCTTAAGAACTAAGGATGCAGACTTGGCAATTCTGAGGTCATTTTGGCAATTCTTAAAAAATTTCCGGCGAAATTGGCGTCCGAAGGGCGCCAATTTCGCCCAATAAGATACATATATCATAGTTATTAGTATTTGGTTTTAGGACCTATTTTTTTCTCCTTTTTCTTCATTTTATTTTTAATTATATTGTATTTTAATTTCTATGTGAAAAATAAATCACACTCCGTTCATTTTGATGAGAGTCCTCTGCTATATTTTGTGAGCAGTTAAAAAAAATATTTTAAAAAATTATTCGAAATATAATAACAGAAATGCATTATCTTATTGAGAATTGAATATCAGTTCAACAAATGTATCATATTCACAAAAGAACTCCGCAAAACAGTTCAAATGATTAATATTATTCCATAATAATCTAAAATTTACATAATAATTCATGTAAGAAGGCCATCTCAGATGTAAGAAAGAATTTAGTCTTAAATTCATGTTGATTAAACGAAACAATAAGCATAAATATATTGCATTTTTAATAAATGAGTCTGATTTGATTTTACGTGTAGTTAAATATGTTTCAGTGTCATTGTTTCAGCTTTCTTGAAGCTTATGGCAATTGGGCAATTCTCAATAACGTACAATTGCCAAGAAAGTTTAAGGTTTGGCAATTCACTCAAATCACTGCGAAAAAAATAACGTACAATTGCCAAAACCAAAATTGCCTTGGCAATTGTACGTTATTTTAAAAAGAGTTTACATTGAGTATCTCTAGTTTCGCTATAACCTAATACACAACATCACAAAAAACATAAATCCTTCGGCAAAAATATCAAATGATTCAATTTCAAATATCAAATTTCTAAAAATCATCAATAATGCCATCATTTTATTTCAAAAATATATAGAAACTAAAATATAGCATTCTTTTGCTTCTTTCAGACTTAAATAATGCAAAATTTACTATTTTTTTTCAAAACTTCGCTCATCCAAGAATTGCCAAGCTTGGCAATTCCTGATGAACAAAATTTGCGCTTTTGGCAGTTCCGACATCCTTATAAGAACATAAAGTATTCAAAAGATAATTGCAAATGTATATGTCAAAAAATTAGTTTTCCTGTTTCGAATAACCAGATATTAATACAAATGAATCTGAGAATATTGACATATAGCATTATCAATATTAAAAACAAGAATAATCATATACAATTCTATAATCCATCAAGGTAAAATTTATTAATGAAATTAATTAAAGCATTTTTAACAAAAGAAAAAGAAATCCAGTTAATTTGCTCAAAAGGGAACATATTCACCCATTTATGAAACTTTTTCAAAAAAAAAGGATAATTTTTTTTGGATTCATAATAAAAAATTATTTATTCTATTGAGAAAGATCCACGACTATCACCACTGCATATTACTAATTCAACTCCAGTCATATCAACAGTTGTAGATCTGAGATCTTGTACTTTCTTGAGAGCATTGGCCGAAACATCTCCATCACTAACATTTGCGAGGACAAGCCACGAATGTATGCAGTCAGGATCAAGATCAATTGCGAATTTGGCTCTTTCAATTGCCATTTCTGGTTTTCCACGCTTGTGAAGGACAAGAGCAAGTGTAGAGTGGTATTCAGCGCAAGATCCATCAATATCAATTGCATACATGAGATGTCTTTCCGCTTCTTTCAGATCATTTGAGTAAATGCAGAGCTGAGAATAGGCGTAGAAGAATTCTGCCGACTGTTGGTCGAACTCTGACCATAATGTAAAACATTCTGATGCATAGGCTATGTTATTAAGCATCAATGATGTTTTGACAGTTGCATAAAGTGCTTCTGGGTCCTGGCGCCAGTATTTTCGGAGTCTAGTAAAGTATTTCTCGATCTTTTGCTTGTTTCCGGACTCAGCGGCTACAAGACAAGCTTCGATTACGATTTCTTTTGACCAATAGCCTGCTTCTAACGGAGAACGATCAGCGAGGTCAAGAGCTGCCTTAAAATCACAGTTAGACCTCAGTAACTTCATAACTAAAAGAACAGTGTAAGGAAGAGCCGGATTTGATTCCAAAGCTTTAATAGCGTATTCGCAGGCTTTCTCCTTGTTGTGGAGCTTGAGACATAAGACTGCAGCGTTGTATAAGAGCTGTGGGTTCTTAGGTTCCTTTGAAAGCGCGTTATTTATTATTGTCAAAGCTTCTTGAGCTTTTTCTGGTATTTGAGAGTTGGAAATGTTTTGCATGATGAGGACAGCTTTCAGTGATGCTGCTCCTGCTGGATACTTCTGTTCTATTCTTGGTAAATATTTGTCAACTGAGTGGTAAAAGTTTTTATCTTTTGCAAGGCAGATGCATGCCGATAAAAGAACACCATCTGAAATTTCAGACTCATAAACGTTAAGTAATAAATGAACTGCGTTGTGGTTATGAAGTAAAATATAATCTGGAATAACTAAATTTGGACAAATAAGCGACTGAACAATCGAATCGATGATTGAAGATATCATATCTATCTGGCGTAATTGTACTGAAGCGTACGATAAAATTGCAACCAACTGATTTTGAAGATTTTCATCGGTAAATTGCTTTGGATTCTGTTCAAAACATGTTGAAATAACATATGCAACAAATAAAAGTTCTTCAATCCATGATTGTGGATCATATGGAATTGTACCTTTTTCTGGAGGAGCCCAAGCAGCACGAGATTTAGTGAGTAGCTGCTTTGCATAAGAAATAAGAGATTTGGCCGTGTTAACATCGCGAACTTTATCTTTAATAAGCTTTCGACCTTGATTTATTGCTTCCATGAAAAAAAATTTTTTCCTTGTTGATCGATTCTACCCATATTCAAATACTTTTATGGATATATAATTGTTAATAAAAATAGATGAGCACTATATGTTGTAATTTTTAAAGCCAGATAGAAAGTTTTTCATATTCAATTCCTTCTGATTAAGAGTTAGTTGATCCATTTCCCATAAGAAATCTCCTCATACATTTAAAGAAAAGATTTGTCCATGACATACATAGAATTGCATTAAAATGAGATGATTGCAATTGAGATTAGGAACTAATAGGTAATTCTTATTCCAATGTTATTGCATTTATTTAAAATTCTATAAACCCATTGTATAAACCTAGATTTACTTATAAATTCTTTACTCAAATCAATAAACAAAACGATAACATAAAAAATCATTTTGCACATGTTTTATGCCTGAAATTGCGCAACCATTCCTCGAATTTCGTTTCCATTACGTTGAAGAATAGCAACCCGAATGGTGCGACGTGTATTTAATGCACTACGAATTTCATCTCGAACATTCCGTAATAAATCACGAAAATCTTCTAACATCTTCATACCATTGAAGCTACTTTGAATCTCATTAATATTTTCGAGAAAAATAACTGATAGGAAAAGTATTTCTTGAAGTTCATCATTTTGAATTATTTTTTGATATTCATATAACTCTTTTGCAATTGTATATATTTCTCTTTCCTGCTCTTGTTGAAATTGATCTAGAGCATTTCTTAAAAGTATTTCTTGGTTAACTTGATAATAGCGTTGTTCATTCTGATATGATACATATTGTCGAACTGGATAATCAGACCTTCTAACAGCAGTATCTGACGAACTACTAGTACTATAAGAACTATCGTCCTCGCCAGAGACTCTATTATGCTTCTTCCTCCAACATTGGTACAGCTTCCATGCGAGGAAAACACATCCAACTACCAAGCCAGTTACAAGAAGTGAAGCTAATATTATCCATAAAAACATTTTTTATCAAATGTTACACTTCAAATAATTTCTGAAAAATATAGTCGTTAAAATCAGTTTGGAATGATATAAATACAGATCAAATTAACAACATCGACAAGTTATTTTTTTGGTAAAATTTATAGCAAAATCAATAATATGTATACGACTCAGATTTCACAAGTGGCAATTTCTCTCGTATTTAAGCTATAAGAACCATTCCTCAAATTATATATCTTCAGAAAAATTGCATGATATAGTTATTTTATTCAAATTTCCCTTAAAATACAAAAAATTACATTTTTTTTCTTTATTTTCATCATTGTATGAGCAAGTATAGATCAACATATAGAAGCGATCACTTTTATTACCATTATATGATAATTTAGATGTAATTTTAGTCTTTTCAAAATTTATAAAGTCATCTCATTAATAATAATCCTTAAATATATATTTTTATACTTGAGGTTAAATGAGTGTATAAATTAATGCATTTTGTGTCATTATTTCAGCAAGAATAATTTGATAAAGCTTGATCAACGGCAATATCTTAAAAATTATCATAAGGCTATCACTAATAGTATCTGTGATCAAGAATGTAATGTAACTAGTAATTCTTGAAATTCTATTTTTTAGAGGTAACTTGTTTATACTAAGTCAATAAAGAAAATCAGAAGAAATCAAGAAAATATTCTCACAATCTTAGTTAGGTACAAGTAATTCAATATTGGATTTTATATTGGGTCAGCAATAGTATTTATTCCTTTTATTACACATGAGAGAATGAGAGTATTGGTGAGTTATTATTTGTGGGTATATACTTGTTTGTAACCATATTATTTGTGGGTGTATTTTTATCGGATCCGATGGTGTCAAACCGTTTCCAAGTTGTCATGAATTGATTTAAAAATACAAACACATTAGTTTCATGTCCAAAAATCCGAATTTTGACACGTCAAATTTTGTAAATCTCTCAATTGCTTTCAAAATGTTTTTGTTGATTGGTTTTGTTCATTGCAGATTTAAGGACGACCTTACGTTAAACTTGAGTCATGGACAAGTAGTAACTCAGTCGTTCGTCCCAGCTCACAAAAATTCCATAAAAAGCTTTTCTTTTAATTATTCAGATGGTATTTATTATCATACTGCAATAAAGATCGAAGGAACTTCATTAGAAGGTAGCATAACATATATGACTACAAATAATTTAGAAAAAACAATTAAATTTAAAGATCACAAAACATATATTGGAGAAAATCATAAAATAACATCATTAACCATCAATACTTCAAATAATATGCAAAGGCCAATTAGTATTACAGTTGTTGCATTTATTTCCAATTCTGATAATATGGAAACAATATTTTCAACGCATTCAAATGATATGTATCCATTAAGAAATACAAAAACCAAAGATGGCATCATCAACTATGTAAATTTCGATACATCAAACATGAAAATCAAATTCCGTCCAAAATATCAGCCTTTCGGATCAGTTTCATATATAACTAAAGATTCCAAGTCAATCAATACTGAACTTTCAAATAATACAGAGATTTAAAATTTAATTGCATTTGCTTTGACAATTGAAGGAAAACAACGATTTGATTTAACTGTCATCTCAGGAGATAAACCAACTTTTAGAGCACCAAGAATATTCATTAATAAAAATTCCTCATTTTCAAATAAAAGGTTATTATTAATGGATGAAGTCGATATAATCTTCCCAACCGTTGCTATTTTCTTTTATGGTGGTATTGCTATTTTGCCAGCGATTATTTGTATGGGTTGCTGTTATCCTAATAGACTCTACAGAATGGGATTTCGATGGGCATGTATCTATAATCGTTGCTCAAACTATTATCCATTGTTCAAAATATTCTATTCAAGTCGCCGTAACTATCTCTGCTATTTTGGAGATTGTTGTGGATTCTGTACTCATGGATCATGCCCAAAGATAGATGTTGCTGTGAAATGGAAAATTGCCCTGATGCAATTCCATTTTTCCCCTGTGGACAATGCAGTATTTGCCTTCAAGCATTATTCTTGGCGAATATCCTTTTCATGGCCGCCATGATGTTACCTACATCTTTAATAGTATTATTTAATATATTATGTGCATGCGATTCGCTGGAACGCAACTTTGAGAAAGATTATAAAGCTAATAGATTTACACCAGAACTCAATCAAAATCTAATTGATCAAACAAATGGAGATAAAAAGGATCCTGAAAAACCCAGTGTTGCTTATGATGATAACGATGATCCATTGCATATAAATCAAACACAAAAACCACAATTTGTTGACCCTACTCCTAATCCAAATCTGATGTATTATCCTCCACCAGAGATGCCATCAAATAACAAACCAGATGAGGATAACCCTTATAATCAAGATAACCCATACTCATAAATACCTAGCTATATATTTTTTTTTCAATCTTCATAGTCAAAACTTCAAGTTTTATTTGAATTATATTGAGTGAATACTATTCATTGCACATATGGAGCAATATATCTTGCATGATGTAACACATATGTTAATTCTTGATTATGTGCTGCGATATTCAAAGGAATAGAATTATTTTCGCCAGAAATCAATAAATAATATGCTGACAACATTGATAATCATGCGGTATTGATTGTTGTCTATTACAAATTTTAATTTACCTAAAAATTCTTAAATTTTTACAAATTTCTCTGCAATTTGTGAATGAAAGTAAGAAAGTTCAAATGATAATGATACTCCATTACCAGAAGATAGCGTAGAATTAAATTTTGAAGGAATTACCAAGTTTATTTTCAAATTTTGAAGATTTTGAAATTATATGTCAATTTTCAAGGGATCGAAATCAAAACACATTTAGAACCGGGAATAAAAATTGAAAATCAGAGTTCATGCAATTTTCTGAAAAATTGAATTGAGAAAACGTTAACGTAAGTCTGTGATGTAAAATTCGCTATCAAAGCCTAAATTTTCATCATATTTGCATAGACATTAGAATAGCGTCTGTAATTCACTCGTAGTTAAAAAAAATTTAGTTTCCGGTCACAAATCTGACAAGATAAATTTCAGAAAAATTTGATGTCATATTGTAATAAACAGAAATTCATCAAAAGTGACGGCTCTCAATTTTTTGACATTTGTAAATTCGAAATTGAATGAGAAAAATGAAATAATACTAAGCATAATACAATATTCTAGATTTAATTATAATTAGGAAAAGTTAGTTTTGAGAGTACTTTTCATAGGCATATAGAATGAAATCTTCTGAAAAATAATATCACATAAACTCATATTATTTTCTAATATATAACTATTTTATATAAAAATCAAATTCAATGATCTTAAAAGCGAATGATAAACCTCAAAAATTACGAATATAATGAGTGGGAATATAATGCTTATCTATCATAAAACCATATGAAATATCAATTTTTGCTTTACGCCTAATTTTTGACGACAATTAGCAAAAAATGTTAAATGTTAACACTCAGTCCATTTGAATATGAAAAATAAAATTGACTTTGATTAAATGTTTTTATTTATCATGCAATTCTTCTTGACACCAAAGAGTTGAATAAAAGTTCAAAAAATAAGATAGCTTAAAAAATAATATACGGTAGTGTTTACTAATAGATGAATAGTATATAAATTCTATTAAAATGGATTTGATCCAAAAAAATATATAAAATTTGATCATAAATAAAATCGTTTTTAATTACTTCTTCATTTAAATTATAACAATTATTTTTGGTTTTATATTTTTTTGGATCAAATCCATTTTAATAGAATTTATATACTATTCATCTATTAGTAAACACTACCGTATATTATTTTTTAAGCTATCTTATTTTTTGAACTTTTATTCAACTCTTTGGTGTCAAGAAGAATTGCATGATAAATAAAAACATTTAATCAAAGTCAATTTTATTTTTCATATTCAAATGGACTGAGTGTTAACATTTAACATTTTTTGCTAATTGTCGTCAAAAATTAGGCGTAAAGCAAAAATTGATATTTCATATGGTTTTATGATAGATAAGCATTATATTCCCACTCATTATATTCGTAAATTTGAGGTTTATCATTCGCTTTTAAGATCATTGAATTTGATTTTTATATAAAATAGTTATATATTAGAAAATAATATGAGTTTATGTGATATTATTTTTCAGAAATTTTGTGTTCTTCTTCAAAATTTTATTTTTTTATTAAAAAGAATCTTTACAAAATATACATTTACTTTAATTAATATTTAAAAACGTGCTCTATCAAAAGTTCCAAAAATTCAATATTTTAGCTTTTCTGAGGTGTCACTTTTGATGAATTTCTGTTTACGACAATATAATTTCATTATCACGCAATAGAATATTTTCCAAATTTTAAATCCTCAGTTCTTTGATTTCCTTTTTGAATTCGTTCAGAAAATTCAGCACTTTTTATGCGAAATTTAAATTTATAATCTAAAATGTCTGGATTACCTCCTCCACCAATGGGCGGCCTTCCTCCACCACCAGCAATGGGAGGTTTGCCTCCACCTCCTTCAAGTGGATTTGGTGGTTTACAGCCACCCCCAGGATCTGGAATGGGCGGATTACCACCTCCTCCTTTAGGAACAGGTTTTGGATCCGGCCGTGGTTTACCACCACCACCAGGCTCTGGATCTGGTTTACCACCACCTCCTGGCGCTGGATTACCACCTCCTCCATCAGCAGGAAGCGGATTACCTCCTCCACCTTCTGGTGGTCTTCCTCCACCACCAGCATTCGGTTCTAACCGTGGTTTACCACCTCCACCAGGTGCAACATCAGGATTACCTCCACCTCCAGGAAATTCCGGATTACCACCTCCACCAATGAGCACCGGACTTGGCTCAGGATGCGGATTACCACCAGCTCCACTTGGTACAGGCCTTCCACCATCAGGAAGTGGCTTACCACCACCACCAGGCGCCGGATTACCTCCTCCACCAGCTGGATCATTTAATTCAAGACCGATTGCTGCACCAATATCTACAGGTCTTCCACCACCGCCAAGCTCCGGCCTTCCTCCACCTCTAATGAGCAATAGCTTAGCATCAAGTGCAAATCAACCAGCTCCAATCGGAACATCACTTCCTACAGGCCCAAGTGGTTTACCACCACCTCCACCAGGCAATATGATGCCTCCTCCACCAGCATCTAACTTCCAAAGTGGAAGAATGGCGATGACACCTCCACCAAACATGATGCCACCACCACTAGCATCAAGCTTCAATACAGGAATGGGAATGGCCCCTCCACCACCTTCAATGGCATTCCAGAGCACTATGATTCCACAGAATCAGACAATGGCCTTCCAAAGCCAGATGATGACAAGCCAGGCACCACCTCCACCTGTTACAATGTCAATGGGATTCGGAGGAGGCTCACAATTTAACAATGCAAACTTCAAAGACGATGCTCCTGAATCTTCTCTTCTCAAGACATGCAAAGTTTGCTCAAAGCCTTGCAAAAACAAGTATCTTTACGCTTTCGGAAATTGCTACTGCCCAACTTGCCTCAAATGCTACAAATGCCAAAAAGTTTTACAACCACCTGAATGCGTCATGTACAAAGAGCAACCAATATGCCTCGGATGCGCAAAAATCAATGGTAAGCTCAACAGATGCCCAATTTGCACAGATTTCCTCGACGATCCAGATGATATTATTAATCTTAGAGATCTCAACCTTACAATCCACAAAGATTGCTTAAGATGCTACGAATGCGGCACAAAGTTAAGCGAAAGCAACTACCACGTCGTTATGAACCAATTTTGCTGTGAAAGTTGCAAACACATCGCAGCTCACAGATCCTGCAAGAAATGCGACAACCCAATTCTCGGAAGATACGTTTTCGACAGAACCCACTACTTCCACGTCAAATGCTTCACTTGCTACGAATGCGATAAGCAATTGAACGGAAAGAACTTCGTTGTACACCATAACAGGTACTACTGCCCAGAACAAGGCATCAGATACCTCAAATCTTGCTCATACTGCAAAGGCGAAATCAGTTTAACCGAAGTTAATAAAATCAGGTGGCAAAACAAGTTCTACCACAAACGTTGCTTCTGCTGCCGTATTTGCGGTCGTCAACTACAGCCTGGTGAAGCAATCTGCGCTCACAACAGGCCTCATTGCAAGAGATGCTACGATCAGCGCGTGAAAGAAGGAGATGTCACAGAATCAGGTCGTACTCCATCTAACCATAACCACCGCCATAAGCCAGAAGTTTCTGCACAGCAAAGAGAGAGATTCCGCAAGAAATTCGATGACGATACATTTTACATGCCAAGATACGCCAACCAAGTTGAAGAAGTTGATGCAGAATTATTTGATAGTGAAGAAGAACACCGCAGCTCCAAGAAACACAAGCATTCATCAGATTCTGGAGAAAAGAAGAGCTCTCACAAGTCTCATGGAAGTAGAAGAGGCCACGAGAGCCACAGAGGACACAAGAAAGAGTCAAGTAGCGAAGATGATGATAGCAGTGAAAAGAAGGAAGAAAGTAGCAGCAGCCAAGAGGAAAGTAGTAGCTCTGGCGGACATAAGAAGAGAAGTCATAGATCTCATAGGCATTAAATTTAATTTAGGTTTTTTTATTAATTAATTTTTTATTTGTTTCATATCATACTACAGCGGGCCTTCAAACCCGTTATTTTGGAACAAACTCGATAGCCCCTGCATATACATCATTTATTAAAACTTCGCTTCTTTTTCTAGTCTTTGACACATTTTTCGCGCAACTGTGCAATTACTATTCATTCATCTATTTAGTGGAATACAGTTTCTCTAAGTTAAAACAACTATTTTTGTGTTCTCGGAATTTTGAAATAAGATTTTGATTTCAGATATAAGTTCTCTGCTTGTCTTTTTGCTTTACATGGCAAGTGATAGATAGATATGGACAAATAATATGCATTAAATATCATAACATATCAATGGGTTGTATCTCATATGCTTGTTGTTCATGGTAAATTTACAATTGTAAATAGAGTTTCAAAAAAAGGGGAGAATCCTTGACTCCAATTTGAATATAGACTCAGTATCATAGGATCAATCTAATGACTCTTTAGATTTCATTTTATACTATCAAATAATAAAGCACATCAAAAGTGCATTCAATAGTTAAGCATCTGACCAAAATTTTTTATTGAAATTATCGTTCTGAATTTTTAAATTGACATTTTTTATGATTGATCATTTTCAAGACTTAATCATATTTCAGAAGGGTTTAACATTAATAAATGAAGATGACTACCAAGAAACACTTGATTTAATCCTTAAATCAGATTATCTTAACTCTGCAAATCAGATTTCATTTTTAACTCACGAAATATTTCAAGCTTATACAGTCAGACCACAAAATCTCGGTTTCCTAACAAGATTAGTTAAAGATATCATCAATTCAGATGAATCAAAAAGAAATTTGACGCCATTCAAAGCAATATTCATTGAACAAACACTATCAGGTGTAGACGATAACAATAAATCAGGTCTATGCGCTGCATATCACTTCATGTATCGCCTATTGGAAGAAAATACACTTACTTTAGATGAACTTTTACCAATTTTTGATGCAATTTTGCAGAAACCAAAAGAAAAAGTAAATACGATTGCAATCATTAAGATATTTTTCGGAAGTGTCATTGCAAAATTACATCCAACATTATATACTAGAATTTTCTCGGATGAATTTACAAAAAGTTTTTCATATTTTAACGAATTTATAAATAATATAAATGAAATCAAAGATCAATTAGTACATTATGGTCATCCACTTGATTCAATCCAGCATGCCATTGCAACAGACGATGTAGACAAATTAAATCAATTTTCATTAGCTCCAAACTTTAATATTAACATGAAATTAATTAACAAAATGGTATTAATGGAGCCTTATCCTGTACTACAAGGTGATCCGACTTTAATTTTATATGCAGCATATTGTAATTCTATTAATTGTTTTAAATGGCTTTTTTTGAATGGTGCAAACTTGAATGCGAAAGATAAATGGGGCCAAGATGCTGCTTATTTCGCAATTTCTGGTGGCGCTTTGGAAATATTACGTATTCTTGAACAACAAGGGTTTGATGTATATAATTTGGAACCTTGCATTGAGCATAGACAATATCATATTTTTGATTGGATAATTGAACAAAACTTAGATGAAAAAGGTAGATATCCACATGATTTAATCAACAATGCTTATATTTTTAGTGCAAGATATAACAATGCATATACACTTTGTGAATGCTTAAAATATGGTGCTGATCCAATGGCAAATCTTCAGCTTTGGGGAGCTCTTCATCAGTCAATTTTATATTCTGATTTACAGATGGCAATTTTGCTTGCACAATGCAGTGAAATTGATGTCAATTGGAAAGATGCAAATGGATGCTCAGCACTTCTTTTTGCAACAACAAACCATTGTTATAAAGTTGTTCAGGCTCTTATTGAAAACCCAAGAGTTGATATTAATACTTCTGATCATAACCAATGGACTTGTTTGCACCGTTTAGTTTCTGACAGAGAAACAGAGATGATAAAATTAATTTGCTCATTAAAGGGATTTGATGGTAACGCTAAAGATATTAACGGAAGATCTGCATATGACTTGGCAGTAGCAATGAAGTACCAGGAAGCAATGGATATCATTGCAAAATCTCCGGGATACAATCCTTCAAATTAGTTTTCATATTAATTTAAAAACTTGAAATTTTTATATTGGTTTTTATATAAACTTACCACATTTTGATATCATATATAGAGGACGAGATTTATATAAAAAATTTCAAATTTATGTTTTAAAATCAACCTTATTGTTAATCATTATATAAGTTATTCAGATAAAGAATGCTTTATCAGTAGAAAGAAGCTTACTCAAAAAAGATATTTTAGTTTTGAAAATATCATTACAAAATTATCGTAATACTTCGTTAACTATTTATATTTTGAATGGGATGTAAATATATAGTAATTTTATTTGCTTTTTTCTTTATTGTTTATAATAATATAAATTTATTTGCCGTTAATTAATTTAAGCATATTTGCTCTTTTCTTCCTCGGTTAGTTCATTCCACTTCTTGCCAAAAACCTTCATTCTTTCGGTTGGAGCCATATCTTTGAATTCTTCTAAAGCACTTTGCTCTTTGACAAAGCGATTGTATCTATTTTGTGTATGATTATGCTTTACAGGAGTATGAGTTACATTTTTGAATGGTCCTGCTACTTTCAACCTGTATCTTGGTAAAGATGTTAAATCTGGGCCAAACGTTAAATTCATTTTTTCTAAGTCATTGTTGCCAAATTGAAGTTTCTTCTCGTCAACATCAAGGATCCATTTTAAGAGTGTGAATTGCTTTTTGACTTCTTCATTTAATTGGCCAAGTTTAATGTTTGGATCACTAACTGAATATTTAGCAATAGCTTTATCACGCAATTCGGAATATAAAGCCTTTTCTCTATCGTCCAACTGCTCTATGAATGCTTCTGGAGAAGACATCAAAGATGTTTTTTTATCATCTCCGACCAAACGGTCTGTATCGTCATATTGGGTTGTGATTTAGATAATGATTTGACATGAAATACTGATTTGTTTTTTCCTGCTTTTCGCCCCTTTTGATCGATATGATTCATGAGTGCTCTCACAGATCTAAATAAAGCAATGTTTTATTAGGAGATTCGATAAAAGTATGATGATAATTTTCGAGGAAAAAAAAAAACTCATAAATCATTGATTTGTTGGCATCAATCATCAACAAAATCAGCCCAAAAAATAGTTGAATAATAGTCTGGGCTCTTGTTGTACTATTACAACGTGTAATGCTGCTGTAACATATTTACCAATAGTTATATTTTCGAATGCATTGCAAATGCTTCTTTCAAGATATTTTTTCAATTTTATCCTTTTTTAAATCATCTTTTACTGACATTGTCAATCCTAGAACAAATGTGTGAAAAGAGAATAGAATCAGATTGAAATATCATCCAAGTTTTTGGTTTGGTATAGATTGAATCTCTTGGATGTAGTTGAATTAGCAGAAAATTAATTGAATCATGTTTTGAAGCACTATATTACTGATTTATGTTTCAAACCTCAAAAAACTGCTTTAAAAAAAGAAAAAATTCAATGAATTAAAGGGTATGAAATGTTTCGGTGATATGAAACGTGCACTCTAGATATCAATCTTGGGAAGGAACATTGGCTCATTAGAGTTCTCGTCTATCTGCTTAATTTATCCAAAATATATGACAAATAAATTAAAAACAAATGAGTTTAAGCTCTTATCGCATGATCAGTGACTACTGTCGAACAAATGACAAATGGTAATAGATCATGAAAAAACATCAAAATAAATTGAGAGCGCGATCGACCACTTACAAAATTTTTTATCGTCGTACGATTAACCCTTTAGAAATTTATTAAATTTTACAATGAGTGGAATTCCAAAGGTCCTTCTTTTAGATGGTGATGGTGTTATTTGGATTGATAACCAACCAATCAAAGGCGCAATTGATGCCCTAAACAGAATCAGAAAACTCGGTGTTAGACTCGTTTTAGTTACAAATAACTGCTCAAAAACACGTGAGCAATACTTAAAACAGCTTGAAAAGCTCGGCCTTCAAGGATTTGAAGTAGAAGATGTCTTCTCTTCCGGATTTGCAACAGCAAAATACCTCCAACACAATAATATCCATAAAGTCTTCGTTTGTGGCTTTGATGGCTTAATGCAAGAACTTAGCCAGCATGGAATTGAAGTTCACAATATGAAAACAGACCCAGAACCACAACCAGCTGAAGCTGTTATTGTTTCTAAGTCAGAGAGCTTATCGCATGCAGACATTTCACGCGGAATTTACATTATTAAGAACTTTGGTGCCAAATTAATCGGAACAAATCCAGATCCAAACTTCCCAATGGCCGGAGGAATTTTAATTTGCGGAAGTGGCGCTTGTGTCAGAGCTTTCGAAGTAGCAGTTAACCAAGATGCAACTGTCATTGGAAAGCCAAACAAACCAATGTTTGATACAGTTTTACTTACATTAGGAGTTACAAAAGATGATGTTGTTATGGTTGGCGATAGAATGATTACAGATATTGCATTTGCATCACAAAATGGAGCTAGATCAATATTGGTTTTGTCTGGAATTGATACTCGCGACGATGTTCTCAAATATCCGGAACAAGATAGACCTACATGGATCCATCCTTCACTTGTTGAGGTTGCCGACATGTTTGAAGAGATGGCCAAGAAACAATAAAATAAAAACTTACTATTCTGTATAAAATTTTCTTTCAATTTTTATTTTACGTCTTCAAAATACTATGAATGCATTTTCAAATACAACTCCAATGAAATTATGATTCATACAAACTATATTTTTATATGTTTAAGTCTGAAATTGAAAATCTCATAGACTGGAGCCTTTTATAATTTGATTAGTTGACTTCTACGAATTGCACTCCTTAGAAGTAACAATTCATGAAATGATACTAGATAAAAATGAGATTTTTAAATCGGTAGGATTTATAAGCTTACAATTACGACATTTCATCATACAATATATATATTCACTTAGAAAAATTAAAGAATAAATGAGAATGCACTTGGAAATACGAAATGTTTTTGAGATTCGTCAAATTGCCTATGGCAATTCAACAATACTTTCATAATTATGACTCACATCATTGTTTTGGAGAATGAAGATGATTTTATGGCATCCTCTCAAGGTTATCAAAATACTCAAATTTGATTGTCGTGTCATTTTCATAACAATGCCATTTTTTATACGATCTAACTTATAAGTGATCTAAAGAAGGAATTGGCTTGAAAAATTAATTGATTAAAGAAGAAGAAAAAAATACATATTTAGGGAAATGCTGCATCAGCATTGCCGGCTTGTCTCTGACATAATGAAGCCAGAGAAGGTTCAGGGTTAATTACCTGAGGAGCCATTTTATGACTGTAATCACTCCAAAACTTTGGAAGTGGATCAGAACAAGGCTTGCTCGGTTTATGAGGTATTTTGATTGGTATTTGTGGAATGTTTGAAGGCTCGTTTACTGATTCAAATGTTGATAAAAACATTCGATACACACGAGGTTTACGTTCCATTTTCTGAAATTGCATATCTTGTAACTTTGCTAGTTCCATGCATTGACTCACGTCGGATAGAACTGAAATATTATCGATATATTGTTTTGGAATGGATGGCTTATCTACAACAACAATAAAATCATTTTCTTTGATGTTATAGTAGCCGATCTCAAAATTGCTATGGAGTACAGCGCCATTATGGATGAAATAGGCAGGTTCTCCTAGAACAATTTGATTGAGATCTTTGACGAGTGTGTTTTCTTGAACATTCACCTTCAGCATCCACTCACCAGGATGATATATGTAAATTCTTAATGATTTCGGCGGTGGTGAGGTGTTATCATCCATTCACTAAAAAACAATTGATTGAATAGGATGTAAACTTTAGAATTCAAAATCTCTAACCAACTTATTTTCCTTTTCAGTTAAGCTTGCTTATTCAGATTTTTTGGAATTTTGAAACGACAGAAATGTTCCATTTTTAATGTAGATTCTAAAATGGGGTCAAATTTTTGATTGAACCGTTATCCATTGAAAAACCTCGATTTTAAAATGTTATTCCAAAATATTCATCTAATGATATAGTATATATTTATTAATTATTACTTTTTATTCAATTTTCACTTTTGGCGGGATTTCATTTTTTTTTTGTTGTATGGGCCATATTGTTCACCCAAAACGGAAAACAAAGGCAATGCATAACATTTTACTCCACGAACGTCGTCGACTCTCAGCGCGACAGATGCTTGGTGCTTGCATAATGACCGGAATGCCATATACAAAAGGTGCTCGCTTTCTTTCTCTTTGTGGAACTAAGCCCCCTGTGAAGAGTGGTGTCATGAGACAACAGAGATTTTGTGACGATAAGATTAGAAGACTTAAAAGTATTTCCCTAATGCTGTCGAGAAAGTCCTTCAGTGGTTACTTATCCATTGATGCAAGATGGACGCACAGGCGAAACTCGCCAAGTTGTACAGTAACTGCGCTCGATGCTGTCACAAAAAGAGTTCTTGCATGCGTGAACATCAACCATATTGGTGGAAACAGACAGCATGCTCAGTATTCCGGAGCTTCCAACAATATGGAAAGTGCTGGAACTCGAATCATCTTGAAGCAATTAAAGAAATACAATATCTTGAAAGATGTTAAAGAGATTATTAAAGACCGAGATAACAAAAGTGTCTCTGTCTTTAAAGAATTTGGCGTCTCTCATCTTGAAAGATTCGATCCAGGTCATGTATCAAAAAATATCTCAAAAGATTTTACAAAGTTCTCAGTTTCTCATAAGACAGTTGAAGTTTTCAACGACAAGACTCAGAAGATTGAAAAAATAGAGAGACCTTTCTGGGGTCTGAATGCAAGCCTAAGTATGTGGCTTTGGTCATGTTTTGCCGAAGAAAATATTGACAAACGTACGAAAATGTGGGAGAATTGTGTCTACCATTACGTAGGCAATCATTCTTTTTGCGAACCGCACAATTACAAATGCTTTGAATGGCAAAAAGGTGTCAATTCGATCCAACTTCAATTCATGCTCTATGACTGGGTTCACAAATGGACACCCATAGTTTCCAAAGTTTCTTCCAAAATTGCATGCTATTTGGACAAATCAAGAGCCTGGAAGAACATTAACATTAGAGTTAACGTTGCAATCTTAGAATGGAATGATCCAGAGCATTTTCTCGGAGATATACAAAAAGCATTACATCTTCCCCCACTTCCAGAAGATTGTGTCAAATCATTTGAAGAGAATTGTTACTCCAAAATGATATTGAAACAAAAAACTGTTACAAAAGGTTCTAAAAACAGAACAAATACAAAAAATCCATTCAGAGTGTACCAGGAGGAGATTATCAAGTTTTCAAGTCCGAATGGGAATCAGAAGACGAAGACATTGATGACTTTGATTAACGAAAATTACATTTTATTTATTGTTTTTGTTTTTAATTAAATTATTATTATGCTCATTTTCTTATTTTGATTTTTTCTCATTATGATATAAATAATTTATTAATGCATTTATCCAATAATTATGCTATGATATTTTTATGCCTTATTTCATTTCTCTTATATTTGATAATCTGGTAAAATATAGTTCAGACTATAATCATTTTAGATTATTGATATATTTATATAGGTTAGAATAAAATTAGTTTCATTTTCTACTTTTATTTTGAATTAATAATTTATAATATCAAATATTATGGCGTAACCTCTCCTTTAAAATATAGATATATATAGGCCTATAGAGTTTATTGGCACTCTCAAAACTCTAGAATTTTGAGTTTACTATACCCTTAATGTTATTGATTTTTATGTGTATTACACACAACAAAAAATATTATTCTTCTAATTTTTGGAACTTTCAGAAAAAAACGATGATCGATTTGATGACTCGAATAACCAGAAGCTTCCTGATCATATTTACAACATAATTTTACAGGTCGCAAAAATATGGGGAGCCCATGAAAATTTATTCGGAATTTGTGAACAGATATTTCTTCATAGAACAGTATTATGCTATGCTTCTTGTTTCCCCTTGCTCATATTACCTTTGTTATGATAATTATTTGAAATTTAGTGATTTGCGATAAAAAGTAATAGTTCACTATAAAAATATGATGTGTTGGATCATTCTAAAAACATAATAAAAAATTAATGAATAACTTAGTTTTATTAAAAATAAATGAATTAACATTAGTTTGTGGATTGCTTTGAGAATGGGTAGAAGAAATCAGTTGGTAATCTAACAAGTTTGACAGGGAATTTGCCGATGTATTTAACTTCGCTCTGTGGTGTTGGAACAAATGCTGCAGAAACCATGGCGCCGTTCATATTATTCGGCAACGACTCACAGGTGAGACTTACCTTATTTATGACGTTAATTGGCATCTTTGTTGTTCCGTTAAACTCTGTGTAGAAAACATATTTGAAATAAGAATTACTTGTGCAAGTAGATGGCAGTTCTAGTAGGTACCAATCTTGTAGGTTCTCTGGGTTTGGCTGGCCAATCTTTGCAATGGCTAAATTCTTATTTAGAGGGTTTGTTGATGTATTATAATTTGAATTGCAGCCACCAAGTGTATCAACGCCATATTTAAGAGGTGAATATTTAGCAGAATCACATGAGGCTCCAATTGGAATAGGTAATATGTTCTTTGATAAGTCATCATATAAAGTAATATTTGTATAATTTCCAGAAACAGCATAGGTTCCAACAATGATCTTAGATCCATTTGCATAGCCTAACTGACCACTAGAAAGGGTAATATTGCTTCCTGCTTCAACGTATTGAACATTTAATGAGAATTTATAAGGAGCCGTAGCGGAAGAGTCTTGGGTTGAATAATTGAAATACATGGCTGAGATGTTATGGTTTCCTTCTGGTGCATACTCAACAGTTATCAATAGATCTTGCAAATTTGAAGTCCAATCGGCAACACTTGCTTTTTCAATACCATTGAAGTATAATGTTGCTTCTTCTGATGATCCTGGATATGTTGCAACCTTCCATTCTTGGAATGTTGATAATAAAATTCCGGAAGTTGAATAACAGTCTTGATCTGTAATGTCGTATAAGAAATCAAATGGAAGGTTTTGAGTGCAAACAGAAGTTGAAGAAGATGTTGGAAGATATAAGATTTTTCCGTCTGTATCATAAATATAAGATTTAGGCTGATAAGAATTTGAATCTGTAGTATCGTCAGAACCGTTTGTATATACTGGAGTATAGTTTGTTGAGTTAATTGTTGAATATACGTCAGCAGTTCTTCCATTTGCAACATCACGATGATCAGCAACAACGCAAAACAATTCTCTAATAAGCCAGCTCTTTAAATCTAACTGTTGTTTAAAATGCTCACTTGGGCATGATGGTAAAATAGAGTCTGGAAAATCTGGATAACAGCCTGATGGATAATCACTTCTACTGCTGATACCACTGCAGCAGCACCCAGGATTACGAGACTGGTGCACTTCGCAAGGGCATATATCTGATGATAATGTGTTAAAAGATAGTAACAAAAACATTTTTGAAATTTCAATAAGATTTTCGTTTGTAATTTATTTTTATAGATATTAGAATGCATTAGATATCAGCTTTTGGTCAAAAGTTAATTCAAAACTCTCGTATAAATATGGTACAGTGATTAGGTTTTTAAATCAAATGATTTCAATTAATCAATAAAATGGCTATAATATCTTGGTCTGAATAATACATTCAATGTATATGTTATATAACTGAGTTGTGCATTCTCCGGAGTGTTTTCAAATAAAATTTCAAAATTTGTTTTTTGACAGCATATCTTTACTAAGACCCTTGCACGAAATAATTTAACTATTGAAAAAGAACCAATGGACATTATTGAATATGTCTTCTCTTAAGTATAAGGTATGGGAATCCTAAAAGAATATCAATGCTATATTTTCAGCAATTAGGGAACTTTCTACGCCTGAGACACTTGATTCTTAATGCATCTTATGTTCTACGTCATACAAAATATTACCAGATCACTGTCAAATAACTCTTAGAAAAGAGAATCATATTTGAAAAAGGGAGCATTTAGGATGAAAAAAAGTGATCAAAATTTACAAATCAATTTTTTTTAGAAAAATGCTGAAATCCAATATCTGATAATAATTATAGAGATCATTGAAAATAAAGAAAATGTGACAAAAATGAAAGGCAGCATTTTAGTAAGAATCTTTATTTTAGCCTCATTATTTTTCGCAGCATGCGCTCAAATATGTATTATTTCGAGTAAAAAAACAGTTCCAGCTATGAAATTTTCGCCAGATCCTTTGGAAGAAGTTGATAATGAATTCCCATTTGATCTATACTTCCCATTAATTAACAAAACAGCGGATGAAAAGGATGTAATGAATGCAGAAAAGTATTTACATCTTCCAACATGGTCCGCAGGTTATCTTGATTGCAACAACGAACTATCAGAGGTTTCATGCTTTGAAATTGTACGTGCTCATAAAGCAATTCAAACATACGAAAATACTGCAAAATCAAGGCGTGTTACCGGTAAAATTTATATAAATGCTGAACCATATCCTTTAGCAGATAGAATGTCAATGCTTTATCACGCATTTCTGATATCAATGGTTACAAACAGAGTAGTTTACGTTAAAAAATCTTTATATCCATTCAAACTTCCCGATTATATTAAAGATTCCGGTGACAATATTCAGGGAATTGAGTTACCATCAGATTACCAATTTGGATGTATTGATATCAGCAACAAATATCCAGACCTTTTGATCAATAATATTACATGGCCACAAGTATTATATACTCATTACAAAGTTGCACCATTTTTACGTAATAATTTCGGATTCCATGCTGCATATTATGTCGGTAATTACTTATTTGGCACCTCGGAGCCTCCAAAAGATGAATGCAAATCTACGAATGATAATGTACTTGAAGCGCATAATTTTAATGATGGAATTGAATTTATTCCACCTGTTGGCATCTCTAAAAGTCTTCTCGAGAGATGTGATGTCAAACCTGAAATTTCCGTTGTAACAAATGATCCAAACGCCCGATTTGGCGAAGGATTTAGCGATGTAACATATGTTACCGATGAAGATGAAGCATTTGTATGTGGTTTGAGAAAAATTATTTCAGCACAAAGAGTTGTTCACACATTTGGATCCAGATATGGCTGGTGGGCAGCTGCAATGCAAGGAAGAAAGGGTGGATACATTAATACTCTTGACAGAATTTGTGTTAAAGTCGCAAATTCTCAGGCAGCTTCATTATGGCATACATACTGTCCTGTTGAGAAGAACACAATCATGAGAACAAATAATAGAATGTTCGTTTGCGGTCCCAATGCAAATGATGCAAGATTATACGTCGAATATCTTTTATGGTAGATTTAAGCTATTGTATATATAAGCCAATGTTATTTCTTAATAAATATTATCATCTATTCGTAAACTGTTTTGTTTTTATTTAAATTTCAAAATATAAATTTCATTATTAATAATAACATTCATAATTTGTATGATCTAAAAGTTAATCATGGAATGAACAAGAGAAATACATATACAAACATCCAGAATGGAGAATTTCTTTTGAAATCATGATTAAAACTATTGAAACAAGAAAATTCAGTAATTATTTAGATCAAAATTTCAAACATATACATTCAATTAGATCATGGATCAATTTATCAGTCCAGTATGCTTCAATAACAAATTTTTCTATTTGAATGCAAAAAAAATTGAAAAAATGAATGTGAACAAAATAGTATTATTGTAAAAGAGCATGTTAAAGTGTCTGTTTACTTACATTGTATTAAAATATTTATCTGAGAGCGAGGCCACCATTGCAGCATTCCATTTCCTCACCACGACTATGAGAAAGCCATACCCATAAGGCAAAATCAACAGTTCCTTCTTTCTTGTTGACCTTCTTTGCAATGGCATCAGTAATTACATGAACATCGTCTTCATCCTTGGATCCTGTGATTTCCTCAAGCCATCTTACCATATGCTTATCTGGTTTTGCACATGAGCAAACTCCAATATTTCTGGCTAAATGATATTTAACTATCGGGCCAATGCGTGGAAGCTGCATAAGGCTGTCAATGCTTGTAAAACTTTCGCGAAGCTCTTTCCATTTGGATTTCATTTGATAAACATCGGCAATAGCTTTAATTTTTGATTCATTTTTGAAAATTTCTCTCATTTTGTCTAAATCACCTTTACAATCAACAAGTAAAGGGCAGAGACGTGCTGCAACTTTGGCCCTGAATCCAGATGCGAGAATAACGTATACGTATTCATAAAAGAACTTATCAAAATCTTCAACTACACCATTTAACGCGTCAATTCTTTCTAAATCTGACTTGTGAACTCTGAATGTGAACTCCAGAGCTTGTTCATAGTCTTCACATGCTTGTTTGAGTTGAGCTTCAGTAAGTTTCATTAATATTAACTGAACGAAAGTAATTAATTTCCATTCAAATAGCTGATAATGAGATTATATCTGGATTTAAATGTAGTTAGAGCAATTTCAATATAATTTTGTACATTTTTCTGAAATGATTTTGACATTTATTGATTTTATGTATGTCATATGATAATACTCATCATATATAATCATTTTCTCCATTTGGATCTGCTTTAGAAGGGAATTGTATCAGCTTATTCTATAACGTTGCCCAACGGTGCGCTAACAGAATGCGCTATATAATGTCAGCTTTCTTAAATTACTATTTTTGCGAGCTAATTTTGACTATTTTCAATTTCATAATTTAATCATTTTGAGAAGTGCTTCATTTCAATTTAAGATATATTAAACTGTGGGTTGCTCAATTTAAATTCCCGAAAATTCAATGATAAAATATAAATTCATAAATTTAAAGTCGATCTTTTTAATGAAATGCTTTTGCTCAACACATCATAACTATCTTATACTAATGTTTTTGCTGAGTGTTTATGAACATTTTTGCTTAATATCGATGTGGGCCGGCTTCATCAAATATGAATTTACTTCAAGACCAAGATTAGAGATAAATACAATTGAAGCATCTTTAAATTCATTATTACCGGCTTTAAAAAAAGGAGTGATTGGATATGTCAATTCAACAGATGGTACAGATAAAGTAATTTTAAAATTTTGTCAACAACATCCAACATTCATTCCAGTTAAGTATGATTATGATGTTATACCTGCGAACGATCAACATTATTTTCAAAGATATGATGCAAAACGTGCTCTTGATTCATATTATAATTATGTATTTAAGTTCATTCCAGACAATGAATGGTTTATTAAAATTGACGCAGACGTAATATATGATACTGAAAAATTATATATGCTCACTTTTCTACCTGATAATGATAAAGAAGCAATTCCTATTTATAGAATTAATCTTCATGTTGATGATGGGAATCTTATGATTCTTGAGAATGGTTATGGACTTTTTAGTTATGTTAATGATCATTGGCTAATGAAAAAGTCAAAAAGATATGGTTTTAAAATGTATTTTGATTATAATTCCAGATATGCATGGGAAATATTATATCCTGCCCCACCAATAAGTATTCAAACAGATATTCTTGCATGGCATTTTCCTTTTCTTAAGCACTGGAGGAGAGTGGGGAATGATGATCATCAGAATTCAACTGACTCAGTAAAGCGAGTACCTTTTGGACAAAATGCAAAAAATTATTACGCTTAACTCAACTTCATATGGATGATGATATGATAGATGAAAATAGAGTAAAGGAATTGCTATTTAGATATCGAAATGTTACTGAAACTTAAAGACTCGGTCGCTTCCTTCCAACCAAAATTATGGCATGAAACTCTGGCTATAGACTATGCATAGCCTATATATGTAGATGTTTGAGTTTGGAGAAAATCAGTTAATACAATCTTGAGTTATCTCCACGAATTATCTACAGAATTCACTTGTATACCGACACGAGATGATTCAGCACAAGAAGTAGATCAATTCTTCAATCATAAAATAAATCACCTATCAAAATAATGCAGTAGAATTGATACAATTTGCAATATTGGTATAAAATTGAAGCTTACGATATTATGAACTTTATAACAATTAGATCATTGATCTCATATGTTAACTAAAATCTTAGAATTACGTTTTTGATCTTTTAAATTTCTAAATTAAAAGAATCTTTTTTTCCCCTTTTGTTTTTGCATTGTCAATATGACTGATTTTGACATAAAGTTTACAGATTATAAATCTGTGATGGGTATGATCTGGTCTTGCTGATTCATAAAAATATCTATTCTATCAATTGATGATAGACCTCAAAAAATCTATCATTAATTAGTTGTAAACTAAGCTGGTGGTCCCTTAAAGTATAATTATAATATGGCCAATTCTTGTTTTGATCAACCCCAATTGTTTTTAAATTTAGCAATTATTGCAATGTATAGATGACAATGCATAATACTGTGAAGAAAAATTCAATATTTCATTTCGTTTCTTGATTGGATAACAAAAAAATGTAAACTATTGAAATGGGAACTGCAAGATTTCATGATGCTTCCACTTCTCTTCGGAATCATTCGTTCATATCCAACAGAAGAGTGCGCCCAGGCTTCCGGAACTGACTGCACTAATTGCATGAGCGTTAGAGGAAATTATAAGTGCGGCTGGTGCTCCTCAACAAAACAATGTGTTCCAGGTGACGAAAACGGTCCATTCATCGGCACATGCCCAGATTGGCATAATGAATCAGATGCAGTATGCGTTAAGGAATCATCTATCGCTCTTCCAAATCCAGCTAGAATTGGCGTTTTAGTCGGTATAATCATTGTCAATATCATTACATTCGTATTCTGGTACTTTATTTTCCCGAAGTTATATACAGATCCAGCAGCATCTTCTGAAAAGAATGGAAATGGTCTTTAAGATTGATGTTATTTGTTATTTTCTTTTAAGAAATAGTGAAGATGAACTATAGATTACGTTTTAAACTATTAATATTTATAAATATCTTATTATATTTTTCCTATTTTGTGTCATTTATTTTAGATGATCAAAAATTTCGATGGTTCATTTCCTGATCCATCAGAACTCGTCCTTGAATACACGCCAACGTTCGATCTATCTCAATTCAAACCACAAGTAGGTGATATTTTTCGATTCTACATCTCCGAAAGATTCTTTTTAAATTCGAATACAAATATTACTTCTCGAAACATATCAGGTACAACATTTTACACTCCAAATTCCGATATTGTTGATATTGCAATTCATTGCGGCTGTTTATTCGCACATCCAAAAAGCTCAGGATTAACAAGAAGATGGTGTACTGTTTTAAATTTCTTTGAAGCTTTATGCAACGAAGATAAGTACCAAAAAGTTGCTGAAGTCATTGAATTATCGAATTACGCCCAAGTAAAAGGATTACTACTTGATATTTTAATAGACAATACGCTTCCATCATATTACAGCTCTACACGTAATGGTTTGAAGTCAAAATCATTCAATTCCTTAACAGATTATTCAATTCGTGTTATTAATTACAAGATATTAACAAAATTCGATCGAATTCCACGTATTGCCGAACCATCAAAATATGTTAGATCTAGAATCAAGATGCCTGTATTCAAATTTGCTTTTAACAGAGAAATCGGTGTGAATTATTCGATTGAAGTGTTTTCTTCTTTATTTAATCCAGAAACAATCAATAATGACTTCTTTACTATTTACAGGTTATTTTTTGATATTAATCAAAATAGATATGAAATTCGCTATTCAGACGAAGATGGTAACTTCTGGTTAACACAACTAGAGAATCCAATTGATGTCAAGGAACTAAAAACAAGAAAATCCAAGAAAACAAAAGAAAAAATACTTTTTGACAGATTAACTTTCTTTGATATTGTTCCAACACCAACAGGAATTAATGTTAAAGGTACTCTATTCGAACCAATATCAACAATACTTGTTCCGATGTTTTATGGAAAAATTCTCATCGGACCAAAAGCAAAAATTAGCCAGGATTAAGGTCTAATAGTAGTTTCATTGAACACATTCATTTTGAGGGTTTGCTTTCTCTCAAAATGTATTATAATTTGAAAATATTGTTTGATTTCAGATTCGTATTAATGCATGAAAGATTTTAGCATAAGCATTAGTATCTATAGCTTATTTGTTGTTGTTTCGTTAGAAATGAGATAAATTGCCTAAAATTTTCTCATTAAATTCAAATTGTTCTAATAAACATGCATTATTTATTTTAGCATAGAATGACATTCCAATTCAACTTAATTTCAGATGATATATTTCAATATTTTCTTTTGCAATATTTAAGATATTTTTTAAATTTTAAGATTAAAGGAAAATACATATGGATGGGTGAGATACTGTCACTTGTATAGAGTATTCCAATAAAGATTTAACTACGAAATAATACATTCAATTCAAAAGAATTTGATGTATGAAAATCTATGTTTAAAACTTGGATAAATAACATTTTCCATCTGTGTTGTTAGTTAATATAGGAAATAACACAATATTTCTTCCATTCATGTTTATTGTCACTTTTTTGAAAATTCTAAACAGATTTATTAAATTTAAAAATGACTATTACACAGGAACAGCTTGAAGCTCTTGAAAGAAGACTTCAACAAACTATTGACGAGAAAGTTAATAACTTGCGTACAGAATTAATTAGTGAAGCTAGATCTATTGTTGAAAGCTATCAACGTTCTGATAGAACGGCTAGCAGATTACAGGACGCTTTAGACAAAATTAAGCAAGAAGTTTTACGCACAGTAAGATCATCTGTGGCAACACAAATTGCTGCAATTCGTACTCAGCAAGATAGAGATATTTCTCAACTTACAACGACTGTTACTTCAACAATTAATGAAAGGCTTCGTGCATTCAAAGCTGAAGTTGCTGAATATACTAGTAACGATCGAAATTCTGCAAGAGATTCGCAAGTTGTAACTTTAGAACATCAAATCAAGCTTTCTCTCCAGCAAATTGATACAACAAATGCTTCGTTCCAGCAGCAATTTGCTTCAGTTATCAACATGATTCGTAAGGAAAAAACGGATATTGCGGGCAGAGCCAACGAAACTACAGCATCTCAGCAACAAGTTGATGAAGAAGAACGTAAGATTCGTCATCTTCAAGCTGAGATTGCTGCACGTGATAAACACCTTGCAGAAGAAAAAGCTTTCCTTCAACAACAGACAGAAGCATTTATCAAGGAAAAACGACAAGCAGAAAGAATGAGAAACCAAGCTCGCAGATACGGACAAGATAACGATATAGAAAAGTCAATCCTCAAAGAATTACAAAGTATTAGGAGAAGTCTTGGCTCTTCTGTTGCTACTGGAGCATCAGGAGTCATTGCACAGCTAAAGAAGGAAGTTGACCTTCTTGCACAAGAAAGAGATCGCATGAAGAACACAAGAGATATGATGATTAGAGCAATGGCCGTTCCAGGACCCGACATGGGAATGGGATACTCTAGATTTGGGCCACCAACAATGTCTAGATTCCAAGGAAGTATGTATCGTGATTAAATTTAAAAACTGTAAATTAATTTATATGTAAAATTAATCTATATTTTAAAAAACATTCACATGTGAAAACAATAGTCAGTGTTTGCCAAGCAAATAAAAAAAAGAGATTTGTATAAAAATAGTGAATATGATATGCTGAATTGAAACACGATGTGATTAATTGCATAATAGAGTGAGAACAATCCTGCTTTGTGACTAAATTATCATTGAATATGCAATGAAATTAAAAAATATTCTTGTTCATGAGTATGGTTATGTAAATTTAGAGTGTTTTGTATAAAATTATGATGCAAATATTGCATAACACTATTCATTTAGAAATGTGTTATTGGCGTGTAGCGCCGATATTATTTGATAATTGACGGTTTCATTCGTTACCAAAATGAGCAGTGATATTCAGACAACAATCAGAGATCTTCAGCTTTATATTAAAGTCAAGAGGAAAAACATGACATATTTCCTCTATGTCAACATGAATACCCGTTCAATTGATATTAAACGCACTATGACTCAATTTGTTGATCGCAAAGTTCACGATATGCAATTAACAATTCCTAGATACGATAATAGAAAATTCAACGATTCTTTGACATTGGAAATGATGAACTTAGTGAATGGTGAAACTTTAACATTACAATTGCGTAGACCTGGATCAGATCAATTTGAAGATCTTAATGATGTTACTGGTAGCTATAACACCATTACTGGTACACTATTCAGATAAATACTTCTTGTCTTTTAAATATTTAAATATGCTCTGATATATGTATTAATATTTGGCAGTTTTACACAATTGTTAATTCTTAAATTACGAATAAAATTATTATTTGTAAATTTCAACTCCCTTTTTAGATAATCTCAAAATCCGACGATTGAAAAAAAATTTCAACACTCTCACATTCCTAGATAATATAATATGCAAATGTGAACAAATATGAGGATTTTGACAATCATTTTATAAAATATTTAAAATTTAACTTTAATATCTGTCTGTACAAAACTAGCACCCATATACACATTTTATGCCACTTTATATTCATGATATAAAAATAGAAAAATGTTTTATAAACTCCAATGATAAATCAATGAGAATTTCTTCTTTTGTCACTATAGAATCTTTCTGGATATAAAATGAATATATTTTAATGAAATAAACAATCTGGACTTAGATTGAAAACTTATTTCCTAAATTGTGCATTCCAGAAAGCTGTTCAACACTAGTTCTTTATTTTATTTTCAGTTTCCAAAAGACAATTGATTTACTCAAAGTAAGGATGTCAATTTGGAAGAAAAGTGAGAAAATTCCTAAAATGATAAAAATGAATTTTCCAAACGTACTTTTTTATCCGATTTTTTTGATTTTGAAAAAAATTTGGAGAGAAGAACTCTTCGTTTTTGCATTTTGTCACGATGGTTTTAAAGTATATTAGACACATGTATTGATATTACTATTTTTGAATATTTTGAGAGAAAATCCCTAAAAAGTGAGAAAATTTGAGACGGTTTGAGAAAATATATAAACTATTGAAAATTTGAATTAAACTTCTAATTTGGAAAAAAGAAATTTGGAAAGAAGAAAATTCAAAAATCGAGATTTAGACTCAGTATCAAATGGAGAACAAAATGTTTCTTCATATGAAGGAAAAAAATTTTCTTGAGAAGAAATAGAGTTTTTAAAATTTTATTGTATGTAATGAAATAAACAAATATTAAAATTATTTTTTGATAACAAGAAAATTCCCAACAGAAAATATTTGAGACAAAGAAAAAAAGAAAATTGAAAAATATTACTCTCCTTTACATTTCATGAGATTTTCAATTTATTTTCATAAAATTGACAATTTTATACGTTTAGATGAAAATAAGTGATTTTGCTTGAAATAAAAATTATTGTTTGTTTACAGCTATCAAATAGATTTTTGCTATTTTGATGAAAATTTGTTAATCAAATTAATAATTTTTTTCTAAATATCTTAAATATCTGGATCACTCACTGATACGATGAATTAAACGATAAAAATAATACAAACTCAACTAAGTTTCCTGTCTTTCAACCAAAAAATATTATGCAATTTAAATTAAATTGTTTATTCAAATATAAAACAAAGATGAAGTAATTACAGTTATCATGGACTTTATGAATAACTCTGTAATTGGCTCAGATTTTCGTAAAAATATTTTTATTAAAATCGATAAGAATATGTTTACCTACTATCACCACATATCTATAAACAAGAGTAGAGTGATTTTTATCATCGAAACTTTTTAAAAGCTGTAAGCTGGAAGTAAAAATCTTGTTTTTTTCTGAGTTAGTTGTAGAACTATTGATGCCCGAGTTATAATTGTGATGTAGAAGGATGTCAATGTACTGACTGAAGGATATGAAGTGAAATGAATTTCATTGAATTTCAATTTGATCAAAATTTGTTGAAATTATATGAATGTGTCAATATCTGTATGACTCTCCTTCACTCCTTCCCTATTCTTTCGAGAACGAAGCTAGCTCAGCTTTCGCTGAGCGAATTGACAATTTTGATGCCCTAAACGTACATACTCTCAAATTTATCGAAAAAATAAAACTACCTAAACTCGTATATTCTTATTTTAAATATGATATTATCCTTAGATTCCACACTAGAATATATTTAAATCAACTTTTAATAAAGTTCGAATCCTGCGCGTCTCACTTTTTAAATTTTCCAAACGGAAAATTATATTCTCCTAAAACGAAAACAATTTTCCGAATTGACATCCTTACTCAAAGCTCTCAGTAAGTTCTAATATGCTCATTTTCAGAAGATACTGGATCAAATACTGTTTATGAATGTTGAAATGCTTTTATGGTATGTCACTTTTCTTCGAACCCTTATAATTAATTGATGCAAAATATTGATCAAATCCACTGAAAAATTATGGAGGGGAAAAAAAATTCAATATTGAATATGAGAATTTGTAATTCGTTGCTGTTAGTCTTGCAGAAATTATTATCCCGAATTGTCAAGATTGTCATATGACACAATTATGATTTTATTCATTTATCTTATAAATCAGGCAAATAGCTATGAAAGACTAAAAGGAATACCCAACGATGATGTTCCTTATAGACCAATTAATGTACAAGTCAATACACTTGAAAAGGATTATTCAACGAAAGATCTCATAGCAATAGCTGATCAAGTTGCAAGCGATTTCAAACTCGAAGGAGTTCGAGTTCACAATTATTTTAGACTTGTCAAATTTGCTTCTCTTTCCAGGCAACTTTTCAACAGGGTTGATTTTAATTATGAAGATAAGGGATACAGAGTTGTAACTGTGGCCGGAACAGTTATCAAAATTACTAAAGCTAATGATGTATATACGGTCAAATGCCGTAAAGTTTATGTTAACTCTAATGTCATTGATAGTTCATATATAGCTGGAGCATATGAATATACCTCTGATTTCCTTGGTTATCTCTCCCAAGGTTCTCATATGCAATTTATGACCAAGCCATGGTCACTACTTCCAGCATCTTCAATAGCTTTTATTTACAATGAATTGTATAAGAGAATTGAAGGTCCACTCAATTGGTACAAAACTAACATTTAAATCAATTTTGTGCTTATTTCATCTATGACTTCTTTTTCAACTTCTTCAAGTCTATATTATATTCTATTTGTATTATCACTTCCTGTTCCTATTTTATATCTTATATTTATAGCATATAAATTTTGAACTCTTCAGCGGTCAAGGTTCCACAATCCTTTCCTTATGAAGGCCTTACTTAGACAGTATCTCCTCATATGGAAGTAACTTAATAGAGGTTAATTTTTAGCTCTTTCTGTTTAGAGTTCCCTGACGCATCCTTGACAGTATCATTTCTCATATGTGCGGTATTTTGAAATTTGCTGGAGTATATTGGAATGGCCTGTTTTGACTTTTTGTAATGACGACTTTTTCTCAAAAATAAACAGTCTCCTCTCAAAATTGAATAGTTTATGTCATGACCACACACAGGAAATTAAAACTCTCTTTTCAATGCTTAAATATAACTTAAAATACATCAAAGATTGAAATTTGTCTAGGTTATTTTATATAATCTTTGTAGATAAATACAATTTAAGAAATCATCTTTTTTATGGTTCAAAATGATATTAGAAATGCAAAACAGAGTAAGTAAAATCAAAATATAATATAGTATTTAACAGAAAAAAAAAATTATAAATTTTGAATTTTTCAAATTATGCTTTCTTTGCAACCTTCATGATAGCTTTGATATCTTCATTCGTTGACATTTCACTGATTCCAACTCCATCGATGTCAGCGCCAGTTGGTTCTGCACCACTTAATAATAACTCTTTTACAACAGTAATGTGGTTGTGTAAGCATGCGTAATGCAAAGGATACCTCTTCTTGTAGTCCAATTCGTTTACATTTAGACCTGCTTCGATTAAATATTTCAATACTCTCTTGGAACCACCTTCTGCCGCGTAATGAAGCAATGTTTTACCCTCGCTATCAACCTCGTTGACATCCAAGCCCTTTGCACATAGCAATTGCATAATACTGAGCTTTCCATACAAAGATGCTGCAACTGCGTCTTCTCTGATGTTTCCACAGCCGATTTTATGGAGGAAGTCAACAATTTCAACGTGTCCTTGTTTGGCCGCAATTGAAGATGTGGCCAATTTGCCGTCTTTTGTTGGATTTCTTGGGATTGCTCCTGCTTTGAGGAGAGTTAGCAAAGATTCACAGCTGTTATACTTGGCTGCCTTGTTTAGAGCCTTGTCGAGCTCTTCTTGTGGTGGATTTTGTTGGATTATCCACTCAAGTTGTGCTTGTCTACGATATTGAGCGGCTGCACCAAGAGCATTGGCGAAACTGATGCCTGCCTTTTGTATTTCGGCGATTATTTGGAGGTTGCCACCAATAATTGCGTAAATTGAAATATTATTTGTCATTTTAGCTCCAATTGAAAGCAAATACTGGAAACATTTCTCTGCTCCGTATAAAGCTGCAAATTCTAGTAGTGTTAATTGCTTTTCTGGCTTAAATTTGTGAGTAATAATATCAAATGCTCCGTTTTCAAGAGTCATGTTGACATCGAAGTCGTCAACTGTAGTATATTGTTTAAGAAGTTCGACATCATCTGTTTTGATCGTAAATTGCTTGCTTACGACTTCAAAACCATGATTAAACATTTCTCCTAAAATTTTGTATTTATCTCTTCGTAACTCTGTTGGGTACTTATTGATGCATTGTCTGATATATGGGTTCATGACATTAAGCTTATAAAGAATTCTGACGTGAGTTTTATAATATTTTCCTTCCATGATGTCCAATTCGGGTGCAAATGCGAGAAATACGCGTGCATAGACTTCCTCTTCACTTGGTGGGAACTTCATGACTGTAGTAAGTATCTGGTTACTTGTAAAAATTCCTTTGAGCGAACATTGGCGCATCATCATCAAATTCAGTTCAACATCATTAGCATTGAGAAAATCAATGAGCTCTGCATATAGCATCTGCTTGAATTTGTCCATATTGTTCTTTTGAGAGCCAGCTCCTGAAAGAGATTGTATCATATCACATATGATTTCGATTTTAGACTCTCTGATCTTGTAGAGTGATATGAATTCGTTCGCTAATACACGAACTTTGTCATCTCTCTTTGAATATGAGGATTGGAGTATTTGTCTTTTAACATTTGCATAGTTATCGACAGAAACATCAGTAAGAACCTTCTGAAGTTGAATGATTCCTTGGAAAATCTCTTCGTTTTCACTTGAGATTTCGATCATTGAAGTTTGTGTCCAAAATAATCGTCGTAGATTTTAACGATAAATAGATATCATTGAAATCCCAAAAATATTGACCGCCTGAAGTCTTATACGAAAATGAAGGCAATGATCGTAACCAAAGCCTCTTAATATCTGCATCTCCATTCACCATGAAGAAAACTAGAATTAATAAGATATTAAAACATGATTGTCTTCATAAACAGTGCTCAGGTCATTTGTAAGAGCAAATGTAACCTGAAAAGAGTTCGTTGAGAGTGAGAAAATTGACTTATCAAAAGCTTTAGACATCATAAAAGTCACATCTCAAGACGGCAAGCTTTACATGTGCTGTCGTCTTAGAGTTAATTTCAGGAAATTAATCATGCCTAATGAATGGGCATTTTATGTTTTTCATCTAGGGATTCTTCTACTTGGAATGAGAGTGAAAGGCTTTTAGTACATTTTATGGCCCCCTGCGTCTGGGCTTTTCATTCCCATCATAATGCACAATTTTTGTGAATTTAATCCAGCATTAGTTTCTTTCTAAGTGGAATTAGAGGTTACAAAATACTAAAATCTAAGTCAGTCCTTCGCAGCCCATAATTTCTGATTTTCTAGTAAGTATTCAAATTAATTGTTGAAATGGAATTTTATTTATATATTCTCATATGAAATTTGGCAGTGAGATCATTTTTAATCTAAATTTCGATTTTTAATTTTTTCGGATTTTTTGTAAAGGAGAGAGGGTCAAAGTTGCTATTTGTCACTTTTCCACAAGAATATAATGGGGAAAAGGTTATCATATATTTGATCTCATTCACTTAGGTGAGAGATGCATGTAGTGTAATGGGATAAACAGTGGGATTGCTGCTCTAAGTCCTAGGTTCGAGACACATTGGCTTCATTTTTCTCTTTTTTATTGACGTAAACTATTCAATTTTTGTGTTCTCCATTCAAATTTCAGAATTTTTTTTGCAGATTTCACGCTACATTCGAAGTTACCTTTTGTAACAACCACCACTGCCTACGAAAGACGAAAGTGTGTCACGATTTCACCTGGAAATCCGACGGTTGTTTAAGAGTATGCACTTTTGTCACCTACTCTTTTGTAAAGTAGCAACATTTCAAAAGGATATGAATCTGAATTTCGAATACATTGGAGCTCATATCAGCGATTATATTAAAAATGAAAACTTTTTCGATACATTCAAGATAGGAGATATCAAAACAATCATGAAATATTCACATTTGACAGCCGATCAGTACGTTACTCTTCTCAAGCAATCACATTCAACTATTAATGCCAAAGAATTATATATCTGTACACGAAATGCAAATGTTACTATCCAAAATTTCGAAGAAATTGTTTCAATTCTTAAATCTGTCAAAGAATACATGAAATTCAATATATTTGATGGAATCATTAATTTTTTTAAATCAAAAAGACAGAGAAATTCGTGATTATACAGAAGAAATCAAAAAACTTCAAAACGAATTAAAAGCGTTTCAAAGTCAAACACGAAATGCCACCAAAGAAACTATAGTCACTAGAATTAATGAAAATAACAACTATTGGAAAGCTATTTTAACCAAAATCTCTGAACTTAAGAAAGCTGGAGATTTTGAAAGTATCTACAATTTCCTTGATGAACTTTCTGAGAAAGGAGATCAAGAAATGATGTCAAAGGCATGTAAAGAAGGACTTTGGAAAAAGATAGCTCCTAAAAAATATAGGTGGGATAATGAAAAAAATGTCCTTCATGTCGCAAGTGAAAAAGGAAATCTCAGACTTGTTAAATCTCTGATTGAATGTAACTGTGATAATGAAACAAAGAATAATGTTGGAGATACTCCACTCATTTATGCATCAAGATATGGTAAACTTGAAGTTGTTCAATATCTTATCTCTATTGGAGCTGATAAAGAAGCAAAAAATAAATTTGGAGAAACTCCACTCATTTTGGCATCAAAAGAAGGTCATCTTGAAGTTGTTAAATATCTTATCTCAGTTGGAGCTGATAAAGAAGTAAAGAATAATGATGGATAATTAAAAATATTAATAAAATCTAATGTTTTTCATAGATTTAGGCGTGCTCAGATATTAAGTGTGTACTTACAACTTTCTGATATATTCTCAAAATGTCGCATACATGTGTGAAAAGACAAAGAAAATTAAACCTTTGTCAGAAAATCGGAGAGAATGTACGAAAAGCTAGTGGCGCCCTTAATTTATTATTCATATGAATTAAAAATAACTCAATTTAAATTTTTATATGTGTACTATATTTCTGCTCCTAGACTTTCCACTTCCGTTACTATTAAACATGTATATACACATGTATTCCTCCAAAGTTCTTTCAATTACAATGAAAGTGAGAAAAACTATGGAAAATAAATTTCAGATCTGAAATAAAAGAATTCAAAAGCAGAAGTGCAATTGATATTGTTGGTATAGCTTTTTGCTTAAAGTAAAAAAAAATTAAAAATTACTAAAAACAGAATACTTTTATTTTGTTTCAGGTTCAGATGTATTAACTTGGGTAAGAATAGAAGTAATTTCCTTGTAAATGTCATTTTCTTTGGCTGGAAAGTCGTATTTGGCTGCTCTAGTGGCGATACATTCCAAATCCAAGAGTAATTGCTTCTTTAGCTTCCCTTCGATTATCTCCGGATCGATCGTTGATGATCTATTAAATTTAGCAATGGCAATTGTCTGTGCTCTGACATCTTGTATTCTTGTTGTGGCTTTTGATTTAAATCGATCCATGACTGCATTAAAAACCTTGGAAGCAAACTCTGGCGAGTTTAGAGGCGACTTTTCTGTATCAATCCACTTGTTATAATTTGTAAATACTGAAGCAGCCAAAGATGAGTGAGTTTTTGGCATTTCCGACTCTGGTTTGATAGTAATTGTTGAAATAAAATCTAATTTAGGCAGTGTTTCGTTGACTATTACTGCTAATACGTCATTTTCCAGTTTTTCACTGGTTTCAAGCAATGAATTTGATACAAGCTTAAGGGGTTCATCGCATTCAATAGGTGTAACACTCTTAAGCTTGCGGATGAAGGTTCTAATGTCAAAAGCTAAGTGAGATTTGAATTTGACAGAATTTTGACAAAATTCTTTGTAAACTAAACAAATTTTCATCATCAGAATTAAAAAATCTCCGATTTCGTTCAGGATGAAATATTCTTCACTGAAAATCAATTTTATGATATCAAAGAGCTGCGATGACGTTGAAACTTTGAACTCTCCATCAATCAAATTCGGATTTGCTTGAATAATCTGTTCTACTTGAGGATTTAGCTCCGTTGATACTAGCTGTGGGTATATCTTGAGTTTGAGCTTATCATAGAGCTGTATATCATAAATAGAGTTGTGAATTTTGTTGACTGAAATTTTACTACGACAAAGTTTCTCAATTTCGTTGATTAGCTTGATAAGTAAGATGTAGGATGTATGTACAGCCTTTGCGTCACTCAATGGAATCTCTACATTACGAATAATCCAATCAGATAAACTTGGCCAAACAGAATTAAGAATGAAGTCAAAAATTGGTAAGGAATTTTCATATATGAAGTGAATGTATCCATTCTGATCCATAATCGTGTCAATCAAAGAATTTAATATTGAAATTGATTTTGTTTTCTTTGAAATATTAAGTTTTTGGACTTCTTGTATGACAAACATATCCGAGAATGACTTGTAAATCAACTGGAATTGATCAGAAAGTATTGTTGCATGTAGAATGATCGAAAGTGAAGAAATATCTCGGGATTTTACTGAATCGATAAATGCTGATGATAATTTATTTGTGAAATCTTTAAATATTTTATTGTATGATGCTTCAATTCTAATACTTAGCGCTGGTTGATTAATTCCGGCTAATTTCGCTTTTGTTATCGCTAAACCAATAGCTGAATCCAAAAATATAGCTGGATGTGTATCAGTTGTAAGTTTTGATTTAATGTTTTCAAGTGAAATTACAATATCTAAAGCTAATTTGCAAACTGCTTCTTCTATACGAATTTTATGTAATTTTTCGGTTTGTGCTTTGACAGGTTGTGATGCTTGCTGTAAATTTTTTGTTGCATGTTCAACTGCATTTTGTGCATTTGAAAATGATTTGATTAATTCCGTCATACTATCTCCTAATTGAATTAATTGCTTTGCAACTGTTACAAATTCGGTATAATCGTCGTGAATGATTGTTGTTAAACGAGCTTTAAGTACTTCTCCATAAGAAATTAAAGCTGAAGCAAAATCATTTAAAGAACTAAAGTGATCCTTGTGCTTTAAAAGGAACTCACCTGGGTTTGTCCAGTTTTGATCTTGAAAATCTTCAATTTTAAAAAAAGAATCTGTCATCAAAAAATGAAATAAAAAAATAAGAAATTTCATAACAGTTCTATAAGATCATTGTATTGAGTGAAGTAAATTGAATAATTAACTATTGAGTCGATACGAAAAGCAGACTTTTTTTTTCGTACCCCCACTCAATTTTTTTCCAGTTTTCGTACTTTTTTACAGAGCATAGTATTTGATGTCCAATGTTTGCCTATGATCAGAACTTGTCTTTCTCCTGTTCATATTTCAATCTCTGGTCTAGACATATATCACATCAAATATCATATTTGATTATTTACAATTGTTTAAAAGATTTTACAAGCACAAGCATAATGTTTTGTGCAAAGTATAATTTCAATGTGTTAATCTATAAAACTTGATTTTTATTGCATCTGCAATTAGGCATCTTTTTTAAAATAGAGTTTTGAAGATAAGCATATATGATAATGATATGTACTTGTTATTGTAAATACATTTATTGTTATAAATTTACTTAATTATCATTGATGATGAAATAAATATTTTATTATATAAAAAAGAGTGTTTATTCATTATAAAAGAGTTCCGTTAAGCAAATATTTTATTTGTAACGGGTAAGCCCTAAATTTGCATGTTTGAATTATTAAGATCAAATATTTGCATGCAATCAATAAATTTGCTGCAAAATTATAATCTCAAGCATGTACTATTTTGAAACAATAAAGCATCAGAGAGCCTTTTCACTATGATCTTTCAGAAAATGAAAGAACATAGAAAAACTGCCCTTTATAGAGATGCCCTGACCTCAACAAGGGTCAGAGCCTGTATCTGTATGTCCTTCAGGGCCGAGATAAGAGGATATCGTCGATGATGTGGGCAATCTCCCTCAAACTCGGCCCTGAGGATTAGTATTGCAGGCTCTGACACATGTTGAGGTCAGAAATTCGGATTTGCTGTTTCCCAGGGTCGGATTCCTCTCCTGTCGCCCTAGATCAGGACGGCATTTGGGAAATCCGGCCCTGAGGACTGTAAGCGAGGCCCTGAACCATTGCTGAGGCCAGAGCTTAGTATTTGTTGCTTCTCAGAGCCGAGTTCCGCTGAGAAGTGTCCGTAATTTGGACAATCTCAGGGAACTCGGCTCTGAGGGCTGTAAGCAAAGCCCTGGTCTCTGCTGAGGCCAGGGCCTGTATTTTGAAGCCCTTCAGGACCGATATGAGAGGAGATCGTCAATGATGTTGACGATCTCTCTCAAATTCGGCCCTAAGGATTGTATTTGCAGGATCTGGCCACTGCTAAGGCCAGAGCTTCGTATGGGCGCTCTCTTGGGACTGGATTCCTCTCCGGCCGCTCCGAATAAGGGCGGTCTTTGAGGGAACCAGCCCCAAGGATTATTTGCGAAGCTCTGGCATTTCCTAAGACCAGAGCTTGTGAATTTCATTCAGAGCCAAGTTCCTCTCGGATCAAACCTAATGAGGACGACCGTCGAGGAACTTGGCTCTGAGGAGATCAATTGTGAGCTCTGGCCTCGATGAAGGCCAGAGTTTTCAAGGGAATGTTTTGATGGGATGAGTCTATTATCAGTAAGCTCGTCCCATCAAAACATTCATTTAAAAATTGAATGAATAATTATCGCCTGTATTCAAAAATTAAAAATTTAAAGATGAATAAAATTATAATACATATGAAAAAGGATTAAATTACATTGAAATTGAATAAAAAAATTCCAAAAAAAATTCAAAAAACTGAAAATAAAAAGAAAAAATATAAAATTTGATAAGAAAAAACGATTTGAGTTAAAAAACGTTTCTGCAAAACATGAATATTTATGATTTAGATTAAATTGTGAATAAAATTTACTAGTTTAAAGAAGAATGAAAAAATTAAATTATATTGAAAAGAAGATACTGTAGAAAGGAGTTTACGATTGCAATATTATATGGTATAACATTGTACTCGTAACCTCCTTTCTATAATCTAATTTCTAATACAACATTGAGATATGAAAAAAATTAGCTTTCTTCGAAAGGGGTTTATAATTGCAATATAATATGATAGTATATTGCAAATGTAAACTCCTTTCGGGAATCAAATGACTAATGTCATATTGCGGAACAAAAGTGAGAGATTCTCCCGATCTGAGTACGTACTTGCAGGATGCCATTGCAGAACCCTGCAAATATGTACTCAGATCGGAAACTTTGTTCCCAATGTCACATTGCGGAACAAAAGTGAGAGATTCTCCCGATCTGAGTACGTACTTGCAGGAATATTGAGATATAGTATGCAACAAATGCTTTTAATAACTTATTTACACACATATAATTATATTCAAACTTCAATCTTGATTATATTTCATATTTCTGAGCAAACATAGAGCTTCCACTCATAATTATAAAGACTACCAATTGTAACCATATAAAAACACAATTTTTTAAAAGTTATTATTTTTCAACTTCCTGTGATACGGTATTTTGATTAGATTTCGTAAATATTTGTAAAACAAGCATAGATCTATCATGAGCAATCTTACAATAGTAAAAATATTGCTTCCATGCTAAATTCAATTGAGATTATCTTGACATTAAACTTAGAATCCTCTCAAATTCAAGGAGATAATCACAATACAGCTATATTTTAATACTGCAGTATAGCGAAAGCTCTATGATTATTATAAACTAATAATACCATATGAGTACGAAAACTGGAAAAAAATTGAGAGGGTGTAAAAAAAAAAAAAAAAAAAAAAAAAAAAAAAAAAAAAAGGTAGTGGGGCTTCCAGGCACTTCGTGCCTTCTAGCCCTGAAGATGTTTAGTATAAATGAAGTTCTTATATACGGGTCTTCCAGGAGCTTTTCACAAATTATATATGTTTTCATGTTTTGTCAAGACTTCTTCGTAAAATCAGACAAAAATAATGTTTAGGGTAGAAGGTTAGATATAACCTCTTTTCTAACCTCTTTTCTACCCTCTTGAATTTTCAAGACTTCTTCGTACATGTTTTGTCACTTTTCTGTCACTTTTCAGGAAAAAACATTTTTATTATTATATATAAATGAATTTTACAAAACCTCCGTTACCGTTCTTTGGAAATAAGAGTAGATGTAAAGATATTCTATTGAGAGAACTTAAGAAACTACCGAATGGTCTAACATTTGTAGATTTGTTCGGTGGAAGTTTCTATATATCCCATTTGTGCCATACAATATTCCCAGACTCAAAGATTATATGCAATGACTTCGACAACTATATGGACCGTCTCAAACATATACCAGACACAAACAATATATTGAAAGAGTTAAAAGAAAAGATACCTATAGGTAAGATGGAACGTATACCATTAGATAAGAAAAATACTGTCAGAGAGGTTTTGAAAAAGGCAGAGTATATTGACTGGGATAGTATATCTGCTAGACTATTATATAGTGGTGCTATAAGAGTTCATGACATTGAAACACTTATGTCAAAAGTTTTATATCTTAACTATACAAATGTTTTCAAAGAGGACATAGAAAAATATATTGAGGGTATAGAGTTTGTGAGATGTCATTGGACAGAGTTGTATGAAAAATATAAAGACAAGGAAAATGTTTTCTTTATAGTGGACCCGCCGTTCTATAACACATGGGATTTTCAATACCAAGTAGACTGGACTTTGAGAGACTCTTTAGAAACTTTAGACGTTTTACATAACCATCCATGCTTTTACTTTACATCCGATAAAAGTGGTTTGGAAACCGTTATGAGATGGTTAGAGGACATACATGACTATGAGTTTAGATACGATAAGATAGAATATGAGAGAGGTCCTATAAACTGGAGAAAGTGTCATAACAAAGAAATTTTACTAGTAAGTAAATGTGGTTTGAAATAGGACTACTTGTTTTAGGTTTTTTCCATTGTGTCATTTACTTATTTGACGTGGCAGAAAGATATAGAGAATATGAAGATGAACCAATACCAGCAAATGTTCAGCATATGTACTCGTAAGAGATATTTTTATCTAATATTAAATGGACGCACAGAACTTAGCGAATGCACAGCAACCTGGACAACCAAACCCAGAGAATATTCCAAATGAAGTTAGAATACAAACTGCAATGGCAAACTATGGTCAAGTGCCAACAGATGTACAAATGCAAACTGCCATGTCAAATGACGCTGCGTTAGGTTTGCCACCATGGTATGCAAATATGAGATGGAAAGAGTTTTATACAAACCCTGAAGTGGGATATAAACAACTCTATGCAGATGACGCGAACACAGGAGTTGACCCAGAGTATGTTTTCTACCAGAGGAGAAACAGAATGTATGAGCTCCAGTTAAAGAATGCTATGGAACTCAACAGGAAACGTAAGAGACTAGGCGGACATTAGATTTTTACATATAGTAAAATGGGTTTCTTCAGTAGTATTGGAAACTTCTTTCGAAATGTTGGAAGAGGTATATGGAATGGAATAAAAACCGTAGGAAGAGGAATTTGGAACGGAGTCAAAAATATTGGCAAAAGAGTAGGTCAGTTCGTTGGTATTATACCTAAAGACCCTGAACCAGAAGAACAAGCTCCTGTTATACAACAGCCTGAACCTGCACCACAGTCAAGTTGGCAACCAAATCCAACACCTCAACCGTATTAAAAAATTATATTTTTACCGTTCGATAGTAGTTGTATATGAAACTAAGTTCTAAGTAAAACGCATGGTATAATGGAATTATTCTTTTTCTTCCATCTGTAGTAAACCATACTTGAAAGTCTGAAATACTTCCACTTGGTGGTTCGTATAACTTTGTAGGTTTTTCGTAAAAGTCATTTGCCAAGCATAAGAAAGAGTTTTGGGCGCCAGAAAATGAAGCATGAACAATAATAGCAGCTGGGTCGAAAACATCTTTAAATAAATATGGTTCATCTCTTGCATATCGACTGTAAATATTTGCTAAAGGAAGTTCGACTTTCTGATTTAACATTCTTTGCAAATAATACCATGACATTGCAGTGAATTCTGTATATATTTGTTCGTCTTTCTTTGGATTGTCTTCGTAGATTT